TTCGGTAAACGAACACCAAAAGTAAAATCCATTCGGTAGCCCCATATACCGAACCGCAGAGGGGAAAAGGCATGAACAAAGCTTGTCCACAGTGCTGAAGCCAAGTCTAATACATGGGCCATGGTCCTGGGACAGGAGGCTGGCAAACAAGCCCCTCCAAAAACTTGTGGCAAACTCGCAGGAAAAGGGTAGTTTGTCACACTAAGTAATCAGTAAATGAGCCATAAAAAACAGCCAGGACAATCAGGCAATGAATAAGTTGAGGTAAGGTCCACAAAATGATCACTGTGAGACAATTTTCATTATGAAACTCTAACCTACCCCTCCCCGGGTCTGAAAAGAACATAATTGTAATAAAGGGGAACTGCGCACAATAGTTGTCATGCTCGGTGCCTTGCGGAAAGTAGCAAAACACCGACAGGCAGTCAATTTTTCCAAAGTGAAATCCGAACATTCAAGTCACAATGTAAACAGTTTTTAATGGAATCAAGTCACAGAACAACATTTTAACTCCATGGAGTCAAAATGTTGTTGTGTCTTGGTTAACAGTTGTATACACTGCGACTTGTGTGCCAAGATTTGTCTTTTAAAATAGAACATAAATCTGATTGTCTCATAGAACTCTTCTGATCACACTGCCAGTGATCAGGCTGTGTACTCAGCACAAAAACTATCTCTCATTAATGCAGAGCTCAGTCACTATACAGCCATTTTAGCTCTGTGCACCATATTGGATGTGAAATAAGTTATTAATTACATGCTAAAAAGAGATCAATATAGTCTGAAAGTTACCTAGACTATGGTATATGTTTCTCTGATATCTTGTAAAAGAGACAAGAAGGAAGATGAAAACAAATTAATAAATCTAATGCTTACATCACTACCCAAACACAAATAAATAAAATACCCCACCTCACAAAAAAAACAAGAGGCACATTTTCTAGTACTGTAAACCCAAATCTAAACACCCTAGTATTATTAAGCTACATTCTATGTCTCATGTTTGCTCCCTTGTGTTCTCCCATGCCCTTCAAAGTGCTCTGCAATTACAGCTCCCTCGGTGCCTCTGCCTTGATTCCGCACAGTCGCTCACCTCAGGGCAGGGCCGGACTGGGGATTCCAAAGCAGCCCTGGAAAAAAAATCTATGCCAGCCCCATAAGTCATTGCACCATATATTGTCGCATGTAATATGTAAGGCTATGTCTTGCCACCCTAGATGATTGATATATATATATATATATATATATATATATATATATATATATTGCTTTTTCCAATATAAAATATGGTTCCTTTCAGAGTAAAAATTTTAATTATACAGTAAGCATAATCACATGCAGACACAGACAATCTCACTGACACAAGCTGATTGATACACAGCCTCATAGACAAACAATCTCACTGATATACATAAGGCCATTGACATCAAAACACAAGCCCATTCACTAGCAGGCGCGCACACACACACACAGCTTAATGTATTGGCTATGGTGTCTATAGCCTGTCCCTGCAGGCTTTTCAATGTAAACACTGACTTTTTAGAGAAAAGGCAGTGTTTACATTTCTTCCTAGTGACAGACACTCAGACGGTCACTAGAGGTGCTTCCTGTGTCAGTGCGGATTGGCTGAGATCATCAAGCTTGACGATCACAGCCGTAGAGGCAGGGCCAGTCGAGGGGAGACCAGCACGACGTGGGGGGGGGGGGAAAGGTGAGTAAAAACATACATACACACACATACCATGACAGACACACACCATGACACAGACAGACCGTGACACAGACACACACACCGTGACACAGACAGAAACAGACACACCATGACAGACAGCCACACCATGACACAGACAGACACACACACACACACCATGACAGACACACACCTTAAAAAAGACACACACACCTTAACACACACACCATAACACAGACAGACCGTGACACAGACACACACACACGACACAGACAGACACACACACCATGACACACAGACACACACACACCACGACACAGAGAGACCGTGACACAGACAGACACACATTACATGACACAGACAGACACACACACACACCATGACATACAGGCACACACACCCTAACAAACACACACACACCATGACAAACACACACACACCATGACACAGACAGACCGTGACACAGACAGACACACATTACATGACACACATTACATGACACACACACACCATGACACAGACACACATTGCATGACACAGACAGACGGTGACACAGACAGACACACATTACATGACACACAATGACACAGACACACATTGCATGACACAGACAGACGCACACACCATGACAGAGACACAGACACCATGACACAGACAGACACACACAATGACACAGACACACATTGCATGACACAGACAGACACACACACACACACACCATGACACAGACAGACACACACACACACACACATACACACCATGACACACACAGACACACACATACACACACCATGACACAGACACACACAATTGCTACCTGTGTGCTGGCATGGGGTAGCTGGCTCTTCTTGCGGCCGCAGAGGGAGCTCTTTAGGCGGCCGCAGGGGGAGCTGGCTGTTCTGTCTCTGCTCCCCCTCCCCAGCGCACTACAAAGAGACCGGGGCCGGAATATGACGTCATATTCCGGCCCCGGTCCCATTGTAGTGCGCTGGGGAGAGGGAGCAGAGACAGAACAGCCAGCTTCCCCTGCGGCCACCTAAAGAGCTCCCTCTGCGGCCGCAGGTGAGCCAGCTGGCAGCTGCCTGCCCGGCCCCAGGTGCCGACGGCCCACCGGGAAATTTCCCGGTATCCCGGTGGGCCAGTCCGGCCCTGCCTCAGGGGGGCCCTAAGGTGTTCAGCCAGCCAGCTCTTGGGCCACTCATGAAATTGGGCTAACAAGGCATTTGTTAAAGTTGCGGGGGTGGTGTATTTTGCAGCCCACTTGGAAAGTGCCACCCAAGGCAAATGTCTTGATAGCCATGAGAAACGACAGGAGCAGTCTTATGAAGAGATTGTAAATAAGCACCAGAATATTAAATTGAGCCTTATATCTTATGGGAAGCCAATGTAATGACTGATATGAAGGTGAGGAAGGACACGAATAGGAGCCTTGCTGCAACTTTAATTATAGACTGTAGTGGGATGAGCTGGGAGTGTGTGAAAAGTAAAAAGCAGGTTGCAGTAGTCAAAACAGGAGATGATAGTTGCATAGACGAGCATCTTAGCTGTATCCAGGGTTAGGTGGGACACATGTGAACTATGTTTTTGAAATGGAAGTGACAGGATTTGCCGGATGCGAAGGGTGTAGATATATACTGGAGCTGTGTGTATATATATATACATATATATATATATATATATTCTAGATATAATAAAAATTTTTTACTTAAAACAAAATAGTGCAATGGTGCAAGGTCTATAAGCTAGAAGAATCTTTGTGGTGGCCATAAGTCAAAACATAGTATTTTAGTGTTTGCATATTTTGGTGAGAAAAGCCAAAAAAGGAAAGAGTGCTTAATCATGTGCAATATTTTCAAATGCAAACATTTAGTATAAGCATGTTTATTATTTTACTTCTATTTTTGTCTTTTTAAAATATTATTACAAAGAGGAGTTACTCCTGATCTGATGTCCTTCAAATTGGTCAAGAACATAAAGTGTGAGAACCATGGGCACTATATGAAGGGAAACATATAAGACAGGAGCATTATTTATCTTAAAGCTTTTACATGGATTAAAATTCCCATTTTGGTAAAACCCACAAGATTGACAGCATATGGGAACTTCAACTTCTACTACATTAATTCCTATTCATTAAGTATGTAGTGTGTTCACTATGTGCCTTAATATGCGGTTTACTTTCTGATAGATGCACAATACATGTCATGTTCAATTTAGCTTTAAACAAAAACTAAATCTAAAAATATATATGTTTCTCCTGTAAAATAAAGCAGTTTGCTATATCTCCATATATGCATGTAAATAACTAAATGTATTGAGTGCCGTTAAAACAGCAAATACATTTGAAAACATACTCATCTTTAGTTCTCGAAGTATTTAACTGAATATAAGTTTAAGAATAAGAACAAGACAGTAAGTGCATCAGAAAATTCCATCTCTTTTTAAAATATATTGCAGTACACTTGCAAATAACAGATGAAGAGCAAAAGAGAGAAAGAGAGAGAGAGAGAGAGAGAATATGTATTAGTGAATGATGTATTATGAGAAAATTTTTCTTACAATTATCCTGGAAACAACATAGGCCACCAGATAAACGATGAAGTTCAAATGGTTTATGGATGTCTCCAGAATCACAAAATAATGATTTCCCTTGATACCCGACCACTGTTACATAAGTTACCAATTCGTGTTAGAAATACAGCCCCCAAAAGTCTACAAGCATCTGCCATCATACACTATATAGTTTTCTGCAGTATGTAACTAATGGGAAGTAATGTGTGTCTCTCATACTTTGAAAGTACTCTTGGACTTTCCATTCCACAATTCTCTTAGATGACTTTCAGCTCAGCAATACCTTGAACCTAAAGTGAGAATGCACTTACACTTTTTCCTTAACTTTCCAATATCTCCAACATAATTCTTCGACTCTTTGTTTGCAGTTTACATCACGTATCTCAAGCAACCTAATTCTGAATGTGTACAACTGATCTATCATGTTCCTCTAGTCTAAACTGTTTGCTTCTCCATTTTCTTTTGTCACATAATACTAGTGACATTATTTTGACATTAGTTTCTTCTGCCCACGTTTAGTGTTATCTTCACATCATTTGACAAACCTCGGTGGGAGGAGAGAAACGTGTGATGCATGTGAGGTACACAAGATAAGTAGTAGGGTATACATAGTTGTTATTAACATTTTTGGTAAAAAGAAAGAAAGACATATGTCGCCATATGCTTTCAACAGCATATCAAGCAATGGGAAACAAAAGGTACAAATTTTTGTTTTTTGTGAAAATAAACATAGAAAAGGGGAGAAGGATAAAGGAGGACAGAGGTAGGAAATAAGTGGGGAGGGAAGGGGGGACTGGAGCTAGGGTCTATGGTGGCTGACATGAAGCTTTAGTTTATCATGTCGTATCGTAAAACTTGACAGCCAGAGATTTCATAAATCGCCAAATAATTGGGTTATGGGGCCATAGAGCCACACCAGTGGGAGTTTTTTAGAATTGGTAAGAAAACCTTCTTGGTACTCGGTTTGATTGGGAATGTGGCCTAATTTGTCTGGCCATTTGTTCGTAGTGTTTAGTGTTTTCTACAATTTGTATGCAGGATGTTGTAGTTGGAGGGTTTGTCTTCAGCAAATTTCTACCAATGGCTGTTAAAGATGCTATAATTATATGGTATATTAGATATTTTGTTGTTAGGTTAATTTTTTTAGGGAAGAGTTGTAGAAGAAATGTAAAAGGGCTGTTTGGAGGGTTACTTCTGTGCACTTTTATATCATTGTACTAATATCCGTCCAAAATTGTGTTAATCTTGGGCACGACCATAATGCCCGTGTCTGATAAACATCTCCAGCAGTTGGCAGAGGTCTTGGGGTTTCCATGTTTTAATCGGACTGGAACCATGTCCAACCAAAGTAGTATTTTCCTTGGTAAGGGATTTGTATCCTTGTAGGATTCTCTTCCATGAGGGTTCACTTAAGGCGCGCCCCAGGTCCCTTTTCCAAGATTTAATAAAGGGTAATTTGTGGGACTTGGTGTGGGCCCATAGCCCTAAGAATCAGCTGGTTAGAGCAGTGGTAATGTTGTCTTATAACTGGGAAACATAGGTTTGAAACCCAATCAGACCAACTTACCAATAAGTGTCCTTGGGCAAAAAAAAGATATTTATCCACCTACCTCAAATTCTCACATATTATAACTTGCTTAAACTGGGACCTCTTTATCTCACATATCCCCTCCCTATTATTAAAAAGTGCTGCTGAATATATTGGCACTATATAAATGCTAATAATGATAAGTACCATTTCAAATCCTCCTGATGTCAATATCATAACCCTGCTTTTTCCATAGTGTCAGGTTTTCTTTTAGACATAAGGGCCATTTAATTACAATTTTGTTACCTTTCCGCTAGAGTTCTTTTTAAATTAATCTCAGTGCTGCAATAAGATGATTTTGAAAATAACAGGGACCTACACAACCAACAGGGACCTCACAATACACTGAACCTTTCAGGAATTCTAGAAGTCAAACAAAATTATTTGATCCAAATAAAATGTGGCTAAATATGCTGAAAAAGGCAAAATTTGTGAATACAAATCAGGCAGTCCAATCCATATACCTGCTGTTAAACTTTTCTATACTTTTCAAAAAATGTTTGATTTAAAAAAAAAAAAGAATAATCAAAAATATACAAATGCACTCCAAAAAAATCACCATTAACATCATATTTATTGTTATTTAATTGTTTGGTAAAACATATACAGATATATACAATATGCATGAATACAGAAGACTGCACTTTACATATTTCTTTTAAAAAAGGAAACTAACACTCAGTTTCATGAGCTATTGTCACAGTCTTCCAAACAAGCATTTAAAAATGGATTGAACAATAGTCATTAAAAGAGTACAGATTGCTTAACACACAGCAGAGTAAAGATTTCATATTTTACATGTGCAATAACATTTTAAGAAGAGTTTGCTAAGCAGTACTGATCACCAGTGTTTTTGTGTTTCTTATAAACCGGATTGTACGAGAAGTCGATTTTTCTCACATATATTTTAAAGCTGTAATATTTGGGAAGAGCGGAATTTGTTAACATTAACATTGCTTAAATGCACAGTTCTGTTTAAGGAAACTGAGAAGAAAGCGGGCCTCCAATCATCCATAGAGACTTGGATATAAAACTTACAAAAGAAAGAATGAAATCACAATAAAATCAAACTGTACCAAAGGCTGACAATAGATGCTTTAGAAAAAAAAATCTTTTATATAAAAAAAAAAAAAAACAGACAACTGAAACATTTTCTGTATGTCTATGGTCTTCTGAAGATACCGAACAAACTATACAATCTCAAATATGGAAATAAAAAGATATATGGGAAAATTACACATATTTAAAAACAGAAAAAAAAAACTTTAAACATGAGTTATCTTCAGAAGGTTGGCCAAATCTTGAAACTTGGAGAGGACCTAATTTATAATTGTATAATATAAAACTTTAAAAAAGTAATCCACATTTCACCAGGAATGGGTGAATACATCAGTCATTAGAGGAACCTTTTGTATATAATAAGAGACATAGCTTAAAAGGTCTAGAGGTGTAATTCTGCAACTATCCATTGCAATTAATCATGGACTTTTTTTGTATAACAGTGACATATTCAAGGTCTGGGGGCTTGTGGAAAATGCTGCTAAATGTGAACGAACAAGAATAAAACCTATACCTGTTTGTGTGTAGTATAAACATTAACCGTTTGCTCTAGATAAAAGAGAGACAAAAGAGTGTATTCACCAAAATGGGAATTGTGACCTTACAGGCCAAAATAGGTCAGGTGAAAACTTGCTGAGAAGAAAATGTATCCAATTAGCTAGTGGCTATTAAAAATGTTCTTGTAATTTTGTTGCACTTCCCAATTTAGTCAATAAAGCCCATTACACTTTGCAAATCAATGTTACTGATCTTTCTGGTACAGATTAACAGTTTCACACATAGCAATTGCAGATATATGAAGTTTCAATAAATTTAAGATAATGCATACAATCAGCAAGCTTTAATATAAATTCTAAGGAAAAATAATAAAAAAAATGTCATTTTCACAAGCGAAAATAAAAATGAACCTCACATTTTATGAGCTACGTATGTTCAAATCCTGGACATACACATTTCTGAGATGTAAAATTTTCTGACTTGAATAAAAAGAGTCAAAGAGAATGAACAATCTAAAATAAAAAATAAAAAAATAAAGAAGAATATCATGGTTTTACAGCAGGGAGGCAATATAATGTACCTTTTGTGACATTTTTCTAATTTGGGAATTCATTGTTTATACTTAAAGAACCAGAGGGGTGACCAATGCATTAAATTCCCAGAAATTAGAATTAAAATGCTCGGAAAAGCAGTTTTAGAGAGATGTAACGTGATATGTTTCACATATGGAATAGAGATTCTACAGTATAGGGGGTAAGTATTTATTTTAAACCATATTTAAGTAAAAGATCGTGGTATCTTGAGCAGTGGATTACAATCTATAATGAAAGGACTCATTGCTCAAATCAGGGTCCTTAACTCTTAAAATTCTTGATATACCTTCTTGAGAGGTGAACTTAAGTCTTCAATGTTATTCTGTTTTTTTTTTTTGTTTGTTTGTTTTTTAATCTAGAACAGTATTCATGAGATTTATTTTTTCTCAAAGCGAGTTCTGGCTCCTTTATTAAAAATTATGCTTGCAATTTCCTTAAAACAATGTTTTATTTGTGTAACTGCTAGCCAGATTGTGACCAGGTAGACAGCTGAATGTGGCCACCTTAGTACAGCTGAAAGCCGGTGATCTAGATATAAGAAAATTAGAGCAAAAATATGCATCACCAAAATCTCAAAATTGTGTGCACTCGAGGTATATCACTGGCCAAAACTGCTGAATTTCTCCCTATGCTCTGAGCTTTTGCTAGGAATCCATTATACATGATGTGTCAAAATAATCAGCTTACAAATTCACTAATTATAGGTAGAGATGTCGCGAACTGCTCACCGAACTGTTCGCGAACTGTCCGCCGGCGAACAATAGCGTGTTCGCCTTGGGCTAACATATGCAATTTCCGGTCCGCCCCCTATTCGTCATCATTGAGTATACTTTGACCCGGAACCTCACAGTCAGCAGACACATTCCAGCCAATCAGCAGCAGACCCTCCCTCCCAGGAAGTGTCTGCTGACTGTGAGGTTCCGGGTCAAAGTGTACCCAATGATGACGAATAGGGGGCGGACCGGAAATCGCATATGTTCGCCCAACGCGAACATGCTATTGTTCGCCGGCGGACAGTTCGCGAACAGTTCGGCGAGCAGTTCGCAACATCTCTAATTATAGGTTTGTTGAATACCAATGGTATTGCAGGACCAAAAAAAAAGTATTTCTTTTTTTGACAATCAAATAAACAAAAGCTGTTTACTCTTGAAATGTTTGCTTTATTCCAAACTCCAAATAGTTTTTATGATTATGTAGGAAACCCCACTTCTGTCTCTTACTGAAAAGCAGTAAGAGTGACATAGGGCTTATCTAAGAGGTTGATGTGATGTTGGAAGATGAGTGCACATCTTAAAGACAATTACAGTGGTATACACATAAAAATATACATTGGTGTTTGGGACAAAACAAAGGTAACATTTTTTGGTTTTCTTTGTATATTCAACGAGGCTGAGTACTACAGCCTCAACCAAAAGTGATGGAATTCTGAACATATACATTGAATCTATTCTTGACTACCTTGTTTCATATTTAAACTAATGTTCTAGATGTACACAGAAAAATTTACTTGGTTTATCTAACTTCATATGAACAAATGCTTAATTTTAAAAGTTTCACATACAATGTTAGGATTCATACATTAGAGGACAAAAAAATGTAAAATATATCAAACATAGAAATTGACATCTGAGTTTCTGCAACTTTTTTGTAAAACTACACTAAAATATGTAAAGTAGCTTTGGTGTAAGGAATATATACATTACATTTATGGTTGTATTACCTCATCCTTAAAGGTGAAGTTCCACTTTAAACAATATTTATTTATTGGTAAGAATTTTCTATATCAGAGAAATATACTGTCTGTAAACAAAAATATGATTTAAATCCTGCCTTTTGAAACATTTCAGTCTCCATATTATTTCTAAGTGCCCCTATTTCCTGACATTTAAAGGGAAATTATTGCTTCTCTGGAAATTACATAATTGAATAAAACAGTGAAAATCATGAAATGCTCCATTCTCTTTTTAGATATCTATTACCAGTTTAACAAATTACATTATAATGCAGTTCAGCCCTGGCACAGCTATGGCAAATAATGCAGATGAGGAGGAGTTATAGACATATTGTTAATTCTCCTCTTCTCTGCATGCTTTCTGTGTGAGGACTGCCAGTTGCAAAAGGATGAACCTTATAACAATGTCTGAGAGTGAGCTAAGATGGAGGCGCCCATTCACCGAATAAAGAGATGTAAATATCTACTTTTAATTTTATTTCTCAAAACTCACAAGTACATATTTGTTAAATATAGCAATAACTAAATATAATTGTAATAATCCTGAGAAGTGATGTAGTTGTTCTGGTGAGTATAAAAGCTCCCTTCAGGCATTTTCATGTAAATTCTGCCTTTTTAGAGAAAAGGCAGTGTTTACATTGCCCTTAGGGACACCTCCAAGTGGCCACTCCTTAGATGGCCACTGGAGGTGCTTCCTGGCTCAGGGCTGCACAGTAAGCAGCCCTGCCGTTCATCGTCCCCACGCTCTGCATGGAGACGCTGAATTTTCCTCATAGAGATGCATTGATTCAATGGCCCCACCCCGTGCCGATTTTAACCAATCCAATGCTTTCCCAATGGGAAAGCATTTGATTGGCTAAAAATCGGCCATTTCGATGATGTCAAAAAGGGGGCGGAGCCAGTGCCGGCGTTGGACATAAGGTGAGTTTTATACTTTCATAGGGGGGCTAAAAGGAGGCAAGCCACTTAAATGGTGGGTTAAACACTATAGGGTCAGGAATACAGGTTTGTGTTCCGGACCCTATAGTAAACCTTTAATATAGAGCATCATCCCTGAACCTTTGGAAATTTATATAAGTTTCAATAGAAAAACAAACATTGTCTCAGTTAAGTTATAGATTTATTGCACATTTTTTTTCCAGGCAACATCTTTAATAACGTAAACATAGATATTTTAAATGGAAAGTTAAGATAACTTTCTTTTTCTTCTCAGATCTTTGATTTTCTGGCATTGATATGGGAAAAAGGGATATTTTGAAAAAGCAAGTAGAGTTCATCTGAAACAAATAAATGTGCAGCCACATTTCACGTAGCTGACATCTCATTAAAATGGATCTGTCACTTTAAAAATGGACATAAATCACTAGACCGTAAAATACTCTGTACACATTTTTTTCTCTTTTTAATGTCTCAGCAATTTCGAAATGTTTTAATAGAGTATTTGCAGTTAAACTGCCTGCTTCTTGTTTACATCTGTACCTTATTCTCTCTTCAGATTGGTTGTTCATTTTCCTTGTTTATAAATTTGTGTGTCTTGTTTTGCAACTGGTGCATAAAACAGGAAACACACATTAGTGATGTGTGCCCATAATGTCCACGGAATAATACCTTTCACAGCAGGTAGTTTGAAAGTTATCATTAAAAACATCTCAAAAACCGCTGAACCGTTTTTAAAAATGTTAACACAACATATAGACAGGTTTTTATACTTTTTTATGCTCTACTGCTTAATGTGAAGTGACGAGTGACAGGTCCTCTTTAACTGCACAAAATGACAACTGTTGCAGAGGTGTGCAGAAATGATACTAATATTCATAGCAGATCCACATGATATTATACACAAACACAGGCCTTCCATATGTACGTGCATTGCACCAGTAGTTCTCAACTCAGACACTTAGAGTGCAACAATCTCATGCTTGCTTTGTGTCACACTTCTTTGCAGAATGTATGTGGGTTAGTAGCCAGAAAACAAGCCTGTTTGCAGACTAATATGTAAGTAACCCAAGTTCTGATTGAGATGTTCACGGTATACCAATGGTAATTACTGAACTGTTTTAAATCACACAGTTTAAAAGCTGAAAACTAAGGCACCATGAAAACCTTTTACACCTCAGAAATGGAGATTTATTCTTTAGATACATTTACAAAAAAATATTATATTGTTGTTTGTACCAAAGAATTACGCTCTTCATGTTATGAATGCTTGAAATAAGTACATAATAAATAGTACGGCAATATACTTGATATTTTAACGTGTGCAAAATAACAGCAAAACATCCATTTTACAGCGTGATATACAGTCCCAAAAAGCATCCTTTCCGAAATCAAAATGGTCACCTCCCATATTTGTAAGCATAAATGCATTGCTGAAACATACAGTTTCCATGAATTATGAAGAGATTTGTTTCTTTCCAAAAAGCCAAGAGAATAAGCGTGAGATAAAACAAAATTTTTAAATGGAAAATAACGACTTCTCCTCAGAAATAATATTTCATGTAGCATTGAGAAAAGCAAAAAAAGAATATATATATATACCACTTTGACATACAAAAGCCCTTCTCTAACCCAGATAAACAGTAGGCCAAAATTACAGAGTAAAGGGAAGAGGGGTATTAACTAGAAGGAAGGTATAAAGCATAATTAGTGCTGGATGAAGAAGAATTAACACTGGTATCATACTGTGGCAAAAGATTCAAAAATATGAGGTTTATTTTAAATTAACCCTTCCAAGTCCATACGCCACTAAGCAGGTACCAACCTAAAAAAAAAAATAGTCCACCCTTTTAGAAAATTGGAAAAAAAAAAGTATGTTCTTATTTTCTTAAATTTCAAGTGAGGGCAGCAACAAAAGTTCCAAATCTGTTGGAGATATCAGAATGAAGGGATCTCCATGTAGGTACAGGAGTCCTACCCTTTGACTCCCCAATGTCATCTGTGCAGTGAACTGAGAGGCATTGCAAATGGCTTCCATTTTGTGCCGCTGCTGAGGTCTTGTTCTGGGGAAAGTCATGGCCTGCAACAGAAAGAATAAAAGAGGTTAAAAGCCAATTCAACATACTTTTGCTAGAATGTAGAATAGAAACGAGGTTAAGGAGATAGAACTTTTCAAGACCTGAATAAAAATGTATCAGAGGAGCTAAATTTACAGTTTATCAGTTACTGATTTCTGACTGTGGGTAATCTTTAAAGGAGCAGCAAAGCCTATTTGTTTTAAAACTAAGATAAGTGAAGTAAATTACTTTTTTAAAGGCAGAAATAGGGCTCCAGTATTGACTGTATTGCTTCCAATGCTATCACCAGTTCAGTAAATAATATATATTCTAAAAAAATCCAGTCAATGACCTTGCAAATATTCATTTTGTGAGCCTGCATAGATGCCTATGAAAGTTCAGTCTAGTATTGAACCAGCGTGACTCTGGTTCAATCTATGCCAACGGGAGGTAAGCACGGGCATTACTCAAAGTTACATATAAATTAATGCTACCATAAAAAAATATTAAAAACTAATATACTTTTAAAAAAAAAGAAAACTACAGTAATAGAAAAAAATTTAAAAGTACACATATACACCTTTAATATTAAATATTTTAAAAAAAAAACAGAAAAGTACTCTCATATCTACCCACAAGGGGCAGAGATGATCATAGGTCATCCAAAGAAATCAGGTCTGTGCTCTAGGCTACCAAGGAGTTAAAGCATATGTAGCTTTGAAACATTTGTTATCTCAGAGCCAGCAGTGATAAATTCATTTTACAGCATCTTTTAAATATGCATGGCATGTAATGTAGCATGGAACTGCAAACGGGAAAGAAAGCCTGAGATAACAGGTTTACAGTGTGAGATATAGTAAGTACTTCTGCTTTTCTGCTCCAATGAACCCAGTGAAAAAATGAATTCCAAAGTAGGCTTGGGAAGTGTACTTCAGTCAATTTCTGTTTAACAAGATTAACTTATTTGATTGTGGTACCATAGAAAAAATGGGCATGGTCAAAGAAAAACAAATTGTTTGCCAAGTTTACAGGAAAAACAATTCAATAAATACTCATTTTTTTAACACAAATATTGCAGACAGGCAGATTTTTAACTGAACATTTGTAGACATTTGTTCTAACGTTAAATTCCAGAGGAAAATTAAAGGGGCACTGTAGGCACTTTAATAACTTCATCTTATTGAAGTTGTTATAGTAATTGCAGTCCTGCATCCCGTCCTATGCTACAAAACCATTTTTTTTTTACTAATTAGAAGGATATAAAGCACAACTACAAGCAACGTCTTGAGGTCCTCTGGGTATGAGAGACGAAAATCTCACTTCTCGCCTCTCATACCGTGATACACGAGCGAATGAGCAGTGCCGTCACGGTTGGCTATAGAGAATCATTGATTTCAATGATTCTTTATGTAGGAATCGTAGGCGCGTCACGGCCCATACAACCCATGAAAGAGACAGTGGAGAAAAAGTGAGTAACTGTTTTTATTTTCATTTATTTCAATTTTATTTTTATACAGTTAGCAGGGGGTCAAAATGGTAAGGGGCACCAGGACTATAGCGTTAGGCATACAGATTTGTATTCCTAACACCAAAGTGTTCCATTAAGCATAACTTAACCCCTAAGGGTCCTTATGATAATTTTAACCACACAACTTTTTTTGCATATATGGAAACTCCTGCTCATGTAGTATCTTTGCTATACATTCTTAGTAGATAGCTGTATGTCTGTGCTTAAGGCTGAATGCAAAAGAAAATGTTTTAGACCAGTTCCCAAAGACAAAACATAGCTCAGAATGTTGCTAACAACCATGTTTTTTAGGAAATCCCCAGCCTTGGAAATATATTCCAGCGATTATTATTATTATTTTATTATTTATATAGCGCCAGTAAATTCGTAGCGCTGTACAATGGGTGGACTAACAGACATGTAATTGTAACCAGACAAATGGACGCACAGGAACAGAGGGGTTGAGGGCCCTGCTCAATGAACTTACATGCTAGAGGGAGTGTGGTATAGTGACACAAAGGGTATAGGTAGGGGTAATGAAATAGGATGCTATAAAACCTTAAGTTATTTTTGACAGTTGCAGGAGAGGAGTCATGGGGGGAATAAAAACCCGCTAACGGTTTCAAATTATACGCTTTCCTGAAGAACTGTGTTTTTTGAAGGAGTGGAGACTAGGTGAAAGTCTAACGGAGAAGGGAAGGTAGTTCCACAGAAAAGGTGAAGCCCTGGAGAAGTCTTGGAGGTGAGCATCCGATGTGGGAGTACGGACAGCGGATAGACGTAGGTCTTTGGCAGAGCGCAGGGGTCTCTACGGGACATACTTGTGTATTAGGGAGGATAGGTAGGTTTGAGCAGCAGTAGGGACTTTTAAGCAAGCACCAGAATCTTAAATTGAGCCCTATATCTAACTGGAAGCCAATGTAGGGACTGACAGAGCAGGGAGGCATGGGAGGTGCGGGCGGACAGGAAAATGAGCCTCGCCGCCGCATCCATTATAAATTGCAGCAGTGCAATTTGGGAACACTTAGACCACTTATGATCACCTATATCTCTTTTTCTCATATTTTAGAATATGTGCTTATAACAAAGTGATCCACTGGCTAAACTGTTGTAAGTTTACTACAAACAAAATCAAAAATCCCACACAAAATATCACAAGTTGTGGTTTATTTTCTTTTTTCCCGGTTCAATTATTTTATACTCAAGTCTGCAGACAACTCATTATAACACACTGGTTAGTGACTGAACCCTTAAAGTGCTAATGGAATGTGTCAATTAGAATGTAATGCTGATTAGCCACCCAGCACTTACATGATGATAAGTAGCTTTATGTAGTATCCTAGAGAGATTGTACTTGCTTTCCTACTCAAGTGCACCTCTTGATTTGTTCTGCCAGCTTTTCTATGAATGCACATTGCGTAGAAAAACCCAGAGGAAAAGCACTCCTTACAATTTGTTTATAATTTAGCATTATACACAGTAGCACTATGATATAAGCTTGCATCTAGCATTGCAGTCTATAAACATATGTTGCAAACGCATGTATTTACCTATTTGTGGCATTAATTTTGAGACAACTGATGAACGACCAATATTAAGCCATTCAACCCAGCGCATTAAAAACAAACGAGTTGCTGCCTTAACCCCTTAACGACGAGTAACTGACGACAGCCCTCACTCAGGGGATTGCCATAACGACGAGTGACGGACCTCATCCGTCACCCGTTAAAATTAACCCCGGATGGCTGCGATCGCCGCGATTGCGGGGTTAATGGTGCTCCGGTCTGCCTCTGTATTAGAGGCAGACCGGGAGCACCCGATAGTGCTGCCCCAGCACATGTGCTCGCTCTGACAGCATGTCAGAGCGAGCACATGTGCTGCATATACTCACCTTCCGCCTCCCTGCACTTCCTTGTTCTGTGTGAAGTGCAGGAAGCCGGAACACTGCTGATCCTGCCCCCTGTTAAAAAATAAAAAGAAAGTGTATTTAAAATCCCACCCCCCTTTACTTATTTTAATTAAAAATTAACCCCTTCCCTGCCAATTGATCACTGACTGCAGTGATCAATTGGCAGAGATTACATTTTACTGTCATCTGATTTTGTTTTATTCTTTTTTTTTAACCCTCAGGGGTTAAATTTATTGAATTAATTAATTTAAATATTTTAAAATTATATATTTAGCTAGCTGGGGTGGGTGGAAGTTAGTGGGGAATTGGGGGATTTGGTGTTAGGCTAACTAGGGGTTAACGTTAAAAAAAGTTTTAAAGTTTTAATAACGTTTAAGTAAAAAATAAAAAAAATAAACCCTTTACCCAGTCCAAATAAAATTAACCCCTTCCCTGCCTGTCGATCACTGCCTACAGTGATCAAAATACAGATCACAGTATTATACTGTGATCTAATTTTTTTTAACCCCTGAGGATTAGCTTTTATGTATTTTTTAACCTTCAGGGGTTCGATTTATTTAATTAATTAATTTAAATATTTTATAATTATATATTTTGCTAGATGGGCTGGGTGGGAGTTATGGGAAAATTGGGAATTTACTCTTAGTGCTGCTTATTGCTAGTTAGGGGTTAACGGTAAAAAAAAAAAAGCTTAGAAAACTGTTAAATCTGTAAAAAAAAGTTTTAAGAAAGTTTAGGAAAGTTTAAAAAAAATTAGCAAGCCAAACAAAAGTTTAAAAACTAGTTTTTAAAAGTAAAAAAGTTTCAAAAAGTAAAAAAATACATTTAAAAAGCTCATTACCTCTACACCTGGAACAAACTAGAGAAAAAATTATCCCAGGCTAAGGTTCAAAATGTGCCTTTTGAATTACCCCGGGGTGTATTCTTTAATAAATAGTATGTGTTTGTGGGGAAGTTTCAATAACCAACCGTCTAAACTACTCCAAATTGGAACATGGACACAGCTTAAAACTTCAAAGTTAGAAAAAAACTGAATGGCTGCATCTCAAATGCGCCCCTTCAACATCCACATATACCTGGCAAAGGTACATACGGGGGTATTGCTGTACTCAGCCGACATAGCTGAGCAACATATGAAGTATTATACAGTCATAGCACACATAAGGTTTGCAAAATATACTGTGCAAACTCACATTGTGTGTCAAAAAGGCACTTAAAAACACTTATTACCACTACACTTGGAACAAGCTAGTGGAAAAATTATCCCACGCTAAGGTTCAAAATATACCTTTTGAAATAACCTGGGGTGTCTACTTTAAGAAATGGTAGGCCTTTGTGGGGTAGTTTGAATTTAAACCCTGCTAAGATGCTTGTCAATTGCACATAGGCCCAGCGTCAAAATTCAAAGTTCGGTAAAAACTTATATGGCTTGGTCTCCTATATGGCACTGTAGCTTCACGAAACAGTGCCAAAGACTTACAATGGGGGTGTCATTTTACTCAGAAGACTTTGCTGAACATAATTTGGGGGGTTTGAACTTAGTGGCACGTGTGAAATATACAACATGCCCAGCAAAAATGCAATCCATGTGTAAAAACCGCACAAAATTATTTTTTACCACATACTTTGGCATATATTGGTGAAAAAATGGGGGCATGTTAAGGCACAATATGCACCTTATGAGATACCCTGGAGTGTCTACATTTACAAATGGTAGGCCTTTGTGGTATTTTTTGAACAGTCAAACTGTTATAATACCCCAAATGGAAGCATAGGCTCATTAAATCCATCTCTCAAAATTCTACTGTGAATACTGAAAAGAACAGGCCTCCTATATGGCACTGTAACTTCACGAAATAGTGCCAAAGACATACAATGGGGGTGTCATTTTACTCACACCAACTTTACAAAATACACATGAGAATTTCTTTGTTATAAGTTTGTGTGCCAAAAACCAAAAAAAACAAAATTTTACTCCAATATTTAGCAGAGGTTGGCGGTGAAATGGCTATGTAGAAAGTGTCAAAACAACCTTAGGTAAATAGCCTGTGAGGTCTACTTTATATAAATATATACTTTTGTATGGCAATTTTGTTTTCTTTTATGGCTATTAAGCTTACAAGACAAACATCCCAAATTCTAAAATCGCTCCACATTAAAAGTTTATTTTACTCCTTGTGCTTTGTGACCTGTAACTACCAAACAAAACTTAAAATCCCAGACACATTATATATTCTGTAAATCAGAACAACTAAGTGAATTTATTACTTTCCTTAACCTGCACTAATTATGCACACATTATTGCAAAAACTGTAAAAAAAAAAAAAAAAAAAGCACAAAAATTTTCATTTTTTTGCATTTTTCTGTATTTTTTTTATAATAAATTAGCATTTATATATGTGTGTGTTACTTCAAATTAAAGCCATTTCTGTCCTTTAAAAAACGATATATAATATGTGTTGGTGCAATAAATTAGTAAAATGCTAATTGCAGTTGAACGCAAACAGCAAAAAATGAAAAAAATGCTGTTGTCATTAAGTGAAAGACAAGCTTCTGAAGCTCTGTCCTTAAGGGGTTAAATGGCCACTTGGGAATGTATTCAGGAAAAAGACAATTGATTTAAGGGCAGAAAAGATGAGTTGGACAAAATTGCGTAGTGAATGTTCTTTGAAATTATTATTTTTTTAATAATAAGGGCAAATTAGATGAATTAAATAAACACCTATTTTGTTCGGAGATGTCTGTCTTATCACACACTTTTATAAACACAGAAGGTTGAGTAAATCAGGGAATGCAGCAATCTCAATGGAAAATAAATTATTGCAAAGTAACCAGGTTTTTTGCTTTCTTTTGGATCAACAGCAACAACATTTGTGAGGAAGGCTGAACGTGATGGACGCAAGTCTCTTTTCAGCTATGTAACTATGTAAAGTAACCAAAAGTGCTAATTGGTTAATGGATTGGGATCAAAAGACATCCTGCAAGAGAGCAGTCAAAAGAGATAAAGAGATATACAAACCCAAACTTCAGAGACCATGTGCCAGCATATATAGAGCCCTGGTGTCACTAAATGATAGTAAATTCCTTGTCAGTGTATACAAACCACATTCTTGTAAAAACAAAAACTATCTTTGTTCTTATGGGGTTAATAGAATATATTATGCACCGTGAGACTCACTACAGCAATAACTACTGCTGTCCATGAATGTTGTGAAAGCTGCAGGAAAAATCCACAGAGTGATCAGTGCAGAGATTGATGTTTTGTTTAATACGTGAGCCATCCCAAAGGATCATTCTGGGATGCAGCTCAACATATCTAGTGCAGAGACATAGTCACCACACTTTCCCATCAGGCTTCTTGATGTCATAAATCTGCTCTCCATGGCTGCCGAATGAATTATATATTTAATCAGGTCTACATAAGCAGCTAACCAATACTTAGAAAGCGGTATGACTATGGAGATATGTCATTAAATACTAATGTTAGATTTCACAAGCTCACCCGGTGTAGTGTGATATTGAATAGCATATATCAGCAGGGCAAACGTAAACATCTATTACTAGTAAAAAATGTAATTTGTTTATTGAATTCGACATATGGACAACAACAAAAAAATTGACAAAAGCACAAGAGAAAATTGAACTATTTTGTTAAATGTAAGTGCATCCTTATCATTTCCACCAAATAACATTAGTAATAATTATTAAAAAAAATATTTTCATCGTAAAACTAAAGGAAAGCCTGATTGCGATGCTTACAAACGTGACACACACATTCTAAACAGCATATATACAGTGGTACGGTTTCTTAAAATTATATTTCTATTAAATTAGATTACTAAAAACATCTAAGATAAACAGATATGTTTGCGCATTTTCCAATGCTGAGCATCCCTCAACAAGGCAGAAATATATACAGTCAAAGTACTGATGTTGGATTTGCTTATATTGTAGTAAAACTATAACAAAAATAATTTTTGTGTAGGGTATAGGGATGGTAAACATCACATTTTTATTAGTCGATGTGCACTGTTTTTGTCAAAACCCATCAGAATCAAAAGAGAATGCTCTGAAAAGAGTGCAGCTTCCTAAAGGTCTGGTGAAGAATGGGCTCTATTCTTTCAGCTAGCTTGCAAGATTAAAGTGACAAACAGGAGGTGAGGATCCCTAGAAAGGCTGCTTGCCTCTGGGCTCATTCCTTACACTTCTTCAAAGGCCCTGACAAACCATCAGCTACTGCTCCTTGTCTGCCCAGGCCCCTCACGCAGCGTGGGTCCAGTCTATAGCAGCCATTCCACCAATAAGCAGTCAACCGTGAATCTTTCTGCTAGTGATCTTGTTAAGGCAACATCAGTTCATTCTGATCAAATATCTAGAAAGGTCTCGGATAGCAATTAGTATAGTTATACTCCTCATCTCTTTAACTTTGTTTTTTGCTGGAAAAGTTACTAAATTTATAATATGGGTTAAATAAACGAGTCCGTCCAGGAGATTTTTACCCATCTCTATTGCCTGAGGACAGGATTTTTTTTTTATTTTGACAAATCTACAACTTGACAGAATGACATATTGGTCTAGGCAGATAACTTTCTGTGATTTTCTAGAATAGATTTTTTAAAGAAAAAAATCTTTATCACATAGAAGAAATGCTTATTATAAATAAAACGAACGCACCCTGCTACAAGAGTGTGTGTGACGTAGTTGTGGTGGTAAAAGGGTTAATGTTCACTATTAGTTTGCATTAGACCGGAAGTAATGACGAAATCCCCCTTAACACCACCTACACTTAAACATAATAATAATATAACTATTACTATTTTAACGCTGCCACCATCAAGACAATTTATAAATGGGGTGCCTTGGTCCCCCAAGTCAATCAATAATAAAAACCCACCAAATACAACTTAGCCAAATAGTTAAGGAATTGCAAAAATACTAATTAGTCTCCTCAGGTAACGTGCTTCTTAACCAGACAAAGGCAGAACTTAATAAATGAATGTTTATTATGAGCAAAAAATAGACAGTGCATACAAAAATATATGATAAACAAATGATTTACACCAACAACAGATAAAACCAAAAAGGATAAAATATCAGAAGTCCTAACTATTCACTTAGGTTTTCAAAGTAAAACTTGTGCCCAGGGGGTCTCTGGCAAGGAAGGATGATGGTGACTCACTCAAAATTAGATCTTGGCCACAAGCAAGTACACCCACACCCCTCCAAATCATTGGATATATACCCTGTAGATTATCAAGTCTTGCCCAGCGGTGGAGTTAAGGCGTACCTATCGAAATAATAAGTGACCATCTACATTTTTCCAGACCAACGTCAATCCAAATGGAAACATTTGGCTCTATCTTCTCTTATGTACCTGCCCCAGAAATAATAATTGCATCTATGAATTTATTTTTTTCCCATCCCATAAACACGTCGCACGCCCCACCAGCAATCCAATAGGACGGACATCACAATTCCTGCCACATGGTTTAATTCGTGCAACTCATGTTTAGGCTTTATTAAAAGACTGGGCTTGTCCCATTCCAAATATAATAAAAATGAGGCTTAATTATTAAGCTATGGGTAAGTATTAATGTTCGTTTACACGAGCCGAGGTCAAGGAAAACAGAGAGATGAAATAACAAGAGACAAAGCAAAATATCACTAACCAGGAAATCCAAATAACAAATGCAACGCTCAATGGTAAACCAAAGACCACAACAGGGCAAAGAGGCAAGGGAGAGGTTAGCTTTTATATACACAGGGTGAGTCTGATTGGCTAATCTCCAATTAGTGTTAACCACAACACGTGGGAGGAGTCTCTTCCCTCCTTTGTGGTCTCTGAGGTCATAGTTGTGTCCCGGGTCACATGACTGGGTGCAGCACACATATAAAGAAGCTGCCCTGGAGCGTGCAGCATCACACACACTGCCAGTCTGGAGACAGGGACCAGATGATGCTGCTAGACATACAGGCGACTCAAGTGTAAAATGTCTCACCTTGCAGGGGCTTTGATAGATCAAAAGGACAATCCTTTTCACACATTGCCGACGCCCCTATAGATCAAAAGAGCAATTTCTCTCAGCCATTTGTCCTCTACCCAGGGGTCAAATTATTGATGCACTACACAAGTTATATTAAATAGCAATATTCCATTGTGTAATCATAAATTATGCACCCTTGCCGTGACAATAAACATTAAATATTCAGTTTAAATATACACCACCAGGTGAGATGGATTAATGTAATGTCACAGTTAGCTACAAAAAAAATGATTTTATTGGTTTAAAAAAAAACATTAAAAAATAGGTTTCTGTGAAATGTTTTTTTTTTTTTCATATAGACAACGGTACATTTGCTTTGGATGCTTTCTAAAATCCCATGATTTTGTGCATACAGCTAATGACAAGGCATGCATATGTAAAGAGTCACAGAAGTCTCACAGTTGCATAGTAATAAGAAGCTAAAATGGCAGCACAATACCCCATAATGTCATTATGCAACAGATATATGGGTGTTTTAAATTCTGTGAGATATTCTGCTGCACAATTTACTTTAACAAATATCTTGGTAATGAGATAGAACAACAAATATATGAACTTTTATTTGCGTGTAAGGGTATGGGATATATTGTGAGGGGTGATAGGGTGGTGTAATGTGCATGGAGACATAGGGAGTGTAGTGTGTGTATGAAGATAGGGACTAGCGTGTGTGTAAGGTGGATTGGGGTGCAATGTGTTTGGGATAGGGGCTGTAGTGTTCATGAGGGTTAGAAGCTGTTGTGTGTGAGGTGAGGGAGAAATAGGGGCTGTAGAGTTTGTGGTAGATAGGGGCTATAGTGTGTGTGTGGTGGAATAGTGGCTGTAGTGTGTAGGAGAATATGGGCTGCAGTGCATGTAAAGGAGATAAGGTTTGTAATGTGTGTAGGCAATGTAGTTTGTCTGAGGGAGAGATAGCAACGGTAGTGTTTGGTGGCAATACAGGTTGTAGTGTGAAGGAGTGAGGAACTGAAAACATATGGATTATTAATTATTAAAAGAAAAAGAAAGGAACATTTATGCCCCCTTTTACTTACTTTTGGCTAGAGATGGGAGGCATGATAATCCCTTAGGTTGGATGGGTGGATCTTGCTCCGGTGGGTGAATTTATAATACTTCTGTAATTTCCAGCATCTGTGGATGTTTCTAATGCCAATTGTAAGCCATAGCAATGCTCTAAAACATTTACAGATGCTAGATTTTGGATCAATACTAGAGCCCCATGGAGGTCTCTGGTCTCTTCTTCACCATGGTGTGTTAGAGCACCTCTTTAAGCATGTGTTCTGCCATGGGCAAGCTGGGGAGATCCTTTGTCTTCCCAGTCAGCTTCAGCCCATAACCATGGCAGCCCACAAGGCATTTGACCCTTTTGCCCAATAGCCAGTCTGAGGCAAACTAAAATTATTATTTTTAAAAGTGCACTTTAAGATATATTTAGGAATAGGAATATTAATATTTTTAAAGCATGTATTAGTGTAATCATTTTGATTACTTTCCCAAAACGCAAAATAAAATACGTTGGTGTAATAATATAACTACAGCAACAAAACATATGCTTTTATCAAACTCTTATCTAGTACTCCGAAAATAATACAGCAGCATTTTCACTTTCAATAACATGTTAGAAAAAAACTTAGCTTAAATGATTTATTGAAACTTATAGTAACAAGTTCCCACCGGATGTGGTGTTCAAAGTGTCTTGACAATATCTGCCTCGGATTTTCTATGTCACTAATAGTATAATGTTCCACAATGTGCCAGAAACAGCACATAATATTGATTTTTCAAAGTTTGTATGGTTCAACAGACAGAAACAGGACTGTGTATTTTCTAGAAGACAACGCAGACCTGTTATTTACTGAGCAGCTTCACTCATCGAGACACCTTCCTGAAAGGATTAGCAGATATGCTCTTAATGTCCCATATGAGTAATTAAATAGTAAGATGTTTTCAAACCAGGAAGCTGTTTTATAGCATAATATCGCTTGGTTAATGTTACACTTTTGGCAAATTTTAAATACTGCAGTTTTATAGTTGGAGATAATGAATTCACACAATCAAGAAAGATATTCATGGATAACCAAAGTGGTTCGTATATTTAACTATTCCAACTGCAAAACTGTTAAAAGTGCATCAAAGATTTAGAGAGGAAAACACAGGGGGTTATTTATTTAAAAGCAACTGTGGTGCAAAATTCGAAAAGTAATTAGACACAACATTCCATTAGTCTCCACGGTAACTGCACAACTGATCTTTGCTTTACAATTGCTCTTCATGCCTAAACCAAAATATTACTATCTAATGCCATTTTTTCCGTTTCTATGGCAAGATTGGAAAAAAAAAACATATTTGTATACTATTTTTTATTATAACAAAAGACAATACAAGTGATAGGACTTAAAATTTCAAGCCCTGCATTACTAGCCAGGCCTAATAAATGACTTGCCACTATAAGCTTGGAGGGTTTTCTTACCGGAGATGAATTTCCACTTACCAGGGCAAAAAGTTTAACTCGCCAGTTGCAAGTGGCAAGTGGAAATTTGTAACCCTGATAGCTGAGTGTTATATTATTCTCCCCAATAAAGCACTTTGATTCAAAATAAATACTGTAATGATTTCACACATTACTGTATTTAAGGACCTACACTTATAAGATTAGGTTTCTGCAATCAATACAATCAGAGTGGGAAAATTATTTAATTTAGTTTAGTTTACAGCCATACTATATAAAAGTACATATAACTAGTTCTTCTTAAACAAAAAAAAACACAAAAAAAAGATTGAAATTGGATGGGCAAATAAAGCAACTGCTTAATAATAGTACACATTTAACAAAATGTAATTAAGGTGTCTATATCAGTCATTACATGATATTCCATTTTATATTGAAATGTCATGATATTATATTAAGAAATAATATATACGACCAGGGGAAAATTGGGTTGACTACTTACCAATATTTTATCATTAATTCTAATAATAGTGCAACAAAATACATTGGCACTCTAAAAGTAAAATACCTACCGTAAAATAGTAAAGTTTCCTCTTTTCTTTTTATTTTTACAAAGGTGATAACCCAAGTGAAATAAATACAGTTAATGACTTGAAACAATAGTATCCAAAGCTATTTAGTCCTATTTATTTTACCTTGAAATATCTCTCAATCCTCTTTAGGGCATGCTTGTAATTTGTATTCCCAGAAGTAGCAACTTCAGCTAGCAGCTATACAGAACCTAGCAAACGTTCTTACCTAAAATTAAAAGGAGTTCAATCAATTTTACCAGTCAGCACAGCAGGATAAAATATATCATCGTACTAACACTAGAAGCAGAGATCTGTATCACAAATTCATTTTTTTTTTCTGATGTATAATAGAGATGCAGATACAGATGGTACATTTAATCTGTTTCAAAGCAACCGTGTGAACATTATGATAAAGTTGTTTTTTTTCCCAGTTAAAGTAATTTAAGTTTAGTGAATACTTTATGGAAGGTAATCTGAAGGTCAATGTTTAAAGATGACCTTCAACGAAAAGAAAGTTATTTCTAATATTGCTGTATTGGGCAGATATATATATATTTACAACATGGCCAAAGGGCCAGTGCTTTATACAGAACAGCCTAGAACCCCACACTGAAGGATTAAGTGTTACATCTTCTCGTTTAATAATGTCTCGCCACTTGATGATATATATAATTTAATAAACACAACACACACTAACCTTTTAGATTATCCTTATTCAGGCTACTAATAAGTGGAGGCCTGAACCTCCAGATACTCTGTGCCTCTTCTGTGACTTTCAAATATAAAAATCCAAATAAATGTATTCATAAAGCTATGGAACTGCAACACAATGGTATCCTTATAGTAGGGGTCACATTTTGTTTGACTACCAAGACCCCGCTATTAGCATTTTTACAAATCAAATTGATAGTAAAAATTGTATCATTAAAATTAAAGGGATACTATAAGCACCAAAACAACTTTAGCTAAATAAAGTGGTTTGGCTGTGTAGATCATGCCCCTGCAGGCTCACTGCTTAATTCTCTTCCATCACTAAATAATTTTTGTTTCTGTCCATGTAGCCCTAGCCACACCTCCACTGGCTGTGTCTCACACAGTCATCAAGAAAAAAAAGTTTCATTTTTAATCTGCAGCGTTTTAAATCTAGACGTTTTATTTCCTGTTCTGTTACTTTAACTTTAATCACACATAGGTGGTTTCTGCATGCTCTAGCTGCTATTAACAGAGTAGGAAATTCTAAATTAAACATACTGTGCAATAAAGGTAGTTTAAACGTTACATTTCTCTTTGCAGGAAGATCACAGCCTACACAAATGATTTAATTCATAAACGACAGAGCATTGAGCAGTGAGACAGCAGGGGCATGATGTATATACCAAAACCACTCCACTAACCTAAAGTTGTTTTGGCGCTTGTAGTTTCCTTTTAAGGCTGCATTCTTACAGAAATTTGTGACCAACCTGTTGAAAAAGAAGTATCTTCCCACCCAATTAAATATGTTTATTATTATTATTGTCTGTATTGTATATTTCACAAACTGCAACTGTTCATAGAACTTATTAAGACTCACAACTATCTAATAATACATACTAAGAAGATGGTGAACCATTTATTGTCTTTATATAATGGACATTTGCGGATCTAGTCAAGACACATGCAGATGCGGACTGCACAGCCAGACTAGCAGTCATGGACCAGGGGTGCAAGGATTTGTGAATGAGTTATAAAAAGCCCATAGGGAGTTTAGTTTAATTTTCCAACTGACACTTAAAAATAAGGGGCTCAAGTGTGACAAATTGAGCTCTAGGAGATATGTGGATATTTAAAATAAGGTGTGGTGAATGGGCTCTTTGGGGGGATATCTGTCACGGAAAACGGGTCAATGGACAATACCTGTCATGTTCACACACAAAATTGAGCTCTAGGAGATATGTGGATATTTAAAATAAGGTGTGGTGAATGGGCTCTTTGGGGGGATATCTATCACGGAAAACGGGTCAATGGACAATACCTGTCATGTTCACACACAAAAGCAAACAGCCATTGTGCTACATGCAAACACCTTCATACACAAATTAACATTTAGTTGCACCAGAAATAAATATAATGCAATATATAAAGCATTAAGTGGGGGAAAAACACCAGCCTAGTGTGCCCCTCATAAGCACCAGCCTGGTGAGGACCCCAAATCCTAATTTTGCTAGTGGTCCCAGGCTGCTATCAGTCCATCTCTTGATAAAGGTTTTCAAGTATAGACTTTAGTCAGAAAATAACTCAGCTTCAGGAATTAAGTAAGAAAATAAGAGATTCGAGTATCCTCAACCTGTAACTGGAAAAAAGTATATCTCAGAGGAATATCAAATTACCTTATGAGTTGGAGATATGTGCCAAACTCGTCAAAAATCCTGGTAGGTTGAATTGCCATCAAGAGACATTTTGTCAAATAATATGGCAGGATATTTTGATAAAATTGAGAAATGATAGAGCATTGTATCAAATTGCCAATTTATTTGTCTATTTATTTTGATACAATTCAGCCATCAGAAATTGAGAAGAGCTCTGACACTATTGCAGTTAGATAGCCAGGTTGTTCTTACTACAGATGGGCACATGCGGTAATCACAGAATACATGCAGGTGTAGTCGATAATAAGGTACAAATGTGGCATACAGATTTCCACATGTCTCAAAACATTGGCTCATCATTAAATTTTATATCTTTGGTTGCCTTGTGGGCACATCTGTGTGTATATGTATAGAATCTCTATACACATTTATAAAAGTAAACATATGCCTTTCTGTATGGTTAATATTAAAAAAAAAAAAAAAAACTTCACGCAGTTTGGCAGTTTAATGAGTGTTCCCTTTGTGTAGAACACATACTTTAATTTTATTTTTTTTAAATAAAAATAATAAAATCGCTACACCAAGTTCAAACAGACAAATGCAATGCAGCTCTGCAGGATTCATTTTATTTTTTTTCTGTGTGCATATTTGTCTAAATAATAAAATCGCCAAACCAGGTTGAAACAGACAGAATACTAAGTAATTCTATATGATACATTTAACCTCTTATTTGCCAAATGAGTATGCTGCAAGTAAAAACATTAAACAATTATACACCATTGGGGATTTCTAAAAAAAAAAAAAAATCCTCAGTCAGATGGAAATATTTGTATAGTATTTCTTAACATTAATCTGCCCAGGTGGTTACGTCACCTCAAGAACATCGTGGCTCTAATCCACACAGTGTCAACAGGAGGAGTTGAGTTAACACACATTACATTGTACTCCTAATGGGCCCAAACTCCCTAGGGTAATGATGTGTGTTAAATGTAGGAGATTTTTTTTTATATCTGATACAGCTGCAAAAACAGATTTCTGTGCCTCGCTACAAAGACCCTATAATCTGATATGTCTCACACAGCTATACAACTCAGTGGCTGCAGAACAGCATATGCAGCGGTAATAACAATAGACACAGCATGATCATACAATTAAAATGATGACTTTTTCTACAGTTATAAACTTTCTACTAGTGTCAAAGCGAGACACTGCACTGTTGTAAATATCCATGAGGTCTGCTGCTCAACTCAGCAATTAACCCCTTGTGCGCAAAGGGAAAGGTGCAATACAATTATTCCTGGCATGCAAATGGATAAATGCAGCCATGGCCGTTTATCACCCTTGAACTGAAATGGTTAAATAATTCCTTTAAAATACATATGTTTCCTTGTAAAATTCATTATCGTTATCCTGAATATCTTTTCACTGATCTTGGGGTAAATAAATCTAGAAATATACTGAAGGTAAATAGGCACTGAAGGAACATACTGAGATGGAAAAATAAAATATTAAAGCCATAAAATGAAATCTTCATTTTGACAATGACAAAAAGTATTTCAAGCTGTAACTATGCGTGATGTAAACATATTTTAAAGTCTAATATTGTAATATCACTACAGTTACGTCTAGACTGGAAAATCTTGCAAACTGAATCATGCATTTATTTTGTCCTGTGTTTTTTTACAGTTAATGTTGTTTCTTGTGTTTCCGCAGTATTTGAAACTAAAATAATCATAAACAAAATTATCATCTATGTGTTAATGTCTAATCATTAATAACTGAAATGTATTATTTTTGTAACAAGACAAAAGCACGTAGTTACCTTACGAAGCCTAGCACTCATTTAAATAATGAGAAATGGTCAGCTACAGTTAATTACTATAACATGTGTTATTATTAACCCCATCAAGATATGGAGAATATGGAGAAAGATATGACATCCTCTAATTTGCCTAATAACATAGCTCCATCATTTTATTTTTTTTTCCAACCCACTAGCATGTGTCTATAAAAATAACTCAGTACTTTATAATGCTTGCCTCTCATGTCAGATGTTTTTTAGAAACTCGTTACCATGTGATCCTAAAAAAGAGCTCCATATATTCTGAGAATTTTTTTTAAAAGGTTCTATCCACTAGCATGTGGGTCTAAATATAGCACCCCATTCCTTGAGATTACATCATGGTTTTAATAGGTTCAGCCCACCGGGCATGTGATTCCAAAACAGAACTCTATCCTTTCCAGTGGATTACATCATGTTTTTTTTTTTTGGCCTGGACCACCAGCATGTTGATCTAAAATAAAACTCTACCCTCTCCAATAGATTAAATGACGTGGCAGAGGGAAAGATCGAAAGAAAAAAAAATCAAAAGAAAAAAATACATATTAAAAAAGAAGAAAAGTTCTAATTACTCTTTTTTTTTTTTTTTTAAATCTAGCTCCCTTTCGTGCCAATGATATAGTGTTTTATTTATTTCCTAAGTGATCAGTTTCCTACCAAGCCTTATGCAGTGAGGGATGCTTCTAGTATAATTTAGTATCTATTCTTGGGAGATGATCTGTTTAGTTATTCATATCAGGACTGCAAGGAGGTCACACACATTTAGTTTTATCACATTGATTTTATTACTTTTGAATATTAATAACAGCTTGAAAGACCCGTAATGTGGTATTATATTTGTTGCTAAAAGGAAAATGGCTTCAGCTTGTAAAACCAACTGGTAATATTATGCAAAAGAGGAAATCCGTGAGCACATTTAACTTTGCATATTATCCAGCTTGTGCTACTGATCTATAGCTTTTCTCAGCCGGGGAGCTAGGCTGGCGTGTAAACAGTTAAGCTCCCGAACAGGTTTCAGGTTTCTCAAGCTAGGGGTTGAAGCTGCCTATGACCTGCTACTCCGCCTTCTGCCTGACCTTTGACATTTCCACTCAGCTTCTTGCTAGCAGACATACACAGCAGTGTTCATCAGAAAAAGGAAAAAAAGCCTGCCCAGTATAACAGCATTTTTTCTTACACAAAGGCTTACTGATCATTTTAGAATAGGTTGTGGTCAGGACATCAATGTACCTTGGAGGCTCAGTGTGTGTAGTTTAGTGAACCTTTCCAAAGTGATAGTTTCAGATTTTTATTGCTTGGTTTTTTTTTCATGCATATTTTTTAACTAGAGGTCCGGAGAGATCTAGTTCTTTATTTTTCTGGCATTCCTTAGATACCAAAGTCTGAAATGTTTCTTATAATTAATCACAGATGTTATGTATTAGTAAAGCAATATTGTACCTTTTACTTTTTGTGAAACAGAAATGTCTATATTCCCATTACTAAGCTGTATCTCAGCACAGATTTGCCTATTAATATATAAAACGCAATTAATGGATTTGTTGAGATTGTATTATAGGCTAAAAAAAGAGCATTTTAGTAATCCATTTCCTTAAAGGGACACTGTGGTCTGGAGCTGACCCTTCTTTAAATGTGTTAAATAAAATACAAATAGGTTATGGTGGGGAAAAATTGTGATTGAAAACCCCTTCCACCTGAAGTCTGTGGATAATTAATACAATGTTAAACAAAAATCTGCACACCAGTCAAGCCATTATTAAATAAAATATGAAGATATAATAAATAATAAAAAATATTTAAAAGTACACTAAAATGCTAGACTTAAAGGATTCATTTTTTTTATTCTCTATTCTCTGAATTGCAGTGAATTGAAATCTGAATTTAGCAACATTTATGCTAAAATAGAGGAATTGGGAGAATACCATAAAATGCCAACATATGCCAAGATTTGCAGCTGCTGCAGTGAGCTTTGCCAAAACCAAGAAGCAATTACAAAGATTTCAGCCAATCCGGGCACTCCTGGTATGTTCAGCAACTCTAACATAGCAGAGGTTTATGGGATATGACGCATTTAATGATGAACTTAATTTGCAAAGACCCCTGAGGTGATACTGCCGCTTTGGTTCCGGTGGCCAGGGGAGGCAGGGAGAGGCGAGTTTAACTTACCTGAACATGTTTATCGTGGGTGCCGCTATCCTTTTCCAGCTGGTCCTCTTCTGCATACCCTATTGTACAGCATTAATGTCTATGGAAGATACCGCGGGATCCTCCATAGACAGAGTAAATTTCTGCAGCCAAACAAGACAGGAAAATATATAACTTGTATCTTGATTGCTTGAATTTTCTTTTTTTTAAATAACTCTAAGGCTGCAATTAAACATATTTATTTCTAACCTTAGTGTGTTATTTTACATTGCATGGACTTACTGCCCCTTTTTTGAATTAAAAAAATGACAAAAAAGCCTGGGATGGACACATCCTCTTGATGGGTGACCTTGGTTTAATTTTACACTTCTCATAAAAAGGCAGTGAGGATTTACTGCATGTGCAGCAAACTCCCCATAATGTCAAATTGATACAGTGGTTTTGGTGCTTATTGTGTCCTTTTAAACGTCCCTTTAAACTTTGTTTGTGACATCACTGATCATCAGAAGATAAATACAAACCCCTACAATATTAGCACTGCTGACTGGTTGACTAAAATAACATCGGAAATGGCTTACCCCAGAAACACTTATGATTATTCACTAGACTCATTATTGTAGCAATTTAAAATGCAAAATTCAGACTAGAATTGCCTGACTAGAGTTGGAGCAATATCCCAGATCATCTATTTTAGCACACATTTTGCTATTTGGATTTCAGATCACTACAATTCGGAGAATAATGAAGAGCACAGTCAAAAACAAATCTTTTAACGTAATATAACTTGATATAACAGTGTAAATATCAACTAATCAAGGACTTGCAAAGACAAAACAAAAGACTCAAATAGTTGCTAAAGTGCATTGATACGTGAGAAACCAGTGTCACATGGCAGTCATTTTAGAAATTGGAAAAAAATACCAGCCATGCTAGTTTGTATAATTAATTATATATGTGTTGCATCATCGGATACGACATCACAGTATGTAAATCACAAGCAGTGACATAAAAACATACAACTGGAAAAGGGAAAATGCTCACACACACACACACACACACACACACACAAAAAGTGCTTACAGTTTGATTCTAATGTATAGAGGGATTGCTCTGCAGTTTGGGAAGATTGGACAGCTCTTCTGAGTGGCCACTCAATGGACCCTGCACTAGGCTGTCTGCATCGTAGACACAAGGTTTATTCACCAAACGCCAAACTGTAATGAATTACAACCTGAATTGCAAATTGTAGCTTCAAATAGCCAAGCTGTGCCAAGGCTGAATTGCAGAATTTTATCAAATTAATTGTTTTTGCAATTAATATTTCACTTCACTGCATTTCACAGTTTAATGAATAAACCTCTGTAGTTTATTCCCTAAACTAAAGAATTTAGTGTAGAGAATTGAAAACCAAACTACAAAGTTAAGGCCAAAGAAGTGGATTTTAAAACATTCTCTAGTTCGCTAGAGTCTCATTATGACTATTTATGGCTTGAATTTTGCAATTTGTTTTTGATGTTGCTTTGTGTGAATGCATTCGTGTATTTTTAGCATGTAGGGGTGAATTTTATAAGGCATTATATAGGCTCACTCCAGATACATAAAGCAATTCAGATTTCCAAAGTGCTTTATGTGTCTCTTGTTTTTAATTTTTAAAAAACAAAGTTCATATAAGTACAGATTGCACAAGAAAATTGTCAACTTTACAAGTGGACATCAAACGCCTCCTGGCTGTCATTCATTTTTCTTCCGCTTCCATTAGCTCGATAGAGCATGCCTGCCTTCCACCCTTCTCAATGAGCAGTACTGCAGATCATTGAGAAGCATTGGAAAACCTTGCTCATGTGCGACTGCATGGATGGCTCCAGTGAAAATACTCTGCCTGGAGTATTCCCCAATACAAACTAAGAATATGTGATTGGAAAAGAGGGGGTGGCTCTCTCATACTGTCCAAACTCCCATCTGTGTCTTTCCACCTGTCCAAATCCCCATCTGTGTTCTCCTCCTGTTAACCTCTACCTTTGTCTCTTCTTCTGTTAACGCCCATGATCTGTGTCTCTGTCCATCTGTTAACCCCCATGGTCTTTGTTTATCTCCACTTATTTTCCCCCATGATCGGTGTCTCTGTTCACCTGTTAACCACCATGATCTGTGTCTCTCTCCTCATGTTAACCCTCATGATCTGTCTCTCTCCTCATGTTAACCCCCATGATATGTGTCTCTCCATGTCTCCCAGTCTCACACCCTATTTTTCCACCTCTCTCCCCTCTTACCTGGTCTGCAGTCTGACTGCAGGGTGGTAGCTGCTGGCTGAAGTTGCTATGCTCTGCGATGTTTTTTCAGCATCCCCGCAATAAAATACCATTTACTTATAGCTGTAAATTGGGGGGCGGCGGGAGGGGATCAGGATTATAATTTTTTTTACTAGAAGGCTACAGAAACCTGTCATTATATCTCTCCTCAAGTGTACAATTGGAATAGCATTTCTGTGGATGAAGATTTAAGTAAAAAATAAAAAGATTATGTATGAGGTCATCTGACAAAACAAGAAGAAACAGGAATGCCTGTGACTAGACAAGGGAGAGGCTAATCTCAGAATAATTATCTGCTTACTGTTTTATCAGTTTACTAGCAATCTTGCCTGACATATCCTGACCCACAAGACAATTTAATGGCTACTCACATGCCTATACAAAGAGGAAGTATTTTCTGACTGGGGGCAAATTATGTTTAAAGGGTTACTCCAAGCTCCATGACCACTTTGATTTGAAGTGATCATGTTGCTTGGAGTCTGTGTGTTTAGCATTTCACTATGAAACACAGCTCATAGTGAGTTTAACCCCTCTGCTGACAGATGTGTTACTCAATGCCCCCCAATAGTCCCAAATTCGTCAGGATAACCCCATTTTTGTTTCCCATCAATCATAGCACAAGGGCATCATTAGGCATGCTCACTCTATGATCAGGGCACTAGGACTTTGCAGAGAGCACCAAAACACTGTGTGCTCACACTAGGCTGACCTGCCTTTAAAATAGGCAGATCTGCCCCCATTCAGTCTGGGTAGACCCCTTTAGGGCAGATCCAGTGATGTGACTGTGTCACTGGCCCCGTCCCCTCTACTCCCTCCCATAGGCATCCCAACTCCTGGACAGCCAAAATTGGGTGGTATGTAACTCCACCTGTGGCAGTGTCATTGGGACATTAGCTAGCCCAGAATAAACATTTGTGGCTGGCTAATGTCACATCTTTGTATGTTTAGCATTGGTCATCATCAGCCACTGGCAACAGGCAACCATGTCCTTCCCTCAGCCTGCCATCCTTGCCATCAATCATCTCTAGTGAGAACAAGGGAGAACTTGGCCTTGGCTTTGGAACAGAGGTGAGTTTTAGCTTTTTTTTTTTCTTTTCTTTATTTATTTCTGTCGAGCGTCTTCTCACTGTGATTTACAGTGAGACAGCCACTAGAGGCTGGATTAACCCTCAGTGAAACATAGCAGTTTCTCTGAAACTGCTATGTTTTCAGCTGCAGGGTTAAAACTCGAGGGACCTGGCACCCAGACCACTTCATTGAGCTGAAGTGGTCTGGGTGCCTATAGTGGTCCTTTAACACATATTATAGGTGACTTTCAATGTTTTATTTAAAAAAAAAACAGGTAAAAACAGCCTTTGAAAAATGAAAAAAAAATGAAAAAAGTATGTACAAATTTCACCATGTACAAATCTAGTAGTTCTAGTAAATTCAAAGAAAAAAAAAAGAATAATCACTAAAAAACTCAAAGATTCTCTGTCTGAAACAAAGATTCCTTCATAGGGTTAGAAGTCATGTCCTTTTGAAGAGGACTTGTTAAAACAATGGTAAAGTCCCCTTACAACAATTAATAGGTCTGAACCAGCAGATACAAATTTAACGATTCTTTCAGAAAATAGTGACTTCATAAACAAATTGCAAACTTTAGGCCATAGAATCTGATTAGTTGGAGATTTTCTACAATTTACTATATTTTCCTAAAGTGTAAGTTGGCTTTCAACTCACCACCATTGTCACACCCTTGTGTGTAATATTATCAGTCTAAATATTATTAGCAATAAGTCAAATGGGGGGTTAAAATATCTGCTGTAATTGCCAATTCTATAGCAAAACATTGTCATCTCCATAGGTAAAACCTGACTCTAGTTTTTATTTATGCCCGACAACAGACATATTAAGCAATACCATTAAAAAAGTTTCATATTTTAAAAATAAAAACACAACAAAGGTTGAATTAACATGATTTTGCATTGCCGACTATGTGAAGAAATTACATTTGCATATTGTGTCATCTTTGCCTTCAATACAGAGCACAATCATAGTTGTATTAAGATATACAAATTTGTAAAATTGTGATCCCTGCCAGTTACAGTCAGAATAGGTAAATGAATCATATTTAACTATATTTCATATATTGCCACTGTAAGCACTTTTATTGGGGTGCTGAAACTATTTTTTAAAGATCTATTTAAGTACTACAGCATGCCTTTTTAAGATTAGGTCCCAGATATGTTTATCTATTTTTTTAAATTCTAATAATGAACTTTTTGATGCAAACCTACCAATTTAGCACAGTTCTCTAGCACTCCATTCAACTCATTTCAGATTGTCAGATTCTTTTATGCATGACTGTGACACAGATGCTCAATTTCTTGTATCTTATTTAAAATGCAAATACAGTAACACAGTCTGTAGCTAAGAAGAAAAAGCATATGCCACTTGCAGCCTTTGGGTAAGCTTAAGACTTGTACCTGTGGTTCACTGATTAGCTGCAATTGCCTAACAAGTGTCTCAGACTCATTAGCTCTTTGGCTAAAATCCATGGGTAAAAACCTCTGAAAAGGTCACGGATAAAGATTCCTTGGCTATTTTTGTAAAATGTGGTCATGGAACAGATTTGATCTCATCTGGGAGGCAAACGCTTCCTCAATGAAGACACCTTAAAGAAACAGAATATAGGTATTCTGATTGCATATATTTGTAATTGTTTTCAAAATGTTACACCTAAAATAAGTATAGGGTGCTGCATTGCACACTGCAAAAAGTGCATGTATTTCTTTATTTTTTTGTTACTAACTAAATTATTTTATTGTAAATTTAGTTTGATTACCAAAGTGTGGCCTCTTCATTAGGAGTAAGTATAAAAATGCTGCTAGTAGGATTTGAATCATATTCACTTTGCAATCCTCTCTAGGAGAAAAATCAATAAATAATTCTGGATACTGTGACAATTTGTTAGTAATCTTCTTATTATAGTATTTATATGCCTAGCAGTTAACCAAACATCAGGAAGTTCAGTTTCTTTCCTCTTGGATAATATTGCCGGAAGGATCATAAGTGTTAACAGAGTATGTGCTCACTAACGATGCTTTAAGAAGATTTTCTCATGTCTATCGTATGGTGTGTTTTGTTTTTCAGTTTATGTTTTGGCTTCTTTGCTTGTGAGTTACACTTCTTTTGGCATTATGTAAAAAAAAAGTGAAAGCAAAGTAATGTTGGAAACGTGGATATGTCACTACAGAAACCATTGAAATTGTCTTTATTTATTCAGCTGGTTTCCATGGTGATTACACCATGCATTTTTGTATTTATCACTGAGACCATGTATTAATTTAAAATTAATATAAACACGAAATTCACACATCAGCGTCGTTCAATAGAATGGAAGAATTGGGGGGTAAAAAACTGTTCTCGTGTTGACTATATTTGGCTTAAAAATTCAATTCCACTTTGAATTCTCAACAATTGGCGGTTTATCTATTAACCTTGGTGTGTGATCATCAGCTATGGCTTAACACAAGGAAATACTTAAGTTTTAAAAAGAGATATTATAACAATTTTGTACTGGGCTAACGTAATGTAGGGAGATTTTTGTTTGTCTGTGGGTCCTCGCCTTATACAAAAGTGATTATAGTTTTTGCAATGTGAATTAATTTGTGTTTCAGAAATACCTTGAATTATTTTATGTTGTCTATATATACAAAGAATGATAGAAAATAAAAATGTTCCCCATTTGTGTATTGAAGGAACAAAAGAGTGTCAGAAATGTAGGAAAAAAATATTCTAAGACATCAAAATGAATTTAAAAAAAAGCATTGTTAATATATACAGGGTAAAGTCAGAAGCAAAAAAAAATGTTTCAGGCTATAGGCACCACTTATTCACAGTCATCAATGGCATCATAAATTTTTGCTGGGGTCTATATTTATATATGAAATTAGCATGTTCCTCCAATGTTTTATTGAAGACACTATATGAGGTCAGTGCACAGGTATTTCTGTTAACTGAAGACGCTTAGAAAGGGAAGCAGTGATTTTAATACAACCCATATATTTTCCACTATGCTCTTAGCTGTGGTGTGATGTACAGCCATCTATACCAAGCTCTTTAATGCATTATGGTTATCTAATCAAAGAGAAGAGAAAATAAATCTTTGCTCATAATTCACTGTTGGAAAAGCAGCCCATTCATTAACAGAAAATGTAATGATATGGGAATGTGAGTCATGAGTACTGCATGGGTGTCACAAAGATAAACACACATGCAAATCAAAACCTGTTGTTGAGGGAATAAGGTGACAACTGAACAATAAAATATATAGAATTGAAGATTCTTTCTAAATTGTCTATTTTAAACTCTTAGACACACACCCAAGTTCTCACAAACAGAGGTACCTTGAGATACTTGTAATTATGTGTGGTGTTTTGGTGAGTAGGGGAAGAAGATTTAATTCACACGCTTAACTTCCTGCAAAATTGCATAAATGTGCACTATCCAGGAATAAATTAGTAAGACTTTATAGAGCAAATGCAAATAAAACTACTTTGTTAAATCAGTAATGTCATATCCAACATCTTTCAGTTCTGCCAAAGTTTTTGTTTGTGTGCATGTGTGTGTGCATGTGTGTGTGCATATAAAGATCTTTTGTTTTGTTTTATACTGAAATCTTGTTTTATTAACTAAATTTACTGAATTTCATTTTTTTCTTTTTTTTTTGCTATATATTTCTTTTGTTTATACATAATGTTATTCTCTACTGAACAATCTTTAATATTATTTTTGCTATATTTCCCTTTTTTATGCTTTAGGAAACTTTGACTAATTCTTATAAAAACATCCTTACATTGTTATGCTAATCAATTTGTAGATTCACCACAATGTTTATTCTCTTATATAAACTTAGGACAGGAAATACCAGTTCTGTGGAGATAGAAGGCTACGGGATTCACACCAAATTGTGGTATACATTTCAACAGCAGAACGTGCAAAGCAACATCATGCTTCTTATAGGTAATGTGGATTCAAGGATGAGTAACATAACAGTTATATCTGTACTATTAGTATTAGTTTGAAACATGTAAGACAAACATGTTACATTTCAAATATGCCTGTATCCAAATACTATGCATTAACAGTAAGGAACAGTAAAACCATATTTTTATATAATCAAGTTTTTCTGTTATACCATATTATTGTTATTGCTCTGTATAATTTAGATTGTAAGCTCACGGGCAGGGCCCCTCTACCTGTTGTATCGGTCCGTTCCTATTGTATTTCGTTTTTTTCCCAATTGTACAGCGCTGCGGAATATGTTGGTGCTTTATAAATACCAGTAATAATAATAATAATAATACAATATATTACCCGAAAAAATATTACATATGTATTACCATAACCCTACCCTGGCTAAAGTTATACATCTTTACCAGGGTTACGTGCTTTCTGCATTATAAATACCCACTGTTAGCAATTACAGGACACAGCCACCCTCTAAAATAAAGAACATGCATAGTATACGTTTTGGACAGGGTGGTGCCATGGGCTACAGGTATATAAGTGGAGGCTGGTTCAGAGAGGCAAATTGGGTGCCCCCCTGTACTTCCCAGTTTTTTGTTGCAAAAACAATTATCTATCAGTGTTGTTAGGAATATTGATAAGTGTGTGTTGGAAAAAACATATCTGTCAGCGTTATGTCTGCAGTTTCAATTCTCCTTTTTAATGACTGGAGATGCAGCTGGGTTTGAATAGGGCATGGCAACTCATGGGGTTATGTGGGCAGAACCCAAAAAGTCAGGGGGCAGCACCCCACCAACTTTAGTTTTCACCAGTCGCTAGTGAACTATACATTGGTAGACATACAAACAGGTAACTGGTATCTTTTTTAAAATCAGCAATGAATTTCTTTATGAAAGACCATGACTACTTAACACACGGGACAGAGTATATTTATTGCTTGAACATCACAGATATATATTTATGTATGCCCTCATTTGCATCTATGCTTTCTAAGTCTCGCGCAAAAAAGATTAGTCTTGTATATATTCCTGCATAAAAGTGAAAAATGAACACACACAGAGAAATGTCTCAGCAATATGTTCAGTTCTGAATATGAAACCAGAGCTACTAGCATGCAGTCAGCATACGCCTTGCTTGCTGACAATTTAATGCACAGCTTAGACTTTTAAAAATGTCTGTTCAGTACGCCAGGAAAATCCACTTGCCAAATTCAGCCACCTATTTATTAAGGGGGTAAGCTTTTCACTGACAGCAGGGTGAGGTGAGCTTTATCATTTAGTGATGCCTCCTTCTACTACAGATAAATAACATTGCTTTATAAACAGGAGATTGTGAGCTTTGTAGATTCCGTATCACTGCAATAGGCTTTTGTTTTTTTAAATAAAGCTAGCTAAATAAATAGATGATAAACACTTTATATTATACAGAAAATGAAAACTAACGGTCTGAAACAGTGGCGGATCCAGAGACTGATCTCGGGAGGGGCACTTTTATATTATTGAAAGAAATAATCCATGCACAATAACCACTACAGCTCTGTGTAGTGGTTATGGTGCGGGACACCCTCTCAGAGTAAGTAGTCAAACCGTTTAAGAACAGTTTGACAACTTACAGTGTATGTGTGTGTGGGGGCAGTGTGTGTATGGGGGGGTGTGTGTGGGGCAGTGTGTGTATGGGGGCAGTGTGTATGGGGGGCAGTGTGGGGGGCAGTGTATGGGGGCAGTGTGTGTGTATGTGGGGGCATTGTGTGTATGGGGGGCAGTGTGTGTGCATGGGGGCAGTGAGTATGGGGCAGTGTATGTGTATGGGGCAGTGTGTATAGGGGCAGTGTGCATGGGGGGGCAGTGTATATGTGTGGGGCAGTGTGTGTATGGGGCAGTGTATGTGTGTATGGGGGGCAGTGTGTGTATGGGGCAGTGTGTGTGGGGGGGGCTGTTTATGGGGGGCAATGTGTGAATGTGTGGATAGGAGGGTAAGGGAGCTTTTTGATAAAAATAAATAATGTATAAAATTAAATAAATGTATGTCCCCCTCCCTTCTTACCTTTACTGGGAGGAGGGGGGACATATTTCGATCCCTGGTGGTCCAGTGGTCAGAGTGAACTCTAGCCCGCGCTCCTGGGCTAGAGTTCATTCTCGCGAGATTTGGAGCGTTGCCGTGGCAACCGCGGCAATGCTCCATGCTCGCGAGAGGAGGACCCGGAGGAGCTGCAGGCTCTCTCCTTCCCCTGCTGGCTGCCAGCACGGTGCCTGTGATCTCCCCTCCGGTCCGCAGGCACATTGCAGGGCTGGCACTTGGACAATGCCAGCCCTGCATTAGCTGGCAGGGGAGAATCTCGGGGGGGGGGGGGAATTGCCCTGTTGCCCCCCCCTGGATCCGCCAGTGGTCTGAAAACAGTAATCCTTTATAAGATGCATAGTTATTTAAAGCTTACATTATAGTGAAAACATGCTGGTTAAAGAGTTATGAATGAATGCTAATATACATATTTCCTGGAATGATGATATGTAGGGAGGGATGGATGGATGAATAGAACCCAACACTCATATACAATAGGAATAAAAGCTTTAAAAATTAGAAGCCTTTCAACTGGTGCACCAAATGAAACCGAAGAAGTGAAAGAAGTCACAGCTTTAGCTTAGAGGGGTTCAATCTCTCTCTCTATAAAGGGTTTTATAATATTATATATGTGGAATTACGTAGGAGTGCTTCTAATCAATATTTAAAGTGAACATTTACTAATATAAGAAAATGTGTTTTTCTGACTCAGAAAGTATCAAATACAATTGGACTCAGTTGTCGTTTTTTCTGAACATGTCATTACTTACTGATGTTGGGTAGTACAGGAATAGAGATGCCCTGTGAAATCTAGAGTGTTCAAGCTGATGGAAGGAAATCAACTCATTAATCAAGGAGGAACGTGAACCCTCAATTGACTGCTTTTGTATAATTAACTGACTTTCTTCCAGTAGCATATGAATGCAATATACTGCAGTATGTTATAATGGAGCACTTGACATGTGCTGTCCATTTGCATGTGAAAGCTTGTTTGAGCATGGCCGACTGTCCAAGAAACATGGCAGCTCTGTTTATTATATTACAAAATGATGCACATCAGACTTGTACCATCCATGTGGGCAGTAGTCACAATTTGGAATACCACACACAAAGAAAGCAAAGAATGCCTGAGGAGTTTGGTCATCTCTGGACACAGTTTGTATTATTTAATGTATGCCTTCCCTATCTTTATCTTATTAAATTCAGAATGCCAGCAGATCCTCCCTGCACAAGATAATAACATGCACAAGAGATACAGCAACCTGATAAGTTTTATCAGTGTGGTATGGCATATGCCCGTCTAGGCACAATACACAAGGGTCTACCTTTTAGAATTAGGGAAACCATAAGTTTGTCTATGGTTCTCACTCAGAGAATCTCAAATGAGTTTTAATTTCCAACTTAATGATGTAGAAGTGTAGTAGGAAAAAAGTATAGTAATTTATTTTTGAAATTGGAGTACTGTTTGCCAAAAATCATAATAGAATCGTTATTTTATTTTTTATTTTTTTACCAGAGAACGGATATACTGTACACACGCATACACGTCATTTTTTTTTTTTTTTTATGTTTTAATAGTCTGTCGTACAACATGGAAAAGCAACCAGACCATTTTTAATAATATTTTACAGTGCAAATATATTTTTTGAATAATGTTTTATTGTCAGGATATTGTGTTGTCAGGATATTTTATTAATACAATTTTATTGCATTTTGATGATAAAATAAATAATGGTTTTAAAAAATATATACATAACTTAGATCAGGGAGCAGTTTTTGTAAACATATTGCAATGAATGTATTGGAATAGTAGGAAAAGGTAAATAACCTATTAATAAGCAAATATGTAGTTACATAGTTTTCTATGTTTAAAAAGGCTATCAAGTTCAACTATGAACATTCTTTTATGCTGTTGGTCCAAAAGAATGCAACAAACCCAAATGTAGCCATTTCTAATTATGCCACAAAATGGGGGGGAGAGTTCCTTCTTGACTCCGTAATGGCAATCAGATTTCTCCTTGGATCAACAATAATCCATATATATCAATTATATAATTGAATATTCTGTTTATGCAAAAAAAATCCAAGCCATTTTTTAAATTGATAGATAGAATCTAGTAAGACAACCTCTTTAGGCAGAGCAGTCCACATCTTTATAGTTTTTACTGTAAAGAAACGTTTCTGTTGCTGTAAGAAAAAATACCTTTCTTCCAGCCTCAATGGGTGCCCTCTTATCTTTTGTATATTCCTGCTAATGAACAGGTTAGTACATAGCGGGTAGTACTGACCCTGTATATATTTGTATAGTGCTATTATATCTTGTCTGAGGCGACTTTCTTCGTAAGAAAACAATTCCAGTTTTTCTAGCCTTTTCTCATAACTACGGTAATGTTTTCCATCTCCTTTATTAGTTTTGTAGCTCGCTTCTGCAGTTTTTCTAGTTTTGAAATATCGTTCCTTAAAAGTGAGGCCTTGCCATGGATTTGTAAACAGGCAAAATTATATTTGGATCTTATGAATCAATACCCCTTTTTATACACGAAAGCACCTTACTAGCTTTTGCAAAGGCAGACCAGCATTGCATACTGTTGCCTAGTTTGTGATCTATTGAATATATTGATCTATTGAATCTTATCTGCCACTTGCCTGCTCAGTCACCCAATTTATCCAAATCCCACTGTATCATGTTCTGACTGTATTTTCTTACCTAGTTTTGTGTCATCTGCAAACACGGACAAACATCCTGATCTGAATTTCTACTAACTTCTTCATATAATGCAATTAAGTTAGTTTGGCATGACCCTTCTTTCATAAAACCATGTTGATTCCTGCTAATTATATTTTTGTTCAGAATTAATTCTTGAACATTATCCCTTAACAGTCCTTCAAATACTTTCCCAACCACAGATATTAGGCCCACAGGTCTGTAGTTTCCAGGTTGAGCTTTTGAACCCTTTTAAAATATAGGAATCACATCTGCTTTTATCCAATCTTTGATACAATTCCTGAGATAAAAGAATCCTGAAATTTTAAAAACAGTAGTATGGAGATTTCTCCACTAAGCTCCCTAAGCACATGTGGGTGAATACCATCTGACCCTGGGGCTTTTACAGTAACCTTGTTTAATTTCTGAAGCACTTTATCCTGTGTTAACCAGTCACCTGTTTGCTATAAAGATTTTGTAACAGGGATTTGCAAATCTACAGCCATAGTTTATTCTTTCCTATATACTGAAGAGAATAATTATTTAGAATGTCTGCCTTGTCCTGATCCTCCTTGATTAATTCATTCATCATCAACCAACACTTTCACTTTCAACCTTTTTGGCAATAACATACTTTTAAAAATCTTTTGGGGGATGGTCTTGCTTTCGATTGTATTAAAATATTTATCTCAAATCAATTTTTTACCTTTGGAATCTCTTGCTATATATTACATAATAAAAACACAGCTAAGCATTGTCCTAAAAATCAAATTGCAATTACAATGAAAACTACGGAGAATGGTAAATGCAAATCTTAGGATTCCTTTTTGTGTACCAATGGGGCCATTTTACTATGAAGTAAAACACAACAGTTATGTCAGCAATTTTAAAGTGAGACAGGGCAAACAAAGCAATTTCTCTTTCACTACCACCTGAAAACAGCCTCACTGCTGGCAATAACTGCTGTTAACCAGGCTGTATACAAGCTCCTAAAACAGAACTTACCAACTTGTAACATATTTACTTTGGGCTTTCATGAAATATATTCACAATGCTCTTACAACAGACTAATTAAATACACTTTAGCTATTTTAGCACTAGCACTATTTAATTTGTCCCCCAGGTTAAAATGAGTGCAGAACTCATCGATTTTGGGATACTGTAACACGATATGGCCATCTGGTGGAGATGAATCCTCGTATTTGTTTGCTGAAATAGGTAATTTTAAGTAGCCCTGTGTGCGATGTTTCTTAATTTGTATTTTGTATAAATGCTGGTCTCTATGGTAACACTACTGCTGAGAAATTCATGTTCTGGGGTTGCCCACAATCCCCTGTTTTTTTCTGAATCAGATACACAATGTTGGTATATTAAGAACGTATCCAAAAATTGTGAGCATTAGTAGTGAAGGGGTTAATGCACTGCTGCATGTTAGAGCAAGGTCATTTCCTCTACTTTATCTTTGTTCACTTGAGTGTTGAATGGATATTTCAAGCACAGCATTTTGGGTTCCTTTATTATTTTGTAAATGTGCATTAATTATACATCGTACCTGCATCATATATCTAACTATATACTGTTATACTAAATGCCATTGATTTGTTTTATTCACACTTGTAATTTGTGCGGATTCTGGATATTCTGGATACAAGGGTTTTTCTGCGCCACATTCATTGTTTTTAAATAAATAGGCAACAGTAATAGCTTACACTGTTTAGAAAACATTAACAATGTTTACAAAAATGCACTGTGACCGAGTACCATGTTATCTGGTATTGGTTAATGGATGCCATAAATTCACTTACATGTGGTTACATGTGTGATCCCTAGATATTTCTTAATCATGCCTTCAAATATTTCAAATGGACAAAGAGGAACACAATAATGTAAGGGTGTCAGTGGGTGTGTGGCCAGGGTAATTTATGCAACTAAAATTTAATTTAACCCCTTAGTGACTTTTTTTACAGTTTGGGACCAGGGCTGTTTTTACATTTCTACGCTGTTTGTGTTTAACTGTTATTTTCCTCTTACTCATTTACTGTACCCACACATATTATATACCGCTTTTCTCGCCATTAAATTATCTTTCTAATATACCATTATTTTCATCATATCATATAATTTTTTTTTTTTTAAATGTAAAATATGATTAAACAATTTTAAAAAACACACTTTTTTTCTAACTTTGACCCCCAAAATCTGTTATGCATCTACAGCTACCAAAAAAACCCCATCCTAAATAGTTTTTAAATTTTGTCCTGAGTTTTAGAAATACCCAATGTTAACATGTTCTTAGCTTTTTTGGAAACTTATATGGCTATAAATACAAGTAGGACATTGCTGTTTCAAAATATATATTTTTCAATAGTCAATAGTGACATTGTAACACTGTTATCTGTCATAAATCTCTGAATCACACCTCACATGTACATATTTTTTTAAAGTAGACAACCCATCGTATTTAATATGGGGTATGTCCAGTCTTTTTAGTAGCCACTTGAGTAGTTCTCATTCCTGGGCTACCATACCCTCTCAAAGGCAACATAACTGATCTGGCAAATTTCAATGTGAAAAAACAGGAATCCAGGCCTTATATTTGACCCTGTAACTTTCAAAAACACTATCAAACCTGTACATGGTGGGTACTGTTCTACTTGGGAGACTTTGCTGAACACAAATATTAGTGTTTCAAAACAGTAAGAGACCCCTCGAGGCACTCAGCAGACAGGCAGAGCACCAGAATGGCCTGATGGCTTCCGATGCTCTGACACACTGGCGGGCGCCACAGCTGCCTCGACATCGAGGCATTGCTGCAATACCCTTAGAGCGGCTGAAGGGATCACAATCTCTTCCAACGCTTATATTTGCCGCGGATATACATGGTGCGTCAGCGGTCGTTAACAACCTTTTTTTGTCTGACATACCCTGTACGTCTGCGGTCACTAAGGGGTTAAAGCAGCAACAATGTATCTTATTTCCACAGACTGAGTTCTAAACACATTTGTAGTTTAAAGACACATAACTGTGAGCTTTATTGCTGTGAAGCTCTGTTGTACAATTATACACACCAATCTGGAGATCCTAGAAAAAAAGGACATTAGGACAGAAAATAGGGACAGAGGGCTCAGAATGGGGACTGTCTCTCCTACATAGGGACATCTGGAATGTCTGCTCAAGGCTGGCAATCTAAATCTCAGGAAATGCATTCAAATAATATATTTTAAAAAGCTATTATTATTATTATTATTATTATTATTATAATAAATATGAACAACTCAATATCTCACATATCATTATGAGTAAGCAGCCTCTGACCATTATATATAATATGTATTCATTACTATTCCATAAAACAATGTAAAAGTTTGTACTTATGTACTACTGAAAATTCTTAATAAATAAGATATATTGAAAAAAATGTAATCATTGTTGGTGGTTTTTTTTTTAGTATACTCTCTTGTGCTCATCCTCCCATTTGGCTTATAATAAAAGGACTTGGGAGGCAAACAAAATTCTAAATCACTTTATGAATCGTAATTATTTTAAAATATATTGGAACGGTTCTGTAGGTAGGGTTGCCATATACACCATGTTTTCCGGGACACATGTCATTTATACAAAAAGTGCTGCCCTGCCGTATGTAGAAGTCAAATGCTGCAGGTAGTAAATCAGGTGATGAATCAGTCAGGAATCCTGAAGCATATACATTATCCATAACACAGGGCAGCATGCTCAAATGGTGAAATTATGTGTGCCCCAGAAAACATGGTGGATATGACAGCCCTATCTAAAGGCATTTTTGGTTGACGATGTACAGAAAAAGCTAGTGGCAATATAAGAAATATTAATATATATATATCATATGTATTAACTGGGGCCTATGGTCAATTTGTGCTACAAACAACATTGATTGGATAGTAATACATTTCCCACAGGAATTAAAATGTAATTAAAGAGCAAAATGTACCCTGTTTTTACATGCCTTCTGGAAATATCCAGAACATATTAGTTAAAAAAGGTTAAATATTCTTCCCTCTCATCCATCACAAGTATAACTAATTACACAAGCCCTAAAGAGTGGTTTTATATTAGACATTGCTTTACTGCTTTATCGTGTGTAGATGTGTAGAAGTGGTTACACATCTTTTTAGATAGCGAGCCATTGTTAGCTTGAGGCAGTGGCGACTTCCATGATGCATTGCAACCTTATATCTAGAAGTGCATCATGGAAGGTGCTTTTCCATAACATCTAGGGATATACCTTTGGCCACCCCTGCCTTAAAGTAATAATAGCTGTAAATCAGAGGTAAAAGACCTTTCCTCTTAACAAAAGAAATGAGCATTGCCTTCAAGGCCCTGAAATAAGGTCCCCAACCACTGCCTGCTGGTTAACCCTCGTTAATTCTCAGGTATGCTCAATATGCATGGAAGGATTTTTCTATCCTAATGTTTTTGTACAATAAGATGATTCTACAGGAAATGGCCCTTTAAAAGTTCAGAATTTAGATTTTTTTTTTAATTATGTTTTTGTGTTAGTAGTCAGTATGTGGTCATTGAGATAAGAATAAAAAAAGTCTCAATCACAGCTGAAGATTTTCATTGTACACAGTAATCAGTCACAATGAATAAATACCATAAGCTGGAGGCAGTATGCATATTGGGCAGAGTATTACAACTCAGCATCTGTTGGACTACCTTTTCAGAAAACCATAATACCTAAATCAATCATTTCCTGCTATTAAAATTCCAGTTTACATAATCCATGACCATCTCACTTCCCTTAATTGTTTCTCGTGCAGATTTAACGCCAACATTAGTCCCTAGGACATTCACAGCAGTCTGCTGCTTGATACTAAGTTTGTGAGTGAGTCACTATGTATTTTTAGACTCAATCTGTAATTAACGTAAAGTGATATGAACCGGTAGGTGTAATTTTAATAATAATACTAAAACGTAGGTATTTATTTAACAACCTCCCAAATTCTAGTGGTCTGAAAATTCAATTGCACAATTTAAGTCAACAATAGGCTAGTTGCGATTATAGCTGAGTTGGGAAAAAAAGTTTCCGAATTATCTATTTTAACTTATATATTGCAATTCATTTTTTAGGCGCGCAGCTTCTGCCATAATACTGACGATTTCTGCCTGACAAATCAATTAAATGCCTCCTTCCCCCTGTATGGGTGGCAGACTTAGCAAGTGGTTGAATTTATGCAGAAATTCTAGAAGGACATAATTGATGTAGAAATTCTAGAAAGACATTAAGGAAGACATATACATGGTTATTCATTAAAGCAATCATTCAAAGTGAATTTAAAATGAATTTCAATTTTAAGGCCAAAGTAGACGAGCTGACAGCAAGACTGGCATAAAGAAATGTTCTCGTTTAGCTATTTAGACCTTAACTGTAAAATTCACTGTGAATTTTCACTGATAAACCCCGTTTATGCCTTCTTCAATGTCCTCCTCGAATTTCTACTAGACTACAATACCACTGATTGCATTCTCTAGAATTACAGGTACATTTTTAAAATCATAACTCCCGTGACCTTCAGCCAGCAATTTAACAAGTACCCTAGTTTGAGCTGAGGGCAATTAGGGACCTTCCCTACAGTGGTTTTTACACAGATCTCACTCGAAAATGCAATGTGTGTAATGATATTTTAATACAACACCTGCAAAGTGATGATAAAATCTCACCTACTTATGTATTCACACTATATTCAATAAGGTGTGCACGGAGGAAGTGTGAACCATTTCAAGTTGTGGTGAGATGTAATTAACTAATAATTGTATATTGCTGCATATATTAACAGTGTTTATTTGCACAGATTAGATGCATAATTTTGCATATATAATTCTAGTTTGAATACAAATTACCATAAGATAAACAGGTAACTCTCTATAACTAGTTAAAATGGAATTTAACAGAAATACAAGGAATCCCCTTCTCTATAGCTGAATATCTGACATGAAAATTATATGCAAAGGTATTTTTAGATATCGACCTTAGGAATTCTTATTTTCTGCTTGCACTGTGTACTGTATCAAGATAACTGTTAGTCTTACTTCTATATTTTCATTACATATTTTTAGTAACAGTCATATATCTTTAAAGAGGAACTGTCAGTTTTGAGGGAGAGGCATGTCCTAATGGCTAACCCAAGGTTAACTATTAGTTTTTTTATTTCAGCTTGGGTAATATGCACGGATGCTGTGACGCAGCCTGCCATTTTAATTGCACATTTAAAATGTCCCAGGATTCCAAGTTACCATGTGTGTACTTGCCTCCTCTTTACACCTCAGCCCAGTAAACGCTTCGTTATAAAGGTAACTTTTTCAAACCAAAGATGCTAAATTTACATAATCAGGGAGGGACGTGTTAAAGATTGAAGTATGCAATGACTTACGATGGATGGCAGAATAGATCAATGGAAGGATTCCCAGGAGTGAGGTGGCCAAGTGTCCTAAAATTTTACCTCTGGGGCAAATGTCTATGCAACCTCATATCAATCTGTGAGAATATATCACGTTCTAACTCATAAAAAAACACTAGATAGCCTCATATCTCTTCAGCAAAGCTGGCCATCTGTGACTAGACAAGAAGAAAGCCTGCTGATATCCTGGCCGTAAAAAGTCTATTTTCATTTAACTGGAAATATTTCTTTCTAGGGATACTAGTGGGTTAAACATGGAGAGAGGGGGCAAGTCAGACAAAAAAAAAATGAGCAGACTAGTCAGAGTAGATAAGATGGAGAATAGCAAACCAGGCAGGAAAAAGGGAAAAGGTGAAGTAGAGTGATTAGATCAGAGACAAGAAGCGGGATGTTTGTGGTCATTTAGTCAAAAGAGTTGGGTTGCAAGAGAGTGGATATTAAAATGGCATGCTATATAAGATTGATTGCTTCTGTGAGCACTTCCAGTAACAACCAAAAATGGCTTTATACTCCACATTGCACGTCTACATGAAAATCACCCTAATATGGAGAAAAGGATTTAATAAGGAAATATTTCTTCATGGAGTGCACAGTGCATGTAGGTTTTTCCGAAGAACTGAGAAAGGCATTTTTTGTATACACAAATTATGTTACATATTGCATAGGCTGTCAGAAATATTCCAAAATGCATCTCAGAAAAAAAACATTACTTTTAAAAGAAATTAGAATGAAGATGTCTATCTACCAAAAATACGAAATCGATCTGTGTGGTTGACACATATTACACATGCACAATAAAAGAGTACATGGTCATGCTAAGCCTTATTGTACAAAATCTTCACGATGGGATATAGGATATACAAACATTCCATTTTGAGACAACTGATTACAGCAATAATATAGGGGAAGATTGACCTGTTCAGCATGAAATGGACAAGGGAATGCCAGATGTGCCTCATTTGAACCATGACTGTGCTGCTTGTAACCTCACATCCACTTCTGCAAAACATGGATATACCACAGCCTTGTAACAATGGGGGTTTATTCACAGATCACAGAATTGTAGTGAATCGAACACAGAACTGCAAAATGTAGACTAAAATAGCCAAACTGTGCCCATAACTGAGCTGGTGATTTTTTCTAAATCAGCTATTGTTGCCTAAATTTACAATTTCATTTATTATACGCTACAGTCTACTTATGTCTTTTAAAATTACTTTATAATAGTATATTCCATAATTAGTGTAAAACATGCTCCTACAAGTTCTCCCACACACAATCATGCTAAATATTCTGAGATAAACATTGTACTATGTAGGCCAATAAATGCTTTATCTTGCCAAGCTTCGAGTCATCTCTTTTACAACACAGCAGCATCTGCTTAAATGGATGTATTAATCATGCAAAAGATAGCGCAATTAACACACCGAGGTCAGCTACTTCTGGTGGTTTCAACACAGCCATACAAACTCTAAAGCAGCCTCTCCAATATCAAAACAATGATACTCACACCAGTTAGGCTGAAAGACTGAGTTAGCTAGTAACTGTTCCTCTCTACTAGTCTCTACCATCCTTTCTGGAAGGCCATTTCATGTATCTTCAACTCTTTCTCTAGAAGATGTGTTTCATGACAATACCACTAAATTTCTCTCATTTCAACTACATGCCATTCCGTCTCACATCAAATACTCCTTATACAGAGTATGTAAACCTTTTGTTAAGGAGACACTCTAGTACTGTACTTTGTCTGAATGAATTGGTTATAGTGCCTGGAGTCACCCGTTTCCATCTCTTTATTGAGTTAACACCCATTTTTGAATGAGGGACCTACTGGAGATATGACTAATGTGGAGATCCTGCTACACCTTAGCCATACAAATTTGTACCAACAATGGAAAGCTGTGATAGGCCAACAGTGATCAGCTGACATTCTCAGCTAGTCACTGCTGCCCATCTCTGCTTGGGTGCATTCTTCCTCCGTCTGCATGCCCCCTCTGACCATCCTCCTCTATTGGTAGTGTTTCTTCACCTGCTGCAGTAGAACAGCTGTATGTTACTGTTTAACGTACAACTGCACTATCATGAAAAGATACATGGGACACCTTCATAGATTTCTACGAGATAGCTCATACAGCTGCAGAACATGTACAAAATGGTGATTACTTCTTTCATCAAAAAATGTGACTGAAGTAGCACAAAATTATACAAAGTGTTCTACAGCTTTTATAGCTTTGCTTTAAAATAGCTTAATGTGGGGTAAGCATTAGAAATCTAATTGCAAAGTGGTTCTCCCATCGACTGTACATCTTTCAATCTGAACTATCACCTGAGCTACCATTGTCATAAGCCTCCGTATACAGGATGTGTACAATGCTCCTATGGAATGTTATGAGAACAGTTGAATGATTATCTGTCACATTTTGGCTTTGCTGGAGCTTATTGCAGAAGTTACAAATGCAGAAAATTCTGTAACTTTTTTTTTTTGCAGCATTTTAATTCCATTGTTAACGTTTAATGTGTTGAAAAAGGAAAGGAGTCAACTCCAATCTTAGGTTTCTCTTTAAAAAGACACAACAGGCACCAAAACAACTTTAGCTTAATAGAGCAGTTTTTGTGTATAGATCATGCCCCTACAGACGCACTTAAATTACTTTCTTTATGCAGCCCTAGCCACACCTCCGTACGTATGACTTGCACAGCCTTCATAAACATTTCCTGAAACGACAGAGCTAATGTTTAAAGTTCTGTTAAATTTTTTCTCTGTTAATAGCCTTCTAATAGGCTCCTCTGTGTACGTGTGATTAAAGTTTCATTTACAGTGCAGGAGATAAAACTTCTAAAGCAATTTAACATCTGATTGAATGAAACCCTTTTATTCATGCAGGGCTGTGTAAGACACAGGTGGGGAGGTGAGGCTAGTGCTGCATGGGCAGAAACAAAATTATTTAACTCCCTAATGGAAGAGAATTGCACAGTGAGACTGCTGGGGCATGATCTATACACTACAACTGCATCATTAGGCTCAAGTTGTTTTGATGCCTATATTGTCCCTTTAAGTTTTTGGGAATTTAAGAGCTATTTCTTAAACCTAATGTTGGCATTAGAAATAGACACATCGCAGAGTGTAAGAAATAACAAAATAATTACTTTAGAAGTCAGCATTCTTACAGAAAAAAAGAAAATTTCAGGTATTCTTTGACACTGGGTTGTTACTTCACAGTGCATCACTAGGCATAATTTGTAACCCTCATAGAAGAACTGCTGCGGTTTATTTCATTAAAGTGTACAATTAGCACAGAGGGAAGTTTCCTAAGTCTTGCTGTTGGGTGGTTATATACTATTATTAATTTCAATGAACCTCTTTGGCATTGCATTTTCTATTTCATTTTGAAACACATTTTCTGATAGTGTAAAACCAAAGTAATAATATCATGTAGTACAGTAGTCTCTTTATCAATGTATCTATGTAATTAATACAAAAAAATTTTTATGTCATGAGTATTAATTCAGAATAACCTGGGTTACACTTTGATAAGCCAAAAACAAAATATAAACTACGGAACCAAGAATGAGAATGAATCAAACTGTTTAGCTGTTATCTGCGTGAGATACATAAAAATCAGACAATCCGGCAGTCGTATCTCTAACATCTCTCTTGCAGGGGGCACCTGTCTTGCACTTTAGTTCTGGACCGCCACTCAGTGTGAGAATACTCTGGTGTGCAAACCATGTTAGATCCCCCATTAATGGCACAAGTAAGCTAAAAATGAATTAGGAGGAAGAGGGCATCCAGAACTAAATCTGTTAAGCTTTTGTTCATTCTCAATGTAGATTTTAATGTGTATACTTGTTCTTTTATAGACCTAACATTAAGCATCATGTACTTTAATTTAAAAAAATGTGTATCACTTAAAAATATGATCAATCATAAGTAGTGATGTCCCGAACGGTTCGCCGAACGGTTCGCAAACGGTTCGCCACGGACTCATCATTGAGTAAACTTTGACCCTGTACCTCACAGTCAGCAGACACATTCCAGCCAATCAGCAGCAGACCCTCCCTCCCAGACCCTCCCACCTCCTGGACAACTCACTAAGAATGCAGCTTCAAAATGGATGCTGTCCAGGAGGTGGGAGGGTCTGGGAGGGAGGGTCTGCTGCTGATTGGCTGTAATTTGTCTGCTGACTGTGAGGTACAGGGTCAAAGTTTACTCAATGATGAGTCCGTGGCGAACTGTTCGTGAACCATTCGGGACATCACTAATCATAAGCCATTTAAAATAAAAAATATTTCACATTTGTATTTGTGGGTAGTCAAGAATACTGTTTTACCACCCCAGTGCCATTGACATGCAACGCATGTCTGTGTAACATTTTATGCATTTGCATGATGTCATGGTACCCTATATGTATACAAGTGATGTCACAAGGCTTCATGCTTAATGCTGCTCTCATACTTGCGTAGGGAAAGCACTGATTAGCTTAAAATACTAGGGTACACTTAACAAAGGAGGAGAACTTACAAAAGAATATTAATATTAACCTGCAAAATGTATATATTAATCAAATATTTTTTCCATATATTAAATGCTTTTCCTTCAAAAAGTTTTAGAAAGATGGACATTTGAAGGCTAGAAGGTCTTTTAATCAAAATTAAAAAAAAAACAGTATTACAGGACAAGATTATAATTTAAAAGCGGCACTTGTTTATATATTATGTAAATAAAATCTCGGAAAAGACTTCATAGTCTTACACCTCAAGCTATTCTTGAATTAAAGTTTTAATTCTATGGCAATCAACATAATTGTGGTTAAATGTAGCCCTGCATAGCCATTGGGTCAAGGGTTAATATTTCTAAGCTAGAATTTTTAAATTAATTTTTAAGTACTCTGCTCATCTAAAGACTAAAGGATAGTTGTGTACTAGTACTAATTTGAGTAAGAAAACATTAATTATTCATACTACCTATAAGGAGTTACTGGACTATAGTATTGATCTTATGTGTTTTAGCACTTATGAGAAAACCATGAGATGGATACATACATTTCTCTAGTATAGATGCCTGTATAATATATTTTCTTTGCAATACTTTAAAATGGATGTGCTGTTTAAGAATGCTACTACAAACTATGTTTGTTTTATTTCTTAGACTAACACAACGCCTTTGAAATTCTTGCTTGTTAGAGGACACAATCAACGTTCTGGCACAATGTTGCTCTTAAGGGTTAATCCAATTGACTTTTCTGCATTGGTCTCACTTAGCAGCAAGTACTGAATTAGTTATACATTGAGAGCATTCAGGCATGTCGTACAGTGTTACACCATCTATATTATTCTAATACTAACACAACATAGCTACACATTGACTATTCAAGATATTGGAATAAAAATCCGAATTGATGGATTCATTTTTGTGGCCATAATTGTTATTATTATTGTCATTTATATAGTGCCAGCGTATTCCGCAGCGCTTTACTATGTTATTTTAGAATTCTTATTCTTATTCTTTAGAACAGATCATAACATCCTAGAACTAGCTAGAAGTCTCCTTAGAATTAAGTGGTTTAAAAGAATAAAAAAAAAAACCATACTGATAAATTATTTGGTATGAACTGAAAAATGGATATCTAAGTACTGAACATTGTTGCGTTTTGTCAGAATGTCATGTAACATAGTAGTGTAATCACCTCTTCATACAAACACACTCTAAAGCTATTTACACTATTGATTGGAGCTGAGTGCGTAATGTTTCCCTTATTTTGCAATACTACAATCCCTATAGCAGACCAGTATAGGCAATGGAAAAAGAAACTGATCATACAAAGAGAGATGATACTTGAAAAAATAAAGGTCACATTCTTTCTTGTAATCCCTTCTCTGCCATACCTCACCCCTTCCTGGAATTTATAGAAAGAATATAATAAACATAACTGAAGATTAAAGAACTGAGATCCATATGTAAGTGCAATAGTAATTTCTTCTTTATTAAAAAGGTCTGCTTGCAAGTGATAGTAAAAAATATAAACGTTATTCTTTGTGATTTAAAATACGGTTTTATCAAAGATAAAATGAAGCTGGTATATGCTTCCATATTGCCAACACGTGTCTGTTTTTTTTTTTTTTTTTTTAATCCACTTATTGTACAAAAGGAAAATGCTAAATAGATTTTTATGGATAGGCGAGATTTCATCATTTTTATCCAAGGGCAAATTATTTTTCACAATTGAATTGGGGTGGGGGAGGGTCCTAGCAAAATGAATATTTCTTATTATGTCTACTAAATGGTTAAATCGACTCTAAAGTCAAATGAAGAGGAAGAGGAAAATACACTTTACTTAGATGAGGTAATGTAGAGGCATATGGATTTATTCACTAAACTGCAAATTGTGGTGTTTTGAAAAAAACAGACAATTTGGAAATAACGCACATACTCAAATACAATTTATATTTTTCGCTTTCATATTTCACAGCATTAAGTTTGTTTAGAGATTCCCTAATGAAATGTCAAATATTTGTTTGAATAGATACAAAAGGAATGACAACAGATAATATTTCTGAAATATTAAATACGTATTATATATATATATTGCTTTTAATTAAAATCAGTGTTTGGGATAACGTAATGAATGCAAAGTTAGTATCACAATGTGTCAGATAATCTTATTTTATTGGTTTGGAGGAATGGAGAATTTGGACATTTTTACTGTGAACCATGTACAATGTGATACAAAATGCATAGCAGAATACGGAAATTATTGTCGGTGCATGTAACTGTACGTTTAATTTCATAAATTTAACAATAGGGCAAACCCATTTGATTGGTACAGAAACATTTTTCATTTCTATCATATAAATAGTTGTAGATGCATGGGCTGGCTTTCAGTAGAGGTGGTACAAACTAACATATTGGGAGGGATCAAGAAAGTTTGGCAAGAGTTCTCTGCACCCAGGGCAAGAAACAAAATCAAGAAAAAAACACTGTGCTTTGGGGGGTTATATAGGCTTATTTGCCATAATGCTCTTTGTTTCGATATATGTAATGAATACAATTATACTTATTTTAGTCCTTTCTTTTCACATATCAGTTACACCATTTAGCCACTATACATGTGACTGTAATTAGCTTCATTCAATCTCTTATTTCAGCTCCAGTCTGCATTGTTTATAGAGACCAAAGTCACTTACATATACAAACAATTTTCAAACCAAGTGATTTTCCTTTATTTAACCCCTTAAGGACCAAACTTCTGGAATAAAAGGGGTTAATAATGTTAACTATATTTCTCATAGAAGGGAAAGTTAGCTTTCTTGTCATTAAAGAAAAACTCAGGTTTCCAGAATTAAGGTATTCAGCGTATTGTATACTGACCTTTATTTCTTGATGTAAAATGAATTCAAAGCATGAAATATTTTGGATTTGACAAGGATATATTTCATAACCCACGCAAACTGGTTAGAATAAGCTGTAACTAAGCCTCTCTAAATAATGTATGATAATTACATAATAATGTTTACTTATTGTATTTGTTTGCTAAAGTTTGTGATGTCAATTCTGTTAACACTCTATGTGTGCCTTCCAATAAATTATAAAGTGGAAATAATATAAATACAAAAAAATAGAAAGCAACTCTGGCTATTCTTGTCATATCTGATGTGCATATGAAAATAGACATATATATATATATGTATAAAGAGACGAGTGCACTCAGGGGTCTGACGTAAATGTAAATAGATGCTTTTATTCAGCACAATTGAACATCGATGTTTCAGTCCTGCCAGATTTTTTTCAATATATATATGTATACACACACACACTATATATATATATAAATAGTTTATATATAATATATGTGTATCCATATAGACATCTGTCTATATATCTTATTTAAAGTGCTACTATAATTATTGTAAAAATAGAACAGCTCGACTCCGGTGCGAATAGTGAGAGACTGTTCTCTATTCCACCCAGTCTGCTCGCTGTAAAGTAAGCAAAAGATTGCAAATATTGATCTTTGACCTTTTTTTTTTTTTCCTCGCCAGTGATGCATAAATGGGAGGAGAAATGTGTACAAGGTATTGGAGTCACTAAATTCCCAAGAGTACTGTTTATATGTCTGTGAAACAAAATGTGTGTGTATGTGTATATGTGTGTTTGTTTGTGGATAGATAGATAGATAGATAGATAGATAGATAGATAGATAGATAGATAGATAGACACTATTTATCCACGTACACTGTGAAATATAGTATACATACACACACTCACAGACAATGTGAGTTACATATTTTAAAAACACATTTCAGAAGTTGACAAATTATTCTCTGACCTGAACAAATATCTGTTTGTTCTATATATTAGCTGTTTGTTAATCCAACGGATATTTCTTAAGCAAAACAATATCTAGGCTAATCAACACAAGAATGTGTGCCTGTAAGTTACGGCAATAAGTTCAATGTCAACCCTGTCCCATTAATGTTAATGTACTTTCATGGTTTTACTGCAAGGGTCAATAAATTATATAAAACATGACTACATGTTGAAAATAAAATAAAATGAATATATAATTAAAGTATACATTGCTTCGTTTTCCATTAGCATTATTTGCAGGCATTATTAATATTACGAGAAAATGATCTTTAAAGCTATCCGTAATTAAGATAATACATCTAAATAGCTGTCTAAAAAGGCAATACCACTTACTGAAACTGTTATACACCACATTTAAATTTTTACGATTAAACTGATAGTTTGCCATTCATCTGAACGCGCTCGTTATTCAAATATTAGCATAAAAATATATTTTTTTTTCAGTCAAGGGGTAATGCCTACATTTAAAAAAAAAAATCTTAACTCACCTAAATCTGCATTTTTCTGTTGCAGTCTGTAGCACCCCATGTAGTTAGCGGTAAAATGTCATTTAAATTGCAAACACTGAATGAGACCATAAGTAATGGAACATTTACTGGCTACACAACACTGGTAGCTTGAAGTTTTTACAATCTTGTAAGCAGCCTAAATGTTACATAAACAGGTATGGCCTGATGGGATACTTTATAGAGGTTCCAATTTATTGAGGAATTTAGCAGTGCAAGGCCAAACATTGAAAGATGGTTGTCACTAACGTATTAAAACACTATACTGGAATTTAACCTTTGGAATTGCTCACGTCTCCAGCACTGACAGGGTTAAGTGCATTATAGCATACCATAACACAAAGGACCCACCTGCAACATTCTATAGCAACGAAATGGTGTTCTTCAAGTGCATCCCTTATTACTGCAATACTGAACAAGGTATCTATACATTTATCATGTGTTTTGTACAATACAAACCTTTCATCACATGCAGATGTGTAAAGTTAACAAAGAATTAACTAAACCCATATCTTAGCTGGGGTTTTTTTTTTTTGTGGCAATACTTGAAATTTTAGCATTGTCTATAGACATCTAGGTTCTTATCATCAAGCGATGGTCGTGATGAATGTAAATGTGTGATAATGTCTAAAATGGCATGTCATAACAGACAGCCTGACAATAGGTAACTCGGAATAGGTGATTTTTCTCGTCTCCCTTTTTTTTCTGGGAGAGATTACCTTAAAATGTTCAGTTATTCTCGCCTTGAAAGTCAATAAATAAAAAGCAATTGAAATTACATTTAACTGCATTTTTACTAATGACTATAATTTGTCACAGAGTGTGCCCTGCCGCTATTGAAATTTAGACACACTTTAATTGCCCATGGGTTAGATGGCTAATTGCAAAAAAAGTAGTTTTTTTTCTGTAGTCATCATATAGTATGACATTAAATAAGAAGAACAAAAATCTCAACTCTCAAATCTACATGGAGAGAATTATCTATATCTGTTCTTTATTATGCAATCAGCTCATTTACATAATTTATTAACCATATGACAGACTGGAGTGTCTGTAATAAATTAAGTAGAAATGCCTTAAAAACCCTGGTGACTGCAGGGTTAAGCATATAGAGTATTTTGCAGTCAAATCATCACTCTACATAGGCAGAATACATTCCAAAAATTAAAACAAAGAATACCATATAGATAATTATTTGCTATTTTTCAGTGTTAAATAAAATTTATATTGCATTTATAATCAGGAAGTGAGTGAGTGTGTGTGTGTGTGTGTGTGTGTGTGTGTTTGTTTGTAAATGCACTTGTTTTTTACACAAAGCGACAATGTTGTTATTTGTTTACTTTAATACTGTTTACTTGAATTGAAAAGTTTTATTGAAGCTGAATAGCTCATCCTAGTGAAAATTATTTTGGAAGAAAGCACAATTCTGCTAGATTCCTAATTATTATGAATCATTTATTCCAAGCTTCAACATATTATCTAGTTCTGTACAAGATGACTAGATATAGTTTTCCAAATACAATTCACACAGACAATTAAATATTGTATATTAATATTTAGAATTTTGTCACTGATTTGTGGACATTGGGGGCATGCACAAAAAAGGTATTTTTTTTTCTTTAAAAAAAAAAACCCAATCATACACATTCAGGGCAACTTGTATCCATTTACATCTAGCTCGGTTAACACCTGTGTGGTTTTAAGTTACATGTTCCTGTAGAGCAAATGTCAAATAAAGGAATTTGCAGAGACCTTAGGAATTTTCTGGGGAAAGAAAACATAATGGACTTAACTATTAAACTACTGGAACTTTTTTTTTTTCTCAAATCAAAAAAGGCAATATTGGTTTGGAAGAACAAATGTTTATGCCTGGCATGTGAAAATTAATGTAAGTTTCATATCATAGAACCTTGAAGGAATAACTATAGCTAAGAGCTATAGAGTTGGAGAAGGAAATGACAATAGATAGATAATGATAAAATCAAACATTTTTCACATTGTCTTTTATTTTTATTTATTGACATAGTAAAAGAAATTGTAGCTATATGTTTTCTACAAAGCATATAGGTAAGGCTCCTTTTTATTGAATAATGGAATTATTTTTCTTTAAATTAAAGCATGTCACTAAAGTGCAAAGGTTGTGCTGTAAGGTTAAATGCTTGTGGCCAGTTACAATAAATAGGAGAGGTCCTCTAGCTTGAATAAAGAGCAATTGTATTTTTTTGTGATTTAACAGATTGTATCATATAAACAGCAATCCGGCATCCAAAAATGGTATCTTGAATATAGCGTAACTGTGTTTATTTTTTATTTTTCTACAACAAAAATAGCCTCCTTGAAAAAAGTACACAAAAAAATGTACTCTTAAATAGTTTTTTTTTCTCATTTAATTAGGTTTTTACTATTGGTTATTAACACTCTAAATGCCACAGGGGCGTGAAAAACACTTGGTATTATTTCTGGTGCTCACAGCTTTATATTTGCTCACTTACACCTAAAACCAGGGCAAGAAACAAAAATCTTAAATCTAGTTTTGAGCTAAATGGTTCAGAGAAAAAAAATATAAATCACACAGATTTGTAACTAAGAATTTAAAGTACTTTAATTTAATCATTGATTAATTTAATCATATATCTCAAAATCCCTTAAACAGTTGATAGAAAAAGTGCAACTGCGCATACGTGTGTAAATATATATATATATATATATATACATATATATATATATGTGTGTGTGTGTGTATTTGGCTTAAGTTACTAAAATTAAAAAAATATATATTTTACATGACATGGTAATACTTAATTCTCATTAAACTATTCAAATTTATTCAAAATTTAATTCCACGTCTCTGGCATATATTCTGTACAAAGGTATGTGAGCATAATTCAGTAGTCTGAATAGTCATACTGTATGGTACATTTGATATTTTATACCCTAATAAATCAACAATGCACTTAAATGCAGATTTTATTAAATAAATATTTTTATTAAAGGCATTTGCTCTAAAAAAAATTAAATGTCTTCCTGGTTTGAACATACTTATTATTTTATTTTAAAAAACAATACAGGGGAATTGATCTTAAAATAATAATAATAACAAAAATTGAACAAAAATCATTTGTTTTCATGTAAATTTGAGTAGCTGCAGTAAATATCATCATTTTTAAGTGTTATTTTCAAGTAAGTTTCAATGGATTATATGATATTTCAGGAGACTGAAATGCTGTTGTCTCTTATCAATTAGTCAAATACTGTAACAGCAAAATTAAAAAAACAATCTTAAAAAGACACTTCTTTAAGTAACCCCGTTTAAACCTGAGAAAGAAAAGCATCCAAACAGACCAATTTATGCTCTGGCTTGGGCAAAGCATGGGAATACTGATGTGCTATAGAATCTGCTCTGCATGCTAAAGACTCATTCTTCAAATAGTAGCCCTCCTGAGCTGAGCATTAAACAGGGACAAAGAGGCAAACAGCGAACAGTGGGGGCTACTATTCACGCTTCAAAACCCAAAGCTAAAAAGCCAACCAAAACCATGGCCATTAAATATTGCACTTTAAACCGTCTAAACTATTTCCTCCTATAATATTTTCTTTAATTTTTAATATCTTTTTGAATATCTTTTGATTCTATAATATCTTCTTCAATAAAGGCCATAGATTATCACTGATTAAAGGTTGGAAACCTTTGTTATTGCTATATTGAATTTCACCTTATTACCAAAAATTGGTTTAAGGCAGATTTTTTTTTTTTTTTTTTTAAATCGTTGCATTTAAAGTACAAGATATTTAGGCACCAGTCCTCTCTACACACGCTTACATATCATTTGTTAAATCCCTGTAACTTAAAACTGAATAAAACAAACACAATGAACTAGGAAACTTGTGAAAATAAAGTTATATTCAACTGAATGTAAAGAACATACAGAATATATTGATGCAAAATAAAATCGAAAATAAATTACAGCAACATACTTCTGAAACTTTAAATATTTTCAAAATAATCAAACTATTCAACATGAATAAAACATTCAACAAAACATCCCATAGAATCCAGCAACAATAATATTGTTTAATATCATCTATCAATAATATCAATGTATTTCTCTGTATAAATATATATTAGAAATGGTACAGATTACATACACTGTTGTACAACTTTCTTAACATATAGGGAAGCCTGAACGACAGCATCTTTTCTCTTCGCCATCAACAAATATTTGTTATCCCAAAAAACAACATTAAATAATATTTTGTATGCATAGATTGGTATTTTATGTGTGTATGTATACATAGGCATAGGCACACACATATCTAGGCATATTAATATAAGAATACAAAATGTATATGTGTGTGTGCTTAATATATATATATATATATATATATATATATATATATATATATATTACTCACACAGATACATGCACATTTAAAACAATCTCACACATAGGTAAAAACAAAGTAGATTCCCTCAATGATAAGAATCTATGTTTCTCTTCCCAGGATTTTAAATTGAACTGTAAACATTGATTACCCTCTGTCCTTGCCCTGCAGGTAGCTCCCATTAATTAACTGATAGCATTTTATCATGACAATAATAGGTAGGCATAGTGGCTCTTTGTTAGGGGGTGAAATGGACTAGATGTTTGCAGTTTAGCTTCAATTTTATTACTAAATCATCCACGTAATATTTATTGTACTGACTCACAGTTTTGCAACTGGGAATTTAGATTTTAGCTTTTAGCTGTATGTAGATGCATAAAGAACAGTTTGCACAGTATTTTAAATGCTTGCTTAGTTAAACCTGTAATTAATTTAGAAGGTGGAATTAGTAAAACTAAGTCACTGCATTTTCTATATGGATGTTTTCATTTCTGGTCACTGGGAACCTAAATAATATATTGAAAGGATATACCACGAACATCGAAATGCTATAAAATCATGTTAACAACTGTAAAAAAATAAAGAAAAATGCATATATTCAATTTATGTAATTAAATATATACCTTCTTTGTTGGTTTGTTGGCTCTTTGATTTTTCCCAAGGTGTAATAGATTTGTCTTCTTCTTCTCCCTCCATCAATGATTTCTCATTAGGCATGTACCAGGTTGAATTATGTTCTGCCATAAGAGAGTCAAGGTCTATAGTACTCATAGAATTTTTGACATTGTCTGAGCAACAACTGTTCAAATCACTGTCCACATTTTGAGAAGTACAGTCATTTTTTTTATTCTTCATCCCCAAGGGCTGGTCCTCAGAAATGCTGAACTGCTGTCTCTGAAGCTGTATCTGTGCTTGGAGAATCTCTAGAGGGTGAATCTCATCCTGGGTAGATGTGCTGGTTGGAGTACGCACCTGTTCCATCCCTGGGGTTCCAGGGTGACCCCCACCAGTGCTACTCAAACCATAACTGTCCGGGAGAGAGGTAGTGTTATTTAGCAAGTTTAGACCGATTGTTTTTTGTCCATTAAGAAGTCCATGTTCACCCCGTTGAAGTTTTGGAGACCCTGTTACCATAGGACAGCTATTGGGTTTTGATATGTTGTTATCTGAACTAGATGAAACTTCATCTTCATTGCCATAAGTGGTGTTGACATCTTCTGGAAAGTCAACATGAGGTGAGCTGCTGTCAGATTTAGTCACACTTTGAATTCCACTATCCAAAGATGACATGAGGTCAGGTTGGTCACTAAGAAGTAACTCACCCCCTTTTCCCCAAGACGGAGAGGTCAAGGGCTTGTCATTTGGAGTCCCTCCAGCTTCTCCTGGGTTGGCTGACTGACCCTGCTGCCCTGGACTCACCACAGTACCACCACTATCTGCAGAATACTTATCAAAGTAGTTACCTGGACTTACATGTCCACTGTCTCTTTTTCTCCTGCCCCTCCCTCGTCCACCACCAGTCACTGGTTTGCCATCATTCCCAGGAGTGGCTTCAATACTGTAGTTTGGGGATAAACTAGTTTCACCCTGTGTGGGCTGAGCTGCCGCACTTTGCCCTACAGACTTACTGTTGGCATTGGAAGCACCCGGCACCTGGTTGCTCTGGGATGAGCCCCCTGGAAAATAATCTGAACTAGTGTTATTCCCACTGTTGCTATTTATGTCACTCTCTGTTTGGCTTAATTTTCTCTTTCCTTCTGCTTGACTTTTTTTATTAAATGTTACATTAAGATTTGGAGCACCTAAGCTAGCAATCATATTCTGGCAAGCTGTAGAGAGGGCAGCTAAGCAGCTTTGTCCAAACATATTTTCTTTAGTATTAGACTTACTAAATGAACCAAGGGAAAGTGCCCCCAATTTACTGGCTGTGGACCGCTGGCTGGCTTGAAAATCTGATTGTGGTGGATAAGAACCTGGGGATGAATTTACACCTTGTGGATTGTGTGGGGTTGACTGTCTATTTGACCCAACAAATGGAAATCCTGGCTGCCCCCCTATAGATGGACCTGTGAAATCTGGAGCCCCCCTCCTGTCTGTTGGGGTACTGTTAATACCCACCCCTCCACCTGGTGACTGCATTTGGGAAAGGTTAGCCATATTATTTCCAAATTGAGAGTGCATTCCGGGAGAATGCAGAGACTGAACGTGTCCTTCTCCCGGTATCCCTAAAGGCTCCTGCATACCTATCCTATTAACCCCTGGCCTGAACAGCAAATTTGACCCATTTTGTTGTAAACTAATGTCATGAGATGCAGGATCAGGAGGAAGACTTGACCCACCCATCCTCCTTTGAAGAATATCTCCAGGTGGATGAGGGCCGGGAAACCAGGCATTCTCTTGAGCCACATGTGGGTTTTGGGGGTCAAAATTACCAATCCTGCCCCCTTCTCGATCAAAATTAGGCTGCGGCAGATTCCCCACCTGAGCTCCATGAACAATGCTGTTTTGATTAACATCCCCATGATGGCCCAATTGCTGTAAATTAGCTTGTCTCATTCGTTGCTGCTGGTTTCTGGAAGCCATTTGTTTAATTATCATTGCTGCATTCTGTCTCTGTTGAAGGGACTGATGATCTGAGCTGGGGTGTTGCAGAGTTGGGCCAGGGGGAAAAGTTTCTGGCACTTGAGGAGTATAGTCACCTGGAAGGCCAGTATACGCAGAGGGAGATAAATGACTGTCAATGCCAGCATTGTGAATGCTACTGTTATTCCAAGCAGCACAGTTATCTACACCATGATTATTTGGAAAGTCAAACCTGGGCCTTTTAGTGACATTCATATAAGGAGCATCAAAATGCTGCAATCTTTGATTTGAAGGTTGCTGTGGAGGTCCTTGTTGCATATTGAACATTGATTCTGAATACGGATGCATATTTCTATTCTCCAGTCTATGAATGGGGTATTCAAACTGTGAATGTTGGTTCTGCATTACTGGTCCATTGTCCTGTAAGTTTGGGTTAGAGTTATTGGCTTCTGTTTGCTGTTGCCTGGTGATTGCTGGGGGGCATGAGTTTTGTCTGGCAAGTAAAGCAGACTGCTGTTGTTGCTGCTGCTGCTGCTGCTGCAGGAGGGGATGTCTGGCATTGACTGCAGGCTCAATGCCTGCGGGTATTTTTCGTGACCCCCCAAACCTTTCAAAGAAAACCCCGTGCTGCGGCTGTGGATGCACTTTGGACATTCCTACTATGCCAGGAGGCCTGGGTAAAACAGAAGTGCTAGGAAAGCTACCACTGGGGACCTGCCTTCCGGCCGCATAATGGCCCTCAGATTCTGAAGGAGAGTACACAGGTACCTCAAAGTGTCCAGAAGGGCCATCACTAGGATAATTGTATTCCAAGGGATCAACACTTCCTTGGCTATGGATTCTCCTTTGTTCCAAATTGTGAGAATCAGAGGAGGTGGATGAAGGAAGCCCATGAAAGGATGCAGCACGATTTGGGGACTGGTCTAAAGGAAGACAGGGTGCAGGGACAGCATGATTAGAAGCACTAGAGTTAGGGTGTTGAAAATCAGGAATATTACCTGATCTCTGCTGTCCGAATCCTTCTCCGGAAGATTGATTCTCTGCCATTTGTTCATAGCCCTCACCAAAGGCTTGCTGGTTTCCAAGATTATTGTTGTAACCCATAAGCCGACCACCATGCAAACAAGATGCAGTGGCATCAGGCCCACCAAAACTGCCACTGAAGTGAGGGTGGTGCTGGTGAGAATGAGTATTAGGGTGACCATGGTGATGCTGCTGATTATTGAAGAAACCATGAACAGGCTGTGGTTGCATTCCCCCAGCGTGGATTTCTGAGTGCCCCCTGGCATGGTACCCATAGGGTTCACCGTTTAAGTTGAGATTCATGCCTAACATGGCAGGTTCGTTTAAAGCTCCAATTGCAGGATCCACAGTCCCTGAAGTCCCTCCAGAATGGAATGCAGGGTTTTTGAAATGAGAGCTCATATTCATCCCAGGCTGGGTGAAGTTTCTCTCTCCTTGGCCAGCGCTTCTGCTATTGATCTGTGGCTCAAATTGCTCCAGCCCAAACATAATTCCAAACTGATCAATAAGGCATGACAGTTCTTTCCACCAATAATGCTATTACACTCAGTTCTCCCAATGCCAGAAAATCAAAACAGGTCTGTTTAAAATAAAAAGGGCAAAGACTCACCAAATGCATACAGATCTCTGCACAGTCGTTGGAGGCTAAATCCGACTGTGAGACGTAGAGGCAATGTTGTGTGCAGTATTCACAGATGAGCTCACATGTTGTAATCTGATAGGGCTTGTGCTGTGAGATCACAAGTAAACACTTTCTTCTTCTTGGGATTTCATGCAGAGCTGGACGGGTTTAAACAGCCGCTTTCACTTCTACTCAACAATAAAAACATCCAACGTACACCGGGCTAGTCTGAAAAGTGATTGTTCAGCAACACAGAAGTTCTGGTATCGGTAGTCCAAATGAATCTGTGCAAAATACACACGAGATTAAAATAATGAATCTGTGCAGTGCAGTCCAGTCCCTTGACAGCGTGTGTAGCCAATGCTGCTTTTCTGCAGGGAAGTAGCACTAGCTTTCAGTCACTTGTATATCTCTCCGGAGCTGGATATGTCCAACTGATTGCAACTTTCAGCTTTTCCACTTGCATTGTAGAAAATGTCTAAGCCTCACAATAGCTCTGGCTGCCATCTGGGTTGGAGAGGGGATTTTTGGATATGCAGGTCAAGCTGTAAGCAAAGCTTTTATTCAGTCTATACAAGGAGCATTGATCTGGCTGATGTCCCCAGTGCAGAGACTGCTGTTCCAAGTCACACGTTGCTGCCGTATCCTTAGCAGCGAGCACAGTACCTGAGGCACTGGTCTCTGACCCTGAAGCACTGTCTGCTGCCCCCGGAGTACTGTTGGTGCTGTCCCCAGCCAGTGCTAGATCCTCATTGCACTCTCCATGCACACAGCAGTGTATCCCTTTTGTTGTATGCTGTGCACAATGAACAAGCAACCCTTGTGGCTCCAGGCTTGGAAGCTAAAGTGAGGAGGGGGGGGGGGCTATGAGGAGTCCGTGTGTTACAGGCAGGAGGATTTTAATGTGAGATCCCTCACTCTGCGAGTCTCCCTTCTCAGATCATCCAGCCCCACAGAGCAGCAACAAGTTTTGCATACAGCAATCAATTTCTCTCACACGCCCCCAGCCAATGTCAGAGCAGGGAGGGGGTGCGGCTATCACTTAAGGTGGTCTTGCCACATTACTACAGTAAAACACCTATAAAGATCTGCCATTTATTTCCATCATATAACAATATAGCTGGGTGAAATCAAGCCTGTCCGTCTGTCTTTACGTACATGACCATGTTGTATTCCCAGAAGTGCAGCTGGTTACTGGGAGAGATCAGCTCTGTCTAACAGCAAGCAGTATCCTTTTGTTACGGGCTCCCCCTTCTTTGAGAATCAGACCAAGAACTGGCACAAAGAGAGAAAACAATGTGCTTTTTTTGGGGGGAAGCAGGGGAGGTGGGGGGGAGAGAGTGAAGGAGAACAGAATGGATTGTTTGTGTTAAATATGCCCAGATCTTGCTTATGTTAGGATTTACCCAGGCTGGGCACATTGCACTTGCTGAAGTTTTTGGTACTGCTAAGTGCATTTGATTATATCTCGGATGTGTACCTTTCTCATTCCCGTATCTGCCTGACAATATGTGTGGATGTATTAATGTTAACGTGTCTTTCAGTCTCTACATACATGATTTTCTCATTGTATGTATATGTAAGAACATACAGCACGTGTGAAGTCAGGATGTTACAAAAAAATAAAATAATGTTAAGCTGATTAATTATGCAAAATAGGCAGCATGCATTTTGGAAATGTGTTATAAATGTGTATGCAAACTTGTAAACTACACAAAGTTAAATGTTACTTGTGTATATACACATACATACACACACACACACATAAATAAATATATATATATATACACATACATACATACATATATAAAATTACATTACACATATGTCTGTGTATAAACAATATATTATATACACTACACATTTCTGTATGCATGTTTGTGTGTATATACATGTATGTATACACACATAAAATAATTGTGAGTGTATGTATATGTGTGTGTATATATATATATATATATATAGATATAGTTATAGAGATAGATATACACATTGAGCAACTCTTATTAAATTAAAATGCTTTTATTTAGTTTCATATTTTAATCACTTGATATATATAAAGTGCACGTAACATGCATACATACGTGCACACTATAGTAATACATTTATTTGAATGTTTGCCTTATTGCGTAAATCATCTGCCTACTTGATCTAACACAAACATGCATGCAGTGTAAGGTTTCCTTTACCCGGCGTACAGGAATATGTAATGGAATGTGCCTTTTACCAAGAGAACTGATATGTTAGCAGAAGACAGAGACATACAATACAGGACAACATACAATTGTGCTTAAAGTACCTAACTATTGCTGATATTGTGAGTGTGGTGCTATTGCTTCAAACCTCTCCACTGGTCCTGGGATGCTTGTTGTTAGTTTCCTGTTCGATTCTGACATTTACCTGGTACATACAATATTGTGTTATTAAATAACACAAAGATATGCTTGTTTTAAGCAGCTAAATTGGCTCACAGTGAGTTCAGGCTTCTTAAAGATCAATTAGTCTGGAAAGACTACGAGGCAGGATTGAAATATAAAATCAATAAGTGTAATTTAATATCTGCACTGATCTTTATGAAAAATTCATCTCACTAATTTTAGTTAAACTATTCAGATTTTTCTCTACACTCTGTGAAATGTACCTATCAATTATTCAAGGAATTAAGACATTGCAAAAAAAAAGCAAAAAAACGTAATAGAGACACAGAAAAATAAGTGACACAGATTCTGAGCATGTTAATCAAATGCAAATAGCTCCTATAAAAATCTAACATTTCTTTAATGCTCCAGAACAAATATGGTTCTATCGATGCACTCTTTAGAATAAAATACCCTTATAGAAATATTTTGCTGTAGCATTGTTATTTCAAAGTGTTTTTTTTTTTGTAAAAGGACATTTAGCTACTTCTAGAACCTTTTATATAGATATCCAGTGCCCCACAAGTTATTTGTTTCAGTGTAAAATAATTTAATTTGTGATGTTGACACTTTGTGTGCCAGAGCTGAATGTATATTTATACCTCTTTGGTTTCTAAGTCATCAGTATAAGATCATCTAAAGAAATGTGTTTTATCTTCCAAAACAAAACTAATAGGTAAAAATAAAGACAATAAAAATGAGAATGAAAATAATACTAATAATGATAAATAAGGTTGTATTAAGTCCAGGCATGTGTAGATTGAAGGAGGAGGGAGGCCATTTGTATATTGCAGTAGATTTTTTAAAGGATTTTCCTGCAGGATCTGGATGCTGAGCTGTGATTAAATATTGATTTTGTGTAATTAGTTTTCATGTGAACTATCCTCCTCGCTGATGGCTTAGAGATTTCACAAGTAAAAAAAGAAATAGATTTGGTCATGGAAATTATTAGTTTGCAAAGTGTCAGGAACGGGGACCTACAATGTGCAGATTGGCACCGTTTATATGGGGTGGGGAGAAAGGAGAATTGTGGTGTTTAGTATAGAAATTGGAATTTTGACATAATTTGTAATAATTTATGCATTTCCAAGTTAAATCCATTTCGCCCTTTAAGAGACACAAAGCAGATCTCAAGGGGCATATCTGTTATAATTCACAGACCTTTTATTTATTAGACAAAAGTTCTAAGATGACGCTATCTGAAAACCTGAAGAATTTGATTCATAAAGCTTTTTATTCTTTAATTTTTGTTAACGATATTTATTTCTAGTGTTTTTAAATAAATTAAATAAATTGTGCCTTCCTTGCTTGTTTTTCTTCTACATAAAAAAGACGATCTAACACTAATTATCAGTAGCCCAAGTCCAAAGGGGTTGTATCTCATTATATGTAACAATTTCATTATCATTGTTTTTTTTTATTTTGCAATTTTTTTTTTAGTTCAAAGTCAGTTCAAGAGGAGTACTTTTTGTGTGAATGCGCAACAGAGCTAGAGGGAAATTCTTTCAAACTGCCACAGTGCCCCCTAGTGGCCATGAAGTCAGTTTAACACAAGAAAAAAAGAGCAATTTATTTATTCTTTTGAAGTATTTATTTATTCACTTTTATATCCATATATATATATATATGTACCAAAGCTATTTTATATACATATATTTTTTTTAAGTCTAACAAATTCAAATACTTTTAAGTCAGATGTGTAGGTTTGAAAACAGAAAACTGTACATGAGTTATTCTTTCTCATTTTTGAACCAGGATTGGGGGATCCCTATTTCATATTCTAGGAGTTGAACATATCACGTGACTTTGTAACTAGGAATTAATTTCAGTATTACAGCTAATTTGCAGATGTAAAAACCAGACAGAAAGAAATTCTACATATTTAATGTCATAGTTTACTTTTTTGTCCATTTCATTTTTGATTTTAAATATGGTATAAAACATGATTATGTAAAAATAATTAATTATGGTGGACAATTTAAGCTACATCTGAAGTATGTTAGAGAAAAGGTTATTTTATTTACTATAGACTTTAACATAATTTAATGTACAGTAATAAAGAACTAACCATTATTACACGTAATAAAACTGATGAATGATTTACTATATTTTTGCTGCTATGTGTATGAGAATAAATAAAGAAAAAGTATACACACGAAAAATGTATATAGTGAAAAACGTATAACTGGAAGTGATCCCAGGTGTACCTCACGAACACCTAAAACATGTACAACCAAAATAGAAAGTGGAAAACACCCAAAATACGTTAAAATATATATAAACAAATAGAACAACCTGAATGCAGGTAAATATCCGTGAATAAAATCTGTGTAAAGGATTAGAAAACTGACATAGCGTAATGAGGTCTCATTCAGCCAACCCAATGCATTATTTAAAAATTTTTACATAAAAAAAGTTTTAACTAGTTTACAAATAATTTAGTCTTGAGAATTAGCTATTAGAAAATGTTGAGTTTATTACAGCTATCATAGCAATTTACATTTGACAACAACATAAATCTCTGTATGATACTTAATAATTGATCCTTTTTAACAAAAACATATGATGTTGGGGTGGCATCTGATATAACCTAGATGTTCAAAAATGTACTGAGTTGATTTCTTTAAAACTGCCATAGCGCCTCCTACTGGCTAAAAGAAATGGTATATTGGGTGTATAAACATGAATCACGTCTATTTATTTCTTTTTTTAGTATACTTATTTATTTTCTAAAGCACCTCCTAATCTTAGCATTGTAAATTATGTTCTAAGCTCTGTGCTTATTTAAAAGGCGGTGATAAAGCCTAACCCCCACCCATACATAATTAAGCAAAAAAAAAAGACACTATATTTCACAAAATAAATGCACTTATTTTAGTACTTCAAATGAAAACAATGCCAATCTTAGTAGCATTATATATAGCCAAGGTTGGAAACACAAAAATTAAATACTGTTATTAGACCGTTATTGGCCGCTGTCTGTTCTAGTGTATATATTTCTACCTGTAAAAAATGTGAGTATTGTTTTTTACATATTCATATATATATATATATATAAACATATACATTTTAAATAAAACCATTTTGTTTGTATTTTCAAATTGTTTGTACTGATCCGAAAGATTATCTTCTTCTCCACATTTAAAAATACTTCATGGATTCTCTTAGAAATTCTACAGATGTCTTTTATAGTTTGTTTTATATAGATGTTAATGCACAGTGACAGACAGCTAAACATACTTCAGATAAAAAAAGGTGAAACCTTTAATACTCATAAGTTTTATGTGGATTATGAATGCTAAGTTATTTCTCCGTGGCATTTTAAAATATTCAAAAAGCCGGTGAGAATGCATGTTTCGATCAGTCTAGTACCTTTATGCAGGAAAAACAGATCAGTGAATTATGTAACAAAACAAGGTTATCCAAACAATATATGTTTACGTGTTTTGGGGTGCATAAGGAACTGATTAAAAGGAACATTTTGGATTGCAATCTTGCCTCAATTATCACTACTTGGCGTCTTGTTTGATTTTTTTTTATATATATGACTGCCCTGTACTTTTTGTTAGAGCCTTATTGAGTGAGCACAGTTTATTAAAGATCCTTTTTGTAATGGTGGATGGAGTGTCCACTGTAAAATTCTTAGTAAACAACTGCTTGCAATAGTAACAAAGTGTGCAACATGCCTTACACTGCATGTACTGTTGAAACTCGAAGAGCTAGACCAAGATAAAGTCATGTTGAGATTTGATGAAAAAGTCACCACCAGGGGCCCAAAAGGGAGAATCGTAAAAATAATTAATTTCTAAAGAAAATATTTTTCTTTCAGTCTTTTCGAATAGGTTTGCAGAATCAACCCACAGTTAAGTCATCGAAATAAACAATTTAGTAGACAAGGAAACTTTTCATTAACTTGATTTATCTTAGGCATGTTTTATGTGATGCCCAGACCTAAGACAAATTGGACATTGGATTCTAGAAACAGCAGGGCCTTGTTAATTGTTGTCTACATATGTAAAAACACTGAATGTATGTTTGCCCTTCCTGAAAAAGAAATATAAAAATTCTATTTCTTTTTTTTCTTGTTTTTTAATTCTAAACTGAAGCATTTGGTTCCCAAACCTCAGATAGTTAAAACAGTCTGCTCTTTTGGAATCTTTAGTCTCTATGGATTAGTCATGCTTTGCGAGTTTCAATGAAATAATGGTTTAGAAAAACACAAAAAGGTCACTCTATGACCCCCATTCTTAAAGGAGATATTCTTAATTGTTACCAATAGCCTAAAATCTGCATAACATGTGAAATGAGATTAAATTGCAGAACTTCACAATATTATTTAACTAAAAATATATAGTTTTTCAAAAATACATTTATAACAAATTGGATATTATTTGTGAATATAAGTCAATGGTTTATCAAATATGTTTTTTTACACCTGACATATTATGTATGGGCTAGCATTTGAATAGAATATTTAGTAAGGATTACTAAAACCTTTTTTTTATAGTTAGTCTTTGTTAAACCTTTTACTAAATTGTACATTTCTACTCAACTTTTTGTTAGTGAAAATTACCATCAATTCCCTGGAAAAATGCTAACATTTACAATAACATAGATAGGTTAAAATAGTATATTAAAATAATATATACACAGAAAAAAACTCAAAGAAAACGTGATGTGCAGAAAGTATTACATGTCTGCTTTTGAACGGATTTCAATGTTAAATTTTAACATACTGTAGGAATTACCTACCTGCAATTATCAGCTGCGTGTCTCAAAATATGACTTGTGTGGTGGTGGGGGATAATTAGTAGCTGAGTAATAGAATCTTTTCTATTGATGCTGTTAAATGAATATAGAGATTTACAAATGATTAATGTCTACTTTATTTTTTAAGTGCACAAATAAAAATCACTAAGGAATCGAAAATAAAAAAACATAAGTGAGGAGAATTATCACAAATGCATTTATAATTTTATCTACAATTATATATATAATTAGCATTGAAAGTATATTTATGTTTGAGAATGTCATCTTTTCCATTTGTGTTTTTTAAACACACTCTGTTATTTAACTATTGAATGGCCAAAGATGTAAAAATTATCCAGAAGCGGCAAGAGGATTTTATTAATTTAAACTGCGATTAAACAGTTAGCACATTGCTACGTATTTATTATATTATTCATTATAATACTGAAAACCTTGTTTCCCTGAAGCCCTCAAGCATAGTCCTCAAGTGAGACCATCAGACTAATTATGTGCGGCAACAAGTATGAACACAAGGAAAACATAGCGTTCAATTAAGTATGAGTCTCATTTTCCAACCAGAACATGGTTGTGGCCTCATAGATAAAAATTAGAAAAGAACAGTGGTCAAAAACACTGCACTTCTAGTCCGTCGTGCAAAAATGTAATATCAGTGTTTTCCATGATTACTGAAGGAACATTGCGTTCTGTAGTACATATCCAATGTTTGGACTGTTAATTTAGCATTATTTTGATAAAAAACCTCAGTCGGGCCGTTTTGGCTGGTGGTTGTGAGGACTGCAAAGGCTCTTGTTTTTAAACAACAAATGTTAAACAGGTACAATAAGAGCTACCCTGAGACCCTGTTGGTCCCACTGTCTATAACTTAATCTCACTTCCACCTGGAGCTGATTCTATATCTGATTTTAATACAAAAGTAATACATATGTACAAGACTGGCTTCTGTAGCTTTAAATTAATATCGAGATCTCCAGTGGCGTTTGGTTTTGCTCATTCAACTAAGCCAAGAGTAGGCAAGCTTTGGCACTCTAGATGTTGTGGACTACATTTCTACTAATGTTCTACAGTCGTAATGCTGGCAAAGCATCATGGAAAATGTGTGCAACATCTTGAATGCCAAAGGTCGCCTATCCTTGAACTAGGCTATTATGGTGACCTCAGACTGATTTGCCTATTTGGGCCATGGCAATGTAAACTTTTTTCCCACTAAAATCTATCTTCCTATGTTAAGCTGATCGGGTCATCCGTGAAGTTCTAACACCTATTGGCTACAAGGTCATTTTTCCTCCAGATTTTCTAGTAGACCCTTTGTACATGTCAGAATTATAAATGTGGCTTGCCTTGGTAAGAACTAATGTGGTAATTAATACTAACACAAACGGGTGAGAAATAGAATATACTTAATTTATATTTTTTATATTTTTTATATTTGTTTTAAATTTTTATATTTATATTTCATCCTAAAAGGAGAAACGGTCGCCTCAACACTATCGTTTAATATGATGATTCTTTCAACAAGTTATGAAAGGATATGGATGTAAATAAATAATACAACACACACTCTGCATACACTAGTACAACACATACTCTGCATTCACTACACTAACACACACTCTGCATTCACTACACATTAACACACTCTCTGCATTCTCTACACTAACACACACTCTGCATTCACTACACTGACACACACTGCATTCACTACACATTAATACACACTCTGCATTCACTACACACTAACACACTCACTGCATCCACTACACTGACACACACTCTGCATTCGCTACACATTAACACACTCTGCATTTACTACACATGTACACACACTCTGCATTCACTACACACTAACACACTCTGCATTCACTGCACTAACACACACACTACATTCATTGCACTGACACACTGCATTCACTACACACTAACACACACTCTGCATTCATTACACACTAACACACACTCTGCAATCACTAAACTATGCACACAATCTGCATTCACTATACTGACACACACTCTGCATTCACTACACTAACATACACTCTGCATTAACGGTACACACAGCATCCACTACACAAACATCCTGTATTCACAGTACACAAACTACATCCACCACAAATTGAAACACTCTGCATTCACTATACACCGACACTGCATCTAATACACACATTACACCCACTACAGACACTGCATCCACTAAACACATTTCATCCAGTACACACAAACACTACATCCACTACACAAACACACACTACATCACTGTACACACACTACATCCACTACTCAAACACACTCTGCGTTCACTATACACACTGCATCCGCTACACAAACACACACTCTGCATTCACTGCACAAACAGTATCTAATACACACACACACACACACACTACATCCATTACACACATTCTAATTCACTTCCACTATACACACCACATTCAGTCCTACATCATTGTCAGTGGACTAGGTAGGGCGTTGCCGGGCCAGGGGGGGGGGAGGGAGACAGTGTTTGAAAACCTCTATATAGTCTCTATGGTCTTTGCTGCTTCACTTCCTGCACATTACAGTGACTTCATCAGACTAGGTGTTGGCTTTCAAACACTGTCAGACCCAAGGTGCATGTATATGGCTAAAGAGTCCTGTCATATACTAAAGTGATGAGTTTTTCTAATTTATTTACATCCATATCCTTTCATAACTTGTTGAAAGAATCATCATATTAAACGATAGTGTTGAGGCGACCGTTCTCCTTTTAGGATGAAATATAAATATAAAAATTTAAAACAAATATAAAAAATATAAAAAATATAAATTAAGTATATTATATTTCTCACCCGTTTGTGTTAGTATTAATTACCACATTAGTTCTTACCAAGGCAAGCCACATTTATAATTCTGACATGTGCAAAGGGTCTACTAGAAAATCTGGAGGAAAAATGACCTTGTAGCCAATAGGTGTTAGAACTTCACGGATGACCCGATCAGCTTAACATAGGAAGATAGATTTCAGTGGGAAAAAAGTTTATGCAATGTGTGTTGTATTAGTGTATGCAGAGTGTGTCTTATATTAGTGAATGCCGTGTGTGTGTTGTATTAGTGTATGCAGTGTGTGTTGTATTAGTGTATGCAGTGTGTGTGTTATATTAGTGTATGCAGTGTATGTGTTGTGTTAGTGTATGCAGTGTGTGTAAATGTACAATCTGGGGGGGGGGGAGGGGAAGATGGCCAATTAATTTCACATAAATTGTACATTAAATTTAATTAAATGTTATTCCCCCCTCCCTGCCTGTGTCCAGGGAGGGGAAAGATTCCATCTCTGGTGGTCCGGTGGCATTGTGGGGCTCCCGGCTCCCTGTTACCGCAGAGGGGGCTCAGCACACTGCCTCTACTCTTCTCTTCTCCTCTCTTCCAATAGAGAGTGGGGCCCAGAACTGCCAGAGCAGTCAGGGCCCCCGAGGACCGCCGGGCCCGTGACAACCATCATGGTTGTCACCCCCTGATGGCGGCCCTGAGTAACTTCACTATAAAGTTAATGTTCTAGGGTGAACCTGAATATGTGGTGCAGTCCTTTTAGAATTTCTGCCTTATTTCCTTACACAAACAAAATGTTTGAAACTTTAAAGGGAAACATATATTGAGCAAGCACTCAGGTTGCTTTCACAGGAAACTTGTCAAGATATTTTTGTGTTAGGTAACCATATTACCAACATGAAAAAAAGGTTGATCACTTTCTCAGTACTGCAGAAGTAAAACTTCTCTACTACAGTAGAGGTATTGTAAATTTTAAAATGCATATTTATTACAACTAAACATATGTTTAGTTTTTATTTATTTTTACCCTTAAAGGGACACTATAGTCACCAAAACAGCGTTATCTTAAGAAGTGGTTTTGGTGTATAGCTCATGCTATTGTAGTCTCACTGCTCAATTCTCTACCATTTAGGATTTAAATCACTTTGTTTATGCAGCCCTGGGCATACCTTGTGCATGTAACTTGCACTGCCTTCCTAAACACTTCCTGTAACGAGAGATCTAATGTTTATATTTCCTTTATTGCATAGTCTGTTTAATTTAGAATTGCTTATATCCTGCTCTTTTATTAGCTTGCTAAATTCTGCATGAGCCTCCTGTATGAAATTAAAGGGACACTATAGGCACCCAGACCACTTCAGCTCATTGAAGTTGTCTGTGTGCTTAGTCCAAGGTCCCTTAACCCTGCAAAGGTAATTATTGCAGTTTTTAAAAACAGCAATAATTACCTTTGATGGTTAACTCTACCTCTAGTGGCTGTCTACCATATAGCCACTAGAGGGACTTCCTGGTTGTTAGGCAACTTTTGGTCACATGAGCACATACAGTGTATGTAAAACCCCATAGGAAAGCATTATACATGTGTAACGGACCACCTGGCACCCCGACTGGGTACCTCCGTTGAAGGATGCTCCTAGCACTTCCTGAGGGCTCCAAGCACTCCAGCCGACACCATAACCACCGTAGACTCCTTCAGAGAGCAAGACAGGAACAAGCTCTTACAAGAGCTCAGTGATTATAGCAAGGGAATATGCAGAGCATAGCAATCCCTTGTAGCAGATTCCCCCAATAAGAGACAGGACTCAGATTGAGGGTGAAGTAGAACTGATTGTACTCACACATACAGCCTATTTTATTCACATTCCACAAACATAGTACTGCCCACAGGGTTTTGCAGAACAACCAATCAATACGTACAATACACTCAGACACTCCCACACAAAATCCTCCCCTCTGCCTGTGATATAATTACTGAACACAATGGTCTAAGTTAATTATCACAGGCAGGAAAATACACAGTTTTACACAATATTCATAACTCTAAAAGTATACATCACATTCACATATTCACATTTTCAGAATCAGCATACTCCAAATACAAACATACGTCAAAATCATACAGATTGGTCTAGTGGGTCAAAAGTTAGTTGAAAATCCCTTTGTGACCATCTGCAAGCATGGCTTGGGTGTGGTAAGCCAATTACCTCCAGCATACAGAAAATGGCTCTATTCACGACAACAGTAAAAACACATAAAAATACATAATTCCTATTATAGTTAACAGAACCCCCACATTCAACCTATCCCCAGATAGTTTGGATCTGAGCGCTCACTATATCCGAACAGCGCTCAGATCCCACAACCACAGTCAAATCGCCATGGGGTTAAAACACAGCAAGAGCTGATGAGAGACCGAGGAGGGGCAAAACAGCAAGTTCCAACTGGTCTGGCAGTGTGCCTGGGACAACACCCTGCTGGAACAATAGACAGGAAACGGGGGAGGAGAAGAGAAACATCTTTCCATGGATTCAAATGGGCAGAAACCGTCTTTTAGAAGCCAATACGCCCCAAATAGTCTTTTTAAATGGCAATACACCCCAGGGCCATAGTCATGAGGGAGGAGGCTGGCAATCAGGCTCCTCCAACAGCCAGGGGCAAAGGGCAGTTGGTCATATAAAAATCCAGTGACAAAAGGCATTTTGTCACAACATGCTTTACTATGGGGGATATACTAATGAGAGCGCAGCCATTGCCGCTCATGGGCATTACTCTCCTTCGCCAGCTGACATTGGTTTTAACCCCTTCTGCTCCACGGGTGGAGGAAGGGCACTATAGGGAGCTAAAGTACCAGGAAAACAACTTTTCTGTTGATGGCCCTATAGTTTTCCTTTAAAGCTCAATTTCAAGAGCAGGAGATATGAACTTTTAAAGTTTCATCTGATTTAAAATTAATCCATTTTGTTTTCATGCAGGCTGTGTCAGTCACAGCCAGGGGAGGTGTGACTATGGCTGCATAAACAGAAATAAACGTAATTTAACTCCTAAATAGCACAGAATTGAGCAGTGAAACTTCAGAGGCACGATTTATACACAAAAACTACTTCATTAAGCTAAAGTTGTTTTGGTGACTATAGTGTCTCTTTAACCAATGTGCTCAATGTATAAAATCACAAATGCATGCATTGTCCTATAAGTGTGAATAATATGACACAAGTCCATTATATATTTTATAGTATCTTAGAAAAAAAATTGAATAGACAAACTAACAGATTAAAAGTAGCTATATTTTTTCAGTAAGAAATGAATTCAGCACATATTACATTTTACAAGTAAAATGTTAAATAATTGGTTTCTTATTTTTATTGAGGTGCCAGATTGGATAGTCTCAAATTTTCCCCTGTTTGTCCTGAAGACAATTTTAAAAGGGAACCATCACTTTGCATGATTGTTAATATTGTGTTTATTTAACAATTATATTTTACATATATGTGTTTGCCAGGTCTAAAAAACAAAATGAAATGTAGAATTCAAAACCGCTCTATCCTTAAACTGAGTGCTTTCACCTTATCTAATTGACATCGGTCATGATTAGCACTGACAGTAAATACTGGTACTACTACTTTTTATCTCCAATTTTAAGTAGTGAAATATTTTAAGCTCAGCTTATTTGTACATTTATATTTAGTCAGATATGTTTTATAAACAAAAAAATTAAAAAAATAGTTTTTAAAAAATCACTTAGATGCATTTTAGAGAAGGAATCCCAATAAAAGTTTAGTTGTGATCTATTGGACAGATTTTCTTTCTTTACGAATAACATCCCACTCAGCTTTTACAATAGCAGAGCATTCTCCTCAGGTAATATTTTTTTTTTAATATAAATAACTGTTGAAAACTGCCCCAGTTTGTAACTATTGCAATGCTGTGAAGACAGGCCATAATGCTAAGAACTGGGACATACTGTACGCCCATGAGGGATGAATTCTTGACCGTCATTATGTTTCACAGATACCACAGAAGAATGAAGAAAACCAAGGTGTAATTTCTAAATCTGTCTGTCCAGTCTCGGATGGCTGAGGGGACGTGTAATTGGTACAAGGCAGAGAGAACATCCGGATCTGAGACTGAGTTCAGTATAGCGTGGCGAATTGAGAGGACACTTAATAAGCGATCATCAGGGGTGGGGAACCTTCGGCCCTCCAGGTGTTTTGGACTACATCTCCATTGATGCTTTGCCAGCATTATGGCTGTAAGAGCATAATGCGAAATGTAGTCCAAAACATGTGGAGGGCCGAAGGTTCCGCACCCCTGCGATAAATGTATGAGCAAAGGAGGGACAGAGATTAGGGAAGGACATGCATTCTTTATACTGTGCAAAACAATAGGGGAAACATAACCTGAATAGTATGGATCTTGACTGTTGGAATTGCTCACGATCCTAAGTACAGTGCGTAGTGTCTTGTCCTGTGCACAACAGGAAAATCGGAAAACTCTAAAATAACTTGCAAATTTACAATCAGACCTAATAAAGGGTAAATATTTGTGATATGATTTACTATGGTTTTAGCCTTTGTGCTAGGCAAGACACATGCATTCGAAGTCAACCCAAAGGTGGTAAAAATGACACAAATCTTAAGATCCATGTGGCTTTACATTGAGAACCCCATCTGATAGCATCAGCATCTACGTCAGGCTAATCAGCAGTACCAGCCACAGCAAGGTCTGTTTATGGGGAAAATCTCACTGCTCACTTGTGGAGGAAGCCAGTGTTTTTCAGAGAACTTGTAAATGGCCCAAGAAAAATACTGAATGATAGGAATACTAAATACTCTGTAGATAACTACAGTGTTGTATGCAACTTTTTTTCTTTTTCTTTTTACATTTGCTTCACCGCCCTCCCCTCCTACCCCCGCGCTTAAATGAGCTGCCATGTCTGAATATTTCATGCTTATTTATTAAACCCAAACAGTAATACTAGTAAAACAAGGTATTCTACTGCCATCTGCTGGGAGACTGCAGTCATTTTCTGCCTCAATGTGTTTTCTTGTAATGGGAAATATAAAAAAATACTGAGCTGATCTGCATCATACACTGAATACATAACAATGACAAGCTGTATCTTTTGATGTTTCCAAGAGTGTAATTACACATAAATATGGAACATTTAAGTCATCGGGTGCTTGTAATATCGTTCCCTGTTTTCCATAAATTAAGATTCCCTGTGCTCCTGCACTAAACCATTCTATTTTGATTCTGAGAGACTTTAAATGCAAACATGAACTTATCTCAATCCCACAATGTATTTAACTCTAGAGAGTATTTTCATAAAGTAAAATCACATTGTGTGTGTATATATACAGTATCTAGTTACCAAATCCACCATGTTTTCAGGGACACATATCACATGTGCATATTGATGGGCAGCGCATGCAAAGGGTTTCCCTGTAGTATGTAGAATTCAGAGGAAGGTATATAACATTAAATAATTGGTCAATTAAGAATCACTGCGTTTTCATAAATGTGACACAATTATATGTGTCCTTGACAACATGTTGAATATGGTAACCATACGGTAACCCTATAAATATAAAGACATAAATATTATATCTACACACATACACAGTTATGACTGGAGGCTGGTCCATAGGGACAGATGGGAAACCCACTAGTTTGTGCTGCAAAAGATAGATAAATAAACCACAATGTATTGTTGTTGTAAAGACTAAGTGTGCGTTAAAGGACCACTATAGTGCCAGGAAAACATACTCGTTTTCCTGGCACTATAGTGCCCTGAGGGTGCCCCCACCCTCAGGGACCCCCTCCCGCCCGGCTCTGGAAGGGGGAAAGGGGTAAAAACTTACCTTTTTCCAGTGCTGGGCGGAGAGCTCTCCTCCTCCTCTCCTCCTCCGATCCTCCTCCTGGCTGAATGCGCACGCGCGGCAAGAGCTGCGCGCGCATTCAGCCCGTCGCATAGGAAAGCATTTACAATGCTTTCCTATGGACGCTGGCGTGCTCTCACTGTGAAAATCACAGTGAGAAGCACGCAAGCGCCTCTAGTGGCTGTCAATGAGACAGCCACTAGAGGATTAGGGGGAAGGCTTAACCCATTCATAATTATAGCAGTTTCTCTGAAACTGCTATAATTATGAAAAAATGGGTTAACCCTAGCTGGACCTGGCACCCAGACCACTTCATTAAGCTGAAGTGGTGTGGGTGCCTAGAGTGGTCCTTTAAACAATATTGCAATTTCCCACCCACTTCCCTTCTTTTATTGATGGCTACAGATCCCATGTTTATGTTTTGTTTATGGTATTGAGTAGGAAATTATATCTCGTTATATCAGGGGTTGAGCACATGTGGTTGTGGGGGTTGATCCCAGCAATATGTGGAGGTGGTGGGTGCATCACCAGCTACCACTGGTTCCTATGTATATTGAGAATATACATTATATGGAATAGAGTGCTTTGCAACATTTTAACAAAGTTATTTTTAATATAATTTATCAAGTATCAACATATTCAGCATATGCTGCATATGTGTTAGGATACAGACATATATACATATCGATACACAAAGAATAGAGAACTCCAGCATTAACTTCAAATCTGCTAGGGTAAGCGTAAAGACCAGTTACTGAAAAAAATGTATGGAAGAACAGTCCCAGGGATCACCTTCTTTTCTTGTAAATCTTTCTTACACATCCCAAATTCTATACAGAGCCTACTAAAGGCTAAGTATTTAAGCTGTGGAAGAGTACTAGCCTTTTACAGTAAGACAAATGAAAAGAAAAGGGAAAAAAAATAAAATCGGTTTGGTTGAGTCTGAATTTATACACTGCACATTATATCGAATTGATCAGGGCAGCACAAGATGAGTGTCTCAGCCTCCCTGATCAATATAGAATATGACCTAATAACCTTTCCGTGTTTCCAATGGCTTGATTCAAGAAATAGCAAAAAGCAGATGCAGGGATTTGATTCTACAGGCTAGTTCCTTGTGTTAGCCCATTGAGCTTTAGTTAGTACACCTCATAGTGACACAAAATCAATGACAGTGAATTCTGAATTGAGTGACGAAAAGTATTATTTGAGGATACCACATAAATAAAGCTGAGATACCTGTACAATCACTTTTACATAATGTCTTAGCTCCAGTAAAGCAATTCTAATATTAGCTTATCACTACTGCTAATAATAAAGTGAGAATTCAAAGTGAATTTAAAATTTAAGATAAAAATAACCAAATTGGAGCAATTATCTAATTCAGCTACAGTTTCAGTTGAGCTACTGTGACCTTATATTTAAAAATTCTATTTGAATTCACTTCGAATGCACACTTAAGTAAAAAAAAAAAACCCTGTATAACATACTCAGATGATTTGATTGAGTGATTCCATTAAAGTAGATATTTACATGTAGCCCTTCTGATGTTGCTAAACTACATCTCCTATGATTCTCTGATCTTTTATTGCATTGAAAGAATTTTGGAAGTTGGCCATCAACATATCGGAAGCCAGAGTTTGAGATCCCAGCATTACTGTCACGGCTTCCAACTCTCACACTGGCCAACTCTCACACCTGATCAGTGTGGTCACGCCGAAAGTATAAAAAAAATACTTACCTGGATTGTGGCAGTACAGTGCTCGATCCTCTTTTGTAGCAGTACCCAGTGTTCTAAGAGACGCCAACCACTGCGGTTCTGTTTAAATAATTACTTACCTCCATCCACAACCATGATGGCGCCAACGTGCGTGCAATGTCACGTTATCAACGAGCACGCATATTTTGGGGTCAGAGGTCACAATCTAGCTAATCAATGCTTAGAGAGGCACGTTTGAACTCTGAATAGCTTTTCATCAGTGCCCTGTCATGGTTTCAGTGACAAACTCCCCTTTTTTAGGGAGTTTGCCATGAGTTTTTGGAGGGGCCTGCTTGCCAGCCTCCTGCCCTGTGACTATGAGCCCTGCAAAAAGACATGCTAAAAAGTGACTTCCATGGGAAAATGTGACTCTTCTCCTCCCCCTTTTTCCTGTCCTATTGTTCTCCAGCAGGGCGTTGTCCCAGGGACACTGCCAGAAAAGTTGAAACTGGCTGCTTTGTCCTTTATCAATCTCTCATCAGCCCTTGCTAATGTCTGACCCCACCCTTCCTTGTAATATAGGGAACTTTAAACATTGGACATAGACCGGCTGCACAGCCTAAATCTGTGGATCTATTTTGGGCATGAAAGCCATGCTTGCAGTTGGTCAGAAGAGACAACTTTAACCACATGGCGATCCAACTGTATTCATTAGATCTGAGCGCTGTTCGGACATATTGAGCGCTCAGATCCAAGCTATCTGGGGACATGTTGGACACATGTGGTTTTTGTAACAGTTTTTGGACTTAGAGATATTTCCTGTACCTGGAGATAATTAAGTTACCACAGCCACTTAAGCCAATTATCTCCAGGAGAGAGGAGAAGATAGACCGGCCGCACAGCCTAAATCTGTGGAACTATTTTGGGCATGAAAGCCATGCTTGCGGTCGGTCAAATGTGACTTCCATAAAACTTTTGAACCCCTGCTCTGATCTGGGTGATTTTTGGATATGTTGTTCACCCAGATTAGGGTTATCAAGGGATGTAGGATTTATGGGGATATGTTTGTGTTTTGGGGTGTTTTTGGACTTTGGGTAAAAATTTATATTTTCTGCCTGTGGATAATTCGGTTACTCCATTAGCTAGCTTAATTATATCACAGGCAGAGGGGAGGGATTGCTGACTGTATGTGGGAGTGTTGCTGTACTAATTATTGTTCCTATTGGTCTGTGTCCTTTTTGTCCCAGTTTACCATCAGGTCCAGGGGGTGTGCCTCTGGCATGAAAATGTGTATATAAGAAAATGCCTTTGTGCTCATTAAACTAGTTCTACTTCACCCTCAATCTAGAGTCCCTGTCTCTTTTTGGGGGAATCTGCAACAAGGGATTGCTATGCTCTTCATACTCCCTTGAATAATCACTAAGCTCTTGTAAGAGCTTGTTCCTGTTCCTGCTTCACTCTCTGGGGAAAGAGAGGTTCACCCACTGGAACCTGGAGCCTTGTCGTAGGTCCAGGGTGGGTAGAAGATGGCGAGACCCCAACCAAGCTGTGGTGGTTCGTGGGGTCTCAGGTGGAGTGCTTGGAGCCCTCAGCAAGCGCTAGGAGCATCCTTTAACGGAGGTACCCAGTCGGGGTGCCAGGTGATCCTTTACAGTTTCCACTAGTTGGTTATCAAAGAGTGTGTTCTTTTTTTTGTTTTATTTTGGTATTTGACTTTGGCTTGTATTTTTGACCTTCTCTGTTCTGGTATTCCTGACCTTTGGCTAGTTTTCTCAATCTGTCTATTTCTGTGTCCCCGACCTTGGCTTGTATTTTGACTATTTTCTTTTACGTTAAGTCCGGAATTCTAAGGCCCAGTATATGTTGTCCTTGTTCTTATTCTGGGTTCATATATGTTACATAGTTCTGCGTGTTGGGTCATATAGTATTTGTGAAAATTACACAATATTTTGAAATGAGCAGAGTAGCAGTAATCTATATGATAGGCTTGAGTAGAGATTGTAGACATATTAGTCCAGTGATGCAGATGTAAAAAACAGGTACAATTTTATCTGCTTTTTACATCATGATAAGCTCGATTTAGTCAAAAAGAGCTATAATATTTTCTACCATCATTTTCCAATTTCACCCTAGAGCTATGGGTCTATAAAAACTAAAGAAGGGACCAAGTTAAGTTACGTATTTCTTTCACAAATAGAAACCAGAATTTTTATACAATTCTAATTTAGTTTTTTAAAAATATTTTTAGTCTCACACCTCCCCCGAAAGTAACCCTAATATGTACACCTCACCTGCTTTCCAAAAGCAATTAATAATGGATTACATAATTGACATGGAAATTGTATTGTGTCATCCTCAGATACACAGAAAAAGTTAAGAAAATTTAGCTGTAGTGGTTTTGGTGACTATCGTGTCCCTTTAAAAATTGTATGTTTGTTGTTTATGATAAAGCTTTCTTAGTGAAAAAAAACCTGGCTTCTAGATTCCAAGCATATTTATGAAGCCCTCTGCTAAAGGGACACTCCAGACCCCTAAACAACTTTAGCTTGCTAGAAAGCTTTATATGTGAAGAGGGTGTCCTCTTTTTTTAATTTGCAAAAAGTGCAGATTTCAATAGATAGTGACACTTTTATAATTTAGCCCATTAACCCCTTAAGACCGCAGGGCGTTCTATGCCGTCCCTATTTTAATGGCTCTAAACGCTGCAGGGTGGCATAGAACGCCCTGCGATCTTATGTACTTACTCGGTCGCCGGCGATCCCACGCCGGCAATTGCGGTATGGGGACTTACCTGGGAGCCCAGGGAGTCCCCCTCCGTCCTCTTCGGCCCCCCTGGGCCATGTGATCACGAGGTCCTTGCGAGGACCTCACGATCACATGGACGGCATAGCAGTCCAAGACATTGCCAGCAGGGGGAGTGCCTGCTGTCTGAAAATAAAATTAAAAGATGTTAAAACAGTGTAAAAATAAATAATATATACTTAGATCATATATATATTTATTATATATATGATCTAAGTATATATACACACATACACATATATACACATACACTGTCTAAGTGTATTTTAATATTAATATATACATAATTATATATATATATATTAATATCAAAATACACGTACAATGATATTGATTAAATATATATATCATTTTCATTATATATAAATTTATATATAATAAAAAATAAATAAATATGTAAATATGTTAAAAACTAAAATAAAAAATAAATAATATATATACGTGTAATTACGTTCTAACTGTATTTTAAAATTAATATATATATATTGATATCAAAATACATGTAGAACGAAATAAGTATATACGTATATATCACTATATATAAATAAAATTATTTAAAAAAATTATATACATATATATATATATACACATATATATACACACGTACATATATAATAATTCTATGTATATATTTATGTAATAATTTTACATAATTAGGTAATTTTATTAATTACAATTTGCAGGACCTGCCTGACAACCCAGGCCGAAAGTTCAGGGAATTTAATTTGCTAGCACTATATTTAACCCTGTAACTTTCCAAGACACCATAAAACCTGTCCATGGGGGGTACTGTTTTACTCGGAAGACTTCGCTGAACACAAATATTAGTGTTTCAAAACAGTAAAATATATTACAATGACGATATCGTCAGAACAGTGACATTTTTTGAATTTTTCACACACAAATGGCACTTACACTGACGATATAATTGTTGTGATACGTTTTACTGTTTTGAAACACTAGTATTTGTGTTCAGCGAAGTCTCCCGAGTATAACAGTACCCCTCATGTACAGGTTTTATAACCAATTGGCTGACACATGTAACTGCAGCCATTAACCCCCTACAGATCGCGGTGGGGGGCATGCCTGTACCACCCAGGCACTCCCCCTGTGGCCAATTATCGCAATCTGTAGGAAGTGATCACAGTGACAGCCAGTCACTGTGATCACTGTTAGTATGTGTCAGCCAATGATCTCAAATCACTGGCTGACACATTGTCTCTGCCCCTCTCCTCACCTCACTTCGATCTGAGAGAGAGAGGCAGAGAGATCGTTGTTGAGCTGATCCTGTGAAGAAAAAAGTTTTAATACTTTATAAAAGTTTTTAAAAAAATTATTTTATTTAACCCTTTCAGTGCTGATCACAGCATATTACTGTCATCAGCCTGATTAGGGCATTCAGTACTTTTGTACTATATTTATTTGTTTGGGTAAAAAAAAATTATTTCTAATTTTGTTTTGACCCTTTGTGTCAGTCGCAGCAACCCAAATCTCCCTTAACCCTTTCCCCACTGCCGTGATCACTATACTGTACAGTATATCTGCATCAGTGATCACTGTGATCTGAGGGCTCTCTGATCAGACTGACCTTTTTTAAGGTTATTTTTACAGATCAAAAAATTACCCCTTTCAGATTTACATTTTTTTGGGGTCAAAAAAATTATTTCCAAGTTTTTGTTTACCCTTTGTGTCAGTCGTAGCAACCCAAAACTCCCTTAACCCTCTCCCAACTGCCGTGATCACTATACTGTACAGTATATCTGCTGTACAGTACTGTATCAGTGATCACTGTGATCAGAGGGCTCTCTGATTAGACTGACCTTTTTTTAGGGTTATTTTTATAGATCTAAAAATAACCCTTTCAGTGTACTGGTTGCAGCTGCCTGCAGTACATTTATATTATTTTTTGAGGGCGGGTAGTAGGTGTTAGGCAGGTAGATAATTAATTACCCCCTTAGTATATAAATTAATTAATTTGTCCCCCTAGAATGGCACGTCGCTACTCAGCCAAGGAGGCGTGTGCCATTCTGGCAGGAAGTGATAGTGACACTCTGCAAGATAGTGATGGTGCCCCACCACCACTCACAAGAGGACGCTCAGCAAGCCCAATGCTAGACGGAGACTGGGTGCCTCCAAACACGATGGCCCCAGAAATACCGCCGTTCACTGTTACATCTGGCATCACTGTAACAGTGGACGAATGCGAGCCAATTCGTTTTTTGGAGCTCTTTATGTCAGACAATATATATTTGAGCTCATGGCTCAGCAAACAAATTTGTATCTCTCTGCACATCCGGGGTCCCATCATCGTCGCAGGAATATGTGGAGACCCACGGATGTCGCAGAGATGAAGCGGTTTTGGGCTTTAACCCTAATGATGGGTATAGTTAAAAAGCCCAGTATCAGGTCCTACTGGAGCAAGCAATGCATCCTGGCTACCCCTCTTTTCCAGGGCCGGATTAACATAGGGGCTGATGGAGCTGCAGCTCCAGGCCCAGGCCCAGGCCCATGGAATAGGCCCATTGTAAAAAAAAAAAAAAAAATGTTTTTTACTTTTTTTTTTTTTTTTTTACAGACTACTCTTAGGTTTACCACCTGACTGGTATTTTAAGGCACAGCTGGTATTGGAGGCTGCATGGCCGTGTATTTTCCTCCGTATAAACGGAGATTACTCTGCAATACCAGCACCGGCCAGTAGGTGTCACTGTGTAAGGAGAGAGGCAGGGATAGGAAGTTACAGCATCTCCCTGCCTCTCTCTACTCACTGATCCGCGGGGGAGCAGCTACACAACACAGAGAATCCAGACAACAGCTTCCAGCCTGCAGAGACAGACTACAGCTCAGGTATGTGAAGGATGGGGGGAAAGGCAGCAGGGAGATACTAGGGGACACTGAGACACTAGGGGACACTGGGAGACATGGGGACACTGAGACACATGGGGACACAGACACATGGTGACGCTGTGAGACATAGGGAGACACATTGGGACACGGAGACACTAGGGACACAGTGTCCCCATGTCTCCCAGCCAGTGTTCCTAGTGTCTCAGTGTCCCCATGACTCCGGGTGTCCCCTGGTGTCCAAGTATCTGTGTCACCATGTCTCTGTATCCCCATGTCTCTCAGTGTCCCCATGTCTCCCAGTGTCCCCATGGCTCCCAGCCAGTGTCTCAGTGTCCCCATGTATTCCAGTGTCCCTATGTCTCCCAGCCAGTGTCCTTAGTGTCTCAGTGTCCCCATGTCTCCCAGTGTCTGTGTCCCCATGTCTCTGTGTCCTTAGTGTCTCCATGTCTCCCAGTGTCCCCAAATGTCTCAGTGTCCCCATGTCTCCCAGTGTCCCCATGTATATGTCCACAAGTGCCCCATGTCTCCCAGTGTCCCAGCTAGTGTCTGTGTCCCCATGCCTCCCAGCCAGTGTCCCTAGTGTCTGTGTCCCTATGTCTCTCAGTGTCCCTAGTGTCTTAGATTCCCCAAATGTCTATCACCATGGCTCCCAGTATCCCCTAGTCTCCCAGTATCTGTGTCCCCATGTCTCTGTGTCCCCATGTCTCTCAATGTCCCCATGTCTCCCAGTGTCCCCATGACTCCCAGCCAGTGTCCCTATGTTTCCCAGCCATTGTCCCTAGTGTCTCAGTGTCCCATGTCTCCCAGTGTCTGTGTCCCCATGTCTCTATGTCCTTAGTGTCCCCATGTCTCCCAGTGTCCCCAAATGTCTCAGTGTCCCCATGCCTCCCAGTGTCCCCATGTCTATGTCCACAAGTGCCCCATGTCTCCCAGTGTCCCCAAGTGTCTGTGTCCCCAAGTGTCTGTGTCCCCATGCCTCCCAGCCAGTGTCCCTAGTATCTATGTCCCCATGTCTCTTAGTGTCCCCATGATTCCCAGCTAGTGTCTCAGAGTCCCCATGTCTCCCAGTGTCCCTATGTCTCCCAGCCAGTGTCCCTAGTGTCTCAGTGTCCCCATGTCTCCCAGTGTCTGTGTCCTCATGTCTCTGTGTCCTTTGTGTCCCATGTCTCCCAGTCTCCCCAAGTGTCTGTGTCCCCATGCCTCCCAGCCAGTGTCCCTAGTGTCTGTCTCCTAGTGTCTGTGTCCCCATGTCTGTGTCCCTAGTGTCTGTCTCCTCATTTCTCCCAGTGTCCCCAAATGTATGTGTCCTCATGTCTCCCAGTGTCCCCATGTCTGTATTCACAAGTGCCCCCACGTCTCCGAGTGCCCCCACGTCTCCCAGTGTCCCCGGATCTCTCAGTGTCCCCATGTCTCTCAGTGTCCCCTAGTTTCCTAGTGACACAGGACACACTGAGACATGGGGACACTGGGAGAAATGGGGACACAGACACTGGGAGACTAGGGGACTGGGCGACATGGGGACATTGACACTGTGATACATAGGGACACTGATGCAAGGCTGGCCTTCCAATTCTTTGGACAGACATGCCCCCTTTTTGGGCATGTTCGGCCCTTTTGGCAGTTCTGGTCACATGATTTGCATCAGTGGCACACCCTTTTACCCCGCCCATGGACACTGCTGTTATGGGGTATGGATTTACTTGAAAGATGAAAGCATTAATTAGATAAAGAGATTAGCATAGAGTATGTGTTTTCTTATAGCTGCATCCTTTGAGTTTCCCTCCAACACCAACTCCATCAGATACATGACTCTTTAGAGGTATGACTGTTTTAGTGTTTTTGGTCGATAAAATTCTGTAATTAGGTCCCATCATAATTGTCAGAACCAGGCCCACTAGGCTCTTAATCTGGCCCTGCTCTTTTCCCTGAGGTTATGTTGAGGGATTGCTACCTGCAACTGCTGCGATTCCTTCATTTTAATGATAACTCACTGTTTCTCCCTAGAAATGACCCACTGTTTGACAGGCTCTATAAAATTCGGCCCTTTATCCAACTCCTGTCAGACAAAATTTCTGAAAATTATGTCCCTGATAAAGATATTTCAATTGACGAGTCCCTTATAAAATTTAAAGGTCGACTGCTATTTAAGGAATATATTCCATCTAAGCGGTCCCGATATGGCGTTAAATTTTATAAATTATGCGAATCCTGTACTGGTTACACATGGGCGTTTCGCATTTACCAGGGGAAGGATAGCCATCTTGACCCACCAGGATGCCCTGATTCTGTGGGTACAAATGGCAAGATTGTTTGGGATCTAATCCTTCCCTTGTTGAATAAGGGATATAGGCTACGGGTTGACAATTATTATACCAGTATAAAATTATTTTAAAATGTATATTGCTTTGAAACCCTAGCCTGTGGCACAGTGAGGAAGAATCGAAGGGTTTTCCTCCAAGCCCTGGCAAGAGGCAGAAGCAGGTTCCTCTTCAGCTCTCCGCCAGGATGAGTTGCTTGCTCTTTGCTTCAGAGATAGGAAAGATGTATACATGCTGTCTACGATGCACGACGAAAGTACAGTGCCAATGTCTGTGATAGGTAGCACTGAGCATCTGGAAAAGCCAAAGTGCATTGTAGACTACAGCAAGTTTATAGGGGGTAGACTTGTCTGACCAATGCATACAGCCCTATCTGGTGAACCGAAAAACTAGGACCTGGTACAAGAAAATTGCAATCTACGTGAGCCAGATTGCAATTTTCAATGCCTATGTCCTCTATACAAAAGAGGTCATAGGTAGGCCCTGCCCTTTCCTCAAATTCACATTAAACCTTTTGTCCCGTATGTTATTTACCCAGCCCCCCAATCCCACTTTGGAATCAGGAGATCTCCAAAGACTTTGTGGCAAACACTTCCCTTCCCGAATCCCACCCACCCCTAGTAAAAAATCTCCCCAAAGAAAGTGCCGTGTTTGCTACAAGAAAGGAGTCCGAAAGGACTCCAGTTATTATTGCCCAACCTGCCCATCTCTACCCGCCCTCTGCATAACAGACTGTTTCAAAGTCTACCATACAGAGCTGAACTTCTGAATCACTCTGTATGGGACTTTGGCATGGAAACATGGTACATGCTGGTACTGTTATATTCAAAAGACAGTGTTAAATCAAAATACCAAGTCTCTATTGCACTAATATCAGGATTATGACATTCCCAGTGAAAATGCAATTTATCTGATTAAAAAGACAAAAATAAAAGTAGAAATCGCTACATGGGCCCAGCATTTCTGTTAAAATGGTAGACCAAACATCTCAAATTATGCCATTTGTTATACTCTGGGTTTCCTACTTTTGAAAATGGTATGCCATAACGGTGGAAATGCCATACTGTCTGAAAAGTCACATAGGCCCAGAAAATCACTTTGTCAAATCTCAAACTTTGAAAAGGACATCTAATATTTTTGTCCCCGTGACTTCCCCCCAAAAACAGAAAATCTAGTACATGGGGGTACTGTTACATTCAGGAGACAATGTAAAATGCAAATAGTGAGGCTTTGTTGCAATAACCCATATCAGGAATATGAAATGTCCTGTGAAAAGTGAGTTCATGTGTATAAAAAGCACAAATAAAGCTATAACCGCTATGTGGGCAGGGCCGGTGCAAGGATTTTTGCAGCCCTAGGCAAAAGTAAAGTTTGCCGCCCCCCCCCCCATGTGACATCACAATGCTCCACCCATATGATCTGCCATGTTAACTAACGCCAGTGCTGCAGTGCCGCCGTGTTTACATTATAAGGCATGCAGGGACAGGCTATAGACACCAGAACAACTACATTAAGCTGCAGTGGTTCTGGGGACTATAGTGTTTCTTTAATGTGAGGTAAATTAGAGATTAGTGCCACGAATAATATACTAGATTGCCTACTTACAACGAGATGAGGCTACTACAAAAGACTGAGCATACCCCATTTTGAATACCCTGGGATGTCTACTTTTTCAAATGGTATGCTATGATGGGGGTCTTTTTTTAGTAGCCACTTATTAAAAAACCTGTTAGCGTTTACATCTGTTTTTTTTGCATTTTTTACTAATAAACTGCCCTTTTACCAACGATATCAGTATTATACATTTTACTGCTCTAAAACACTCATATTTGTGTAGAGTAATGTCTCAATAGTACAACAGTACCCCTCATGCACATGTTTTATGGTGTTTTGGAAAGTTACAGGGTCAAATATCAGATTTGCCAATTTCTGTTTGTGCAAATTGAAATTTGCCAGATTGGCTATGATGCCTTTGAGACGGGATGGTAGCATAGGAATGTGAATTAACCCCACCATGACATACCATTTGAAAAAGTAGCCAACACAGGGTATTCAAAAGGGGGTCCAGTGTTTTTTAGCAGCCACTTAGTCACAAACGCTACCCAAAGTTAGAATTCATGTTTGTTTTTTTGCAGTTTTTACACAAAAACTGCACTTTTACTGGTGATATCGTTGTGATAAGTTTAACTGCTTTATTACACAAATATTTGTGTTCACCGAAGTCTCCCAAGTACAATAATACCCCCCATAGCAAGGTTTTATGGTGTTTTGGAAAGTGACAGGGATAAACATATGACTTGCAAATTAAATTCTTTGGACTTGCTACCTGGGTTGTCAGGCTGGTCCCTCAAATTATAATTAATAAAATGACTTAATTATGTTAAAATATTACATAAATATACATGTAGAATTTAAAAATATATACATATATATGTATTTAAATCCTATGTGTATATTTATGTAAATAAGTGTTCTTGCATGGCAAGACCACTTACTATTATCTCACATATAAATTATTATTCTTATTATAGCCAAATTTACCACCCTAACTCCTCCCACAGTTTTTACACTACATAGACAGTAACATATTGAAATGTGTGGATTGTTCCCGATCGGTGTGCTATAACTTTGTGTAACGTTTCGTCGAATGGTTCACGAAATATCGCTGTTTTTTAAAATTAGAGTTGGAGCTGACAAAAGTTAGAGTGTGAGCTGAAAAATCAGGATATGATTTCTAAACTGCTACCACTCCCTCATTTTCAAGCCCACCTACACAAATCTTATATCAAAACGTTCAGCTATCCCTGCTGCCATAAAAAATTGTCCACGGCTAAGCCATAGTCCAGATAGTTTTCACAATTTGACCATTTGTTTGCAACTCACGCCGTCCATTAACATTCATTTAAACTCCACTCTAGCCACCTTAAATTTGAAGGGCAATTTCTAAACTGTGACTGTGCCTTCATTTTCAGAGACATACTATGCAAAATGTAGGTCTGGGCAGGGGCGTACCTAGAGCATTTGGCACCCGGGGCGGATCTTGTGCTTGGCACCCCCCCCCCCCCAAAAAAAATGTAAAAATGTTAAAGGTTTTCTTTCTTTTTTTTTACAATTTGTAAACTTTGCAAAACCGCTGTCAGCCCCTCCTACAAAACCCTTGTCCTGCCCCGCCCCTCCTACAAAACCTCTGTCCTGCCCCTTCTACAAATCCTGTACTGCCCCGTCTACAAAACCCCCGCAACCCCCTTCCACAAATCCCCTGCTTATCCCCCCTTATAAAGACTCCTGTCCCAATACAAAACCCCCGCCCCCTTCTACAAAATCCCTGCAGCCCCACACACACATTTACAGGCAGACAGTCACACACTCAGTTACAGACAGACAGTCACACACTCAGTTACAGGCAGACAGTCACACACAGTCACAGGCAGACAGTCACACATACACATTTCCTCCATGCGGCCAGTTTATCAGCTGTTTGCTTGTGTGAGCTGTACTGGCCGCACGGCACCCTAACTACCATGGGACACTGTGCGGCCACAGCTCACACAGCCCCCTCCAGCCAGGGCCGGTGCAAGGATTTTTGCCGCCCTAGGCAAAAGTAAAGTTTCCGCCCCCCCCCCCACGTGACATCACAATGCCCCACCCATATGATTTGCCATGTTAACTAACGCCAGTGCTGCAGTGCCACCGTGTTTACATTAAAAGGCCTGCAGGGACAGGCTATAGACACCAGAATATATATATATATATTTTTTTTATTTTTTTTTCTTACTGGTTGCTCTAATAACTTTTTTTTTTTTTTTTACTATTTCACCAGCAGGAGGACTGCCTGTCAGTTTAGTTTTGTAGGGCCTTAATTGCCTGGGTTCGCGGTGGAGGTGAGTACCTCCTTGTTCCTGGGGCTGAAAGCTGTTGTGGCGTTCTATGCCGCCGTAACGGCTTTAAAGCCCATTATAATATGGACGGCATAGAACGCCCTAGTCTGGGCTGGGGTTAGAAGGGGAGGATTTGCAAAGGCAGCAGACAAGAAAACTGCATAATAAAATGCATGAATGTTTTTATTTGGGGTATATATACTAAACAGTGATTTTTTTAATTTTGTGTTTGGGTAGTGGAGTGTCCCTTTAAATAAGCTAACAGTAATTAAAATTAGACAGTCTTAGAAAAAAAAAAATTTTTCAGTTGCATTGCAATCTAACAATAACAGTCACCGAGTGCAGAGTTATAATGTGACTGCTTTTCTACTGTTCTTGTGATTGTTGTAAGCAAGTGTTGTGAGTCATTTCAGGGATGGGAGTTTGGTACAAGATTAAGCTAAACGGACAGTTAGTCTTCGCTTTACTAAGCACAACCGCAATAACAGCAGTCTTCAGTTTACCGAACACTTCAATTATACGAATTTTGATTATTCAAATGCCTTCGACATTTTTTTAAATCTGAATATCGCGACATGACTGTATCTAAAGTAAATTCTACAAAAATGAATTACAAAAATGTTAACGAGGAACGTTACACCTCCCAGCAACACCTTTGCACCTCACCAGGGGAGGCACACCTCACAGGTTAAGAACCCTTGGTCTAGTTCAGTGTTTCCCAACCCAGTCCTCAAGGCACACCTACTAGTCCAGGATTTAGGGATTACCCAGTTGTGTCTAAGGTGTTTTTACAAAGAAGAAAAAAAACACCTTAGACACAACTGGGTAATCCCTAAATCCTGGACTGGTAGGTGTGCCTTGAGGACTGGGTTGGGAAACACTGGTCTAGTTGACTTGCTCTTTTCCCCATTACTCATTGTTTATATTAGTTTGAGTGCAGATGATGTTACCTGGACAATCCTTTTTTGTCCTTTGGTTTGCATTACAAAACCAGCCCAGTCTTGAAATTGTAGAAGGAATTGAAATGTATTTATAATTATATTTGCCAACATTTAAATGAAAAATTATTTAGATTTAGTGAAAACATTTAGTGAAAAAAGAAAGATTTATCAAAACATCACTGACACTTGTATGTCTAATTTTCTGTGAATATTTGACATAATCTACTAAATATGCCAGTTTTCTTTCATCGGTTGCTTTTCTTGAACCGTGAAATTTTTAAATATATGCCTTCTTTTTAGGGACACAGTAGATTTATCAATTTTGCTGATTCATAAAAAACATGGGTGTATTCACATATTGACACACAGATACACTCAATGAGATGAACACAATCTTACAGACACACATTTATAGTTAAGCTTCTGTTTCTATACCTTTTTGATGCAGAAGGGTGACTTCCTTTGGCTCCAGTGGGACAAGGCAGCAGCAGATAAGAGGAGGCTGGGGCTCGCTGCAGCTGATGGGAGTGGGCTGCCACTTGTCTATTTTTGTGTGCAAATGCAGAGTTCCTATGTTTGTGGAACATTGGGATGTATTTGGGTGGAGTGTGTCTACATTGTATATGAAAGGCAAGTCTGTTGCAGGTTTGTCTTTGTAGGGTGTGTCACTGATTGTATGAATGCCTGGTGGTGTATTTATATAGAGGTTACTGATAATTTTATCCCACTTTATTTCTCCACATCCCCCTCCAATTTAATCTCCCCACCCAACTGTCTCTCTATTCCACATACACACACGTGTCTCACTACCTCTATCCAACACTATTATCTATAATCTATGCAATATGATTCTCTATGCAATATAATACTCCAGCCATTGCCTATGTGTGTGCCAAGATAAAATGGAAAAAAAATTGGTGCATCTTTAATTCTGTGATAGGTTTTTGTTATGCATGACCACTCCCTACTTACTGGTCGATATCTGGAGAAGCTTTCTTGTAAAAAAAAAAAAAAGGGGGGGGACATATTTCAAATTTGTCCTGTTTCTGCAGGTTTTGCACATGCCTAATCTTCTTTAAGCAGGAATTTCTTGGACCTCCTATTAAGTTGCCATTTGAGCAGCAGATCCAGCTGCCCTTTGCCCTCTCTATCCATGGGCCAGGGGATGGAGTCAAGCTGCCCTCAGGAGAAAGCGGCAAGAAGCCATCTTGGAAGTAGCGCACAAAGAGCATGGCTCCTTGCCATGCCAAATTTATTTTTCTCTCCCCCAACAGCCTCAGCAAATACTCAAGGTCTTATAAAGTAATATAATGTACTAAAATACATAATACATATTTAAAGCCAGAAAATCCAGAGAGGACAAGGGCCATTTCTGCCAGCACTGACGCTAATAGTTCCTACTGAACTTTACATAGTGTAGGCTCAGTTCCAAAGTGCCCACTATCTTCTGTAAGGTGCTCAATCATTCTGTAGCTGAGATACTCATGAGATACTCTTATAAAGTTCTGAAGCACCACACTGCAGGATGGGGGCTGTAACTCTAAGGGTTGAGTTGATTCTGATTTCAATCTTTTTCAATGTGTAATGATTGTTGCTTCTGTTAGCCATGTTAGCACCTTGTGCTGCTGAGGGTTATTTAACTATTTGCTCGCTAGTTTGCGCTAGTTTTTCAAATGATACATTTATGATAGTGAACAATAATTTGAGAACCGGTAAGCTGCAGGATGCGTTCGGCTTATTATCAGCCACTATGCGGTTGTTAACAAATCTGCAATTCCGGTGCTGTATATTGGTTTGGCTGCTGAATTTAGTGATTTTCTGAATGCATCAGAACAAATGTTGCAGAACCTTTTGGACTGACCGAACGCTAACTGCATTGGCTTTAGTAAATCTGCGATTTCCCAATGTGATCAGATCTTTGTTTTTTCTCCATTCAAACCAAACCCTGTGTTTAGTGAATAATCCTGTATGTTTCTATATCTCCTTGTCGTTTGCAATGCGTGCCCTGGTGGTAATTGTATTGAACTGGATTGTGAAGTCATTTTTTTATAGCTTTAATATACCTCTCCCCTTTAATGACCAAGAGCTTAGATGCAAATACAATTCTCCAGTCCTTTTTTTAATAATCTTTGAAGAAAAAAAGCAATTTATGGAGTTGAATAAGTGAGATACTGTTTATTGTACTATAAATCTTCCAACACGTCTAGACATAACTATTTTAGAAGGACAGATATCAATATCACAACAGATTATTGGTTTGATAGCATTGAAAACATCAAATTCTCTAATGCACTGCTCATAGGTATTTCTAAAGAATCTACATGCATGTTTGGATATGTTGATTCCAATGTTACATATAGCTTTTGAGAGAAACTACGTCACAGTTTTTCACATTCAAATACAGTTGGATATTATCACTCTACTCCTCTCGGATACTGTCACAATAAGTCTGCGCCCACCAACCATTTGTTTAGAGATGACTTCTTGCTGATTTATATCCTGCCTGTTCAGGCAGTCTAGCACAAGCATGTCAAACTTGCGGCCCCCGGGCCTCATGCAGCCCAAAATGGATATATTTGTGCCCCCCCTGCCCTGCCAAGACAGGAAAGCTATTTCCTGTCTGATTCTTGTCTTCCCTCCGATGGCTGATCGTGTACTCCCGCAGGCAAGCCACTCCTCCTTCCCTCCTGCTCGCAGTGCCAGAGGAGCGTCTGGCCTGCTTGAGCAGAGAAAAGCAGGACTCATCTTAAGGTAGGGGAAGAGGGGTTTGGGGGACCTTCCTGTGTAATGTACTAAATTGGGAGGGGGGGCAGTGTATTAATTTGAGGGAGGAAGGGGGCAGTGTATTAAATTGGGAGAAGGATTGGGCAGTGTATTAATTTTAGGGAGAGGGTACTGTATTCATTTGGATGAGGGAGGGGACCAATGTATTAAATTGGGGAGAGGTGGTAGTGTATTAATTTGGGGGAGGGGCAGTGTATAATATTGGAGGTGGGAGTGGGGCAGTGTATTAAAGTGGTGGGTGGTGGCAGTTTATTAGTGTGATGGGAGGAGGGGCAGTGTGTTAAATTGGGGGAGGGCAGTGTATTCAATTAGAGTGGAGGGAGGAGGGGCAGTGTATTAGATTAAGGGGCAGTGTATTAGAATTGGTGGAGGGGGCAGTGTATTAGATTGGGTCTGCATGGAGGCGCTGAATGCTTCTCATGGAGATGCTGACTGACCATGCAGCTTTTTAACACACATGCACAATAGCCTCCCAATGCTTTCCTACAGGAGAGATCATCAAGTTCAAGTTTGATGATCTCGGCCAAAGTGAAGAACACACTCATAGGACTTCAAAATCAGCAAGGTAACGTAATTAGTTTTTTACAGCTGTGCAACAGCATACATTCACCATTTCAGTCCCGTTACCAAACTTTTCTTAATATGTCAAGGTAGTTGGACTGAAACATTGGTTATATGCAAATGCACGTCTCCTTAAAATAAATTCGCTCTTTTGTTTACTTTGAAGCCCTATGTGCGTGAGGATGTCCATTGTCAGTTAGGCAACTTTTTTTAAACACTATTTTCCTAAATAAACCCATGTTTCTATGAAAAAGGTATTAATAAAAACTGTAAAATATCATTATTTTGCAACAGGATTGGTGAGAAATATAAGCAAAATGTATTACACTGCAAACAAAACAAAGTTGTCAGTGAGATACAAGTGGTGAATGATGGTGCACTCCTATTTGAATATAGCAACAGGTGACAACATGTAGTCCATTAAAGGCACAATATAGGCGCCCTGACCACTTCAGCTTATTGAAGTGGTCTGGTGCAGTAACTCTGTCAACTTAACCCTGCAATGTAATTATTGCAGTTTCGAGAATAATTATATTGCATGGTTAAGACTGAATCTAGTGGCTGTCAATTAGGCAAAAGTTGCCTTACTAACGATTGCATGAAGACATCCAGCATCAGTTAAATCCCCAAAGGAAAGCATTGCAGCAATGAGCAGAGGAAAGTATAGTACTAGGAATACAGATTAGTTTCCCTCTAAGCATCCTGATTCACTCCCTCAGTAAAAATTACATTACAGTCGCTTTCCAATAATTCTTTGGGCTTGTTAGCATAAGGTGGATGTCATCTGCATATATTGATATGTGGTGGTCAGTCGGACCTCATGTAATATCTGAAAAATGTGGGTGAGTTTGAATCAGAGGCTCCAAGGCCAAAAGTGGAGGGAGTGGGCAGCCTTTTATTGTACCATTAGCAATCCTAAATGGGGAGGACGTAAACCTGGCGTTAAACACAGAAACAAGAGAGCAGTTGTACAATGCCATTATTGCATTAACAAAAGGGGCAGGAAAACCATATTTAATTAGAACTTGTTGCGTATACTGCCTCTAATCTGCCAAAGGCCTTTTCCACATTATGTGCCTGAAAAAGGCACTGTTCATTTATCTTTTCAATATGTAGTAGTATATGCAGTACTCGTCTCGTAATAGAGCCTTGGCGATTTTTGACAAAGTTCGACTGCTCAAAGTGTATAAGTAAAGGTAAAAGGAGGGCCAGTGTGTTTGCAACAGCATTAATTTTGTTGACTAACAATTTTAGTCAGATTTTAGTCAGCTTAACTTTTTAAGATTCTGTCGACTAAAACTACACTAAAACTAAAGGAATTCAGATGACTAAAATACGACTAAAATGTATTTTTAGTCAAAAGAAAAGGGCTAAAACTAAATTAAAATTTGATGCCAAAATTAACACTAGTTTGCAAGTAGCTTAGCATAAATGTATTATCACTATTTAAATGTAAAAATAGGTCTGAAATTCTGACAGTAATTGTGTGCCTTTCCAGGATTTTAGCAGAGTTTCAATATGTAAAAACAGATTCTCTGAAGGAAGGGAACCTCAGCTAAAGCTAATGTTAAATAAAGAGCCAAAGTATGTTTAAAAGTTTGGTAGTAAATAATATGGAAGCCATCTGGACCCAGGCATTTTTGAGAAAGTGACTATTTCTAAAATTTTTGTATGTAAAAAATCTGGGTCAGCTACTCATGATAAGAAGTTAATAAAGTTGGTAGACTAAGCTATCTCTGTCAGAGTGAGAACATATGTGTCTATATAATTTTTATAATTATATAGTTTAGTATAGTGTATGTTTTTGTATAGTTTCTCATAGTATTTAGGAAAGGCTGCTACAATGAGCTTGGGGTTCATGATTTTATCTCCCTTGTTGGAGTAAAAGTAATCTTATTTTGTGTGAGCTTCTTCTTGAATTGGGACACAAGCAGTGTTTTGTTCTCTTTTTAGCAAGTTGACTGGCATGCTTACGAATGTGGGAACAGACAGGAAGCCAAATCCACTCTCGCAGCTCCCGCGATTGGACAGATCGCCATCAGAACAGCCAATTAGTCTGACTTTCTCCACTATAAATTTATGCTGCGCTCTACAGCTTAGCTCTTTCCGCTGCAAAAGTAAATTACTTCAATACCCTCATAACCACACACTCCTGTGAACCCAAACGACTATTTCACACATTTAACTCTCTTCTTCGCCCTATTGTTCCAACTACTAACTTGACCACCTCAGACTTTGCAACTCACTTCACTGACAGGTTCTCTACAATCAGGGAAGCGATCTCTCATACTTCTCTCCCTTACAATACCTCCCCTAACCTCACTCCCTCTGCTGTTCTATGTTCATTCGCACCCGCTACATCGGAAGAGGTTTCTGCTCTGCTCCAGTCCTCCCGTCCCACCAACTGCTCCCTAGATCCAATTCCCTCACATCTCATCCGTACTCTGTATTCTTTTTTTCTACCTCTCACTAAAATTCTCCATCTCTCTCTCTCTCTCTCCTCTGGCATATTTCCATCGGACTTCAAACATGCATCGGACTTATAACCCCAATTCTAAAGAAGCCCAACCTTGACCCTAACTCCCCATCCAACTTCTGTCCCATCTCGCTTCTGCCTTTTGCATCCAAGATCCTTGAAACAGTTGTGTATAAGAGACTGACAGACTTCGAGTTCAACTCTCTGCTAGACCTGCTTCAGTCTGGTTTCCGCGCTAAGCACTCTGTGGAAACGGAACTGACCAAAGTATCCAATGATCTAGTCGCTGCAAAATCTCGTGGTCACTTCTCTATCGCCCAGTCTCCACTCCTTCAAAAAGTCATTAAAAACCCACTTCTTCTTAAAAGCGTATCAATTAAAATGTTAATAGCTCCCGACTGATTCCTCTCTTGCAACTGTCATTAGTCGAATACTATCCTTACCTTTTGTGTCACTTTACCCCACTCCCTCTAGCATGTAAGCTCATTGAGCAGAGCCCTCAACCCCTCTGTTCCTGTGTGTCCAACTTGTCTGGTTACAACTACATGCTTGTTCGTCCACCCATTGTAAATCGCTGCAGAATTTGTTGGTGCTATATATATATAACAACATAATAATAATTAGAATGAAGACCGGTGATTTACATAGAACACCATATTAGGGGCAGCTTATACCGACTGATAAAGAAACCAGTTGGCAAAATGCGTCTCTGAAGTCGTAAGGAGTGCCAAAAGAATTATTAATTTTACCATTTGTTTTAACGTTATATGTCTTAATAAATGTACATACCAACAAATCACGCTGCTGATTCCAAGCCATCGTCTGCTTCTACATCAAAGAAGGCCTACATTCCCCTCTATTGGTACATAAGCCTTATCACCTAGAAACAGGTCTTAAAGGCTCTTCAGAAGGTGAGCGGTCATTTGTTTGATTGTATCATATTCATATTTTTTTTATTACACTAGAATTGCTTCTGTTTTTATTTCTTCCTTGAGTGTACCTGATTGGAAGACATACAAGGGGTAGTCACCTGAGTACACATCTGTGAGATCGGAGCCGGTCTGTAATAGGCTCTGCTCCATCTGAGAGTATCAATTATATTTTAAATACACCCATTAATTTACAATATTACACCATATAGGATTGTTCTTTTATTTAGCACTTTAACAGCAGATATAGCGCTCTCTCTCTCTCTCTCTCTCTCTCTCTCTCTATATATATATATATGGATAAGTGCTTTCTGTTACACTCCACTGTATTCACTGGTGTTGGCTTTTGCCACTCAGTTAATTTATTATTTTTTGCATGATAGTGTATCAAGATGGAGAGATAGACTTGGGTGGTAACTGCTGGTTTAATATATATTATTTTATAAAAGTGCCTTTTCACACAGCGCACCTGGTTTTTATTATAAATTGTACACTTGTTGGATCCGGCCCTTCGTAGACGGCAGTTATGATGTCAATAAGTCAGACACAGCTGTTATATATGACACTATGAGTAAGACTTATTGGTTTTATTATTTCAATTATTTCTTAATTGTTGCCCTATAAATATGCAAATGATTTTTTTTGTGTTTTTTTTATGTTATGCTTGATAAAGGCTCTACTGCTGAGCCAAAACGTTGCTACACTAAAAGTCTCAGAAACTTTATTCAGAGTGCACTGCACAGGAGTTTGTCTATGATTCCTCCAAGGAGAGTGTGATCGCACTTGGTCCGACCATGAAGTTACACCTAAATTATAAGAGACAACCCTAGGGAACAGGGAGGAGTAAACCAGAAACCATCACTATGGCAATATAAATCTTTAGCTTGGGTATGGAATGTGTGGTCTTGTTTAGGGATATTAATAGTACACCATGGGTCCAAGTAAGGTCAGCAATAACCTGGTTGCGATAGATAGTGGTGGTGGTGTGTGAGACCAATTGTGAAAAGGAAGAATCAAGTTGGGTATTTAGAATAAAATTGGTGTCCCTTCTCACTATGTCTGAATCAAAAGTTTGTTGAGAAACTAATTGAAAGCTACACAGTGAGAAGGCCAGTTGGCCACATATATTCAATAATGTACATTGGGAATTATTAATATAGCATTTACTTAAAAGATATCTACCCTCTTTAGCCTCCATCTTCGTTATTCTACATCTGCATCACTAGACTAATACGGCAGCAATCTCTTCTCTAACACTAGATATATTTTCTTTTTTTACAGGAGAAAGGACTGTGCACTAAGTCAGGAATGTAGTCCAAAGCAGATTTATAGGAGAACAATTACAACATTTCAGCTAACAGGATCTTTAATCAAGCTGTATCAAGTTTATCAAGCTCCCATGTAAGCCAATACCTTGCGATTTTTCTTCTCCAATGAGTCTGCCTTGGACCACATTCCTGATATTCTGCACTCATGTTGTGTCTGAGATGGAGGTATACAATGGGCTTGTTAAACTCAAGATATATTTCTCATGTTTTTATCTACTTTTTTTTTTTTAATTAGAGATCGGCTTTTCAATGCATGCTTTTGGAGACAGAATTCATATTCCAAAATAAACAGACATTTGATGATCAAATTTATTGGTTACTTAATTGACATTTTGTTTTTAAATACTGTACACAAAACAGACTGCAATTCTAAAACATTTTACATTCATTGTCCCCTGAATTTTTATACCTAAAACATTGCAACTTTTCTTCTTTTGCTTTTGACACTCTGTAATAGTCCTTGTATGAAAAATAACGAATCATGATTAAGATACAAATAAAAGGATTCAACTAAACAGCAGAGTTCCATTAGACAAAAGTTTGCAGCCTTCTTTTATCGATATAATGCCTCCAATTCTCCTCCCCCAATATTATGGCAAAATAGACTAGAAACGCATATTTTGGTACACTTATTCCAAAAAGTTCTTACAGAGAACTAAAGGGCCACACAATAAGAGAAAAGGCAAGTGTGAACTGAAACTAGATATTTTTATACCATTAAAGTAATTTTTAAATGAACGATTTGTTAAAAATTAAAAAAACAAAATAAACCACATTACGTATTGTTTCTAAAATCATTTCTTTAGGCTCATTTCTAGCGGATTTTCATAGTACATTGAGCATTTTACATGCACCTCTAAAAAATGCAGCCATTCTATGATTATATACAGTTAGACTCTGGTGGCCAACATTCTCTCACTTGGCAGATATCATTTGACATGTAGTGACTTTTTGTATTTAAATATATTAATATAAATTAGTTGTACGTTTTATTTTAAATGTCTTTTGAATATAATGTGCACTTAGACTGAAAAGCATAACTTGCTTTAAACTGTAAACAGTTTGCATAGATCCCAAACTGCAGCTTCTGAAATGAACAATTTCATTGTTTTAATTTGCAGAAATAAAACAAAAACTCACGAAAACATTTATGGGGGACACATACAAAACAAAAAACTAATTTGACATAACTGAATTCTATTGACATATCTCCTGGATACTACAATGCAGTAAGGCTCAGGAATTTTACGTCACACTTGTTTGGACAGTGCAGATACAAAAGCTCAATAATCCTTGATGCAAAGTTTTTTTTTTAATAAATATGGGGAAATATGACCATCTTCAGCGTTAAACAGACAAATACAGAAAATTCTTTCTGAATAATTTGTCAATGTAGCTTGTATTGCCTACTACCAAAAAGTAAAATCTCTACAGTATTAAATTACATGTTTGTTCTTGATAAAAGTTAGAAAGAAAAGTAAAAGCAAGACAAGTGTTACATTAGAGAAGGAGGCTGTACAATAGCATTCTAGAGACATTCAGTAATGTTTGTAAACTATTGGTATGTACAGTAAACGTTCGCCTTTACATTTTTTGCTCATGTCAGAACAGTACAGCAATTAATGCTCAGTAAAGTGTTTATATAGCTATTCACATACAGGTATATAAACACAATTATAAATGACAAAATAAATTCTGCATGCGATTTGGTCAGTTCCAGCTTCATTCATCATTGGCAGCACTTGTTCCTCTCACTTGACCTTGGTTGCGTAGCTTATAGCAAAAAAAAAAAAAGAAAGAAAAATTACAATAATAATTTTAAAACAAGTATATTTTTGGTAGATACAAAATATGACTGATATAAATAGTCAAAGGGACACAGAACGCATTTGATAACAAAATAGAATGCAATAGACTTTTCAAAAGAAAGACTGAAGATAAGAAAAGTGTTAAAAAGCAAGGGGGGGAAAAAAAAAAAAAAAGCATAAAACTGGAAAAATATCTAAAAGGCTACAGGAGAAACTGACCCAACAAACACTGCAAATAAACCAATTCTAGGTATATATTTACCACAATCCTATGTCCAATAATTGTACTTAACCCCTTAAAGGGACACTCAAGACCCCTAAAGCACTTCAGCTTGCTAAAAAAAACTTTATGTGTAAAGAGTGTGTCCTCTTTTTTTTCAGTTTGCTAAAAGTGCAGATTTCATTAGAAATTTACACTTTTATAAATTAAAATGGTTATACTCCCTTGGCTTTCAACCAGACAACAGGTCCTGTTAATTCCTGGTTCCGTTAGCTCAGTGAAGCTAAAGTCAATAGGCAGCAATTACCTTGTAAAGACTGCAGACAAGAGAAGGGGTTTTGGAAGCTATTTTCAGATGTACTCCAATGAAAAAAAATGCACAATTAAATACATTTTCAATAGGGGTATATTTTCTAAACAGTGTTATTTTGTATTTTGGCAGTGGATTCCTTTGAAGGACATAGGCAATTTAAAGGCAATTGTCCAATTCTGAACCAAAACAAAATTTGAATTTGACCTCATGTTACGTGCACCCACTTAGGTGAAAATATTTATTTGTATGTACATGTATAATTTGTTATTTATATATGATTATTTTGGGGCATCTGACAGTCTTGAATTGGATGGATTGACCGCAGGGTGGCTGCCACGATCAGCGCAGAAGATAAGTATGTGGGCTGGAGGGAGGGCCAGATCTTTATGACATGCTATACTGCCCTAACAGTGTTGAAGTCCTCCTTTTGTAGGACAGCATAGTATGTTCTATCGTCGGCAGAGGGTTAAGAGTTCCTGACGTAGACATTTAAATAAATGCACACAACTCAACCCGTCCAAAAAAAACTACCTGGTGTTCAGTAGACCAAGTCACAGCACGAGCATACTGCCTAAAGGATGGTATGAGAAATAAAAACAAACCTATACATATACAGGGCTCAAAATTTCCAAAATTTTCTGAAAATTTACCCCTGGCAAGTAGAAATTCACCCTTGGATGGTATACTATAGCTTACAGTGGCAAGTAACATTTAAGGCTTTGCTATTAGCATAGGGCTACAAATCTTTTATATATATATCTATATCAATCAAACAGGCTGCATGCACCTGAACATATATTATAAGAGTGCTGCTGGGTCATATCATACAACATGCTCTCACTTTCATTCACTGAATGGCAATATGGCAATTTAAAAGCTCACAGAATGCAATAGTCTTCTTTAAAAACACCCAAAACAAATTAAAATAGTTACAGTATATGATCATATATTCTTGCATTAATCTGCCACATTTCCAATGTATCCCATTCTTGGCAGGTCGTATCCTAGCAACGTAATGCTTGCACTTATGAGATTAATCCATTACTTTGGAAATGCTTTCTGGGACTATCTGCAGGGCAAGGGGTTGTCACTCCTTACAGAGCAATTTATAGATTTCCAATTGGCAAATATCGATAATCCAATGTGAAGGACCACAGAAGATAACATCGTAATAAATGTCTCATAAGTATGGTGAAGCCATGGAGTCACACATTCCCCTCAAGATATTTTGCTCATCAACTTCTTTTGCATAAAATACAACAGTAAAAGCCTCCATACAAACACCTGAAAACAGACCCTCTAGTAAAATAACATGGTTGCAAATATCACAAGCTAATGATTAACTTAAAAAAAAGTAGACATAGCATATCATTGTTTCACAAATAATTACTAAAAAGCAATTGCAGCACAGTCACTGTTTTTGAAAATTTCCTCTGCTAAAATTTTAGAATGAAACAAAAACCAAACAAACCGTATATAATTTAGATATAATTTTTAACAAAATGCCAGGACATATAGTAACCGCAAAGGCTTCACTCCTATTATTCTCCAAAATGATGTTGATTACAATTAAAAACATTCTCTAATTGACAATGGTTTCATCAAAAATGGCTTGGTTAACATCATATATGAATAAATACGAGAGCCTGAAAGCATCCAATTTTAGCTAATGAAGTTCACACAGCTAACTCTATGCCTCGATTTAGTGTGGATGAAGTTTCAAAGTAAAATTTATTTAAATCTAAAATATACTTCTCATCTTTCAGGGTCAGTAGACACTATACCTGAAAGTATCTACGTACACCTGAAGAAATAAAGCAGGAACAAACAACAAAAGTAGAGACAATACAATACAAAATGGATAGTCATAGACTAATAAAAAAGTGGAAATGCATTGGAATCACTTTGTTAGGAAAGTTTAAGCAGGCAGAACATATTTTCAGAGAACAGGATAGGTAATATCAATGTTTTCCACTGCACTGTGTTGAATATGAAGCAGGACAAGTGATTTAAAAGAGACCAGCCAATATGCTCCTTAGAAAGCAATAAGCCCATCACCTGTTTTGTCTGCTAAATACATACACACCTCAATACTGACCCCCTGAACCTAGAGTGGAGTTGCTTAGGAGTCAGCTGCCGAAGTGCCTCGAACAGTACCCTTCTTACGAATCTAAATGTAAAATAAAATTGTGAGCTACTAAAAAAAAAAAAAAAGGGGGGTGGGGAATGAAAATCATCTCTAAAAGTGTGACGATAAATTCATGGTCTTGACAAAACTTTTATGAAGAAACAAAGTGGAAAAACAAAACATGCAACTAATAATGACTACGATAAAAAAAAAAAAAAATATATAAAACAAAGAAAAACATTCAACAATAGCAAATATCAAGAAGCCTGAATATAATATAACTTTTTAAGTATAAGCACTTTGAAAATTTACCTTTCCAAACAGTGATAGTACCTCAGTTGTATTACATTAAATTCACAGAATCAAATAGTGCACTTATGTGGAGATCTAGATCTAAAAAAAAATGCCATGAAGTCACTGTAAAAGAGAACAACTGTGCTGTCTTTTTAATTTAGGAAAGCATTCACATTTAAAAATAGTCCTAAACGGTACACATGCTAAGATAGAGCTGGCAAGCATTTTCTATCTATTGCATTATAAAAATAAATAATGAATTGAACAAGTCATGAAATTTAATTTCTTTTGTGATAAATGCTTATATTAATTAATTTTACTCGTTAGGCTTTTCCTCCCATATGTACATACTTTTACTTTGTCAATTTTCCCTTTCCAAGGGAACTTGTTGTCATAAAAATAGATATAATAAAGTATATATACAAAATCAAACAATAAAAAAATATATATCTATTAAGGCGAAGAGCAAAATAAATGCTTTTACTGACCATGCCCACAAAAGGTAAAAAAAAATAAAAAAAAATAAAAAAAAATAAAATTTGGGTCCCCCCTCCCACCCCCATTTAATGAAGCTACTCACACAACATATTTGTAGTTTCTGTTCAATTTCCCTTATAGAAAGTTAGGAGAAAGCTGGCATATAAATTACACAGGGTTGTAAGGTGTGTGCACAGTACATCTACATAGTTTTCCCGTGGACCATCAAAAGGTTTGGTGGTCTTGGAGCTGTAGCAAAATTAGCAAATTGCTGCAGCTATAAAATAGTAGAAATGTGGAAGTTTCATGCATCTATGCAACCAATACGAGGAGCTCATTTGGTTATGATGTTTAAAGTGCCCCAACTGATATAGTTGCATTCCTTTGCGAAGGCACTGAAAGAATAAGATTTAATAAATTGCATCAACACATTAAAATCATATTTCGGTCACCCTAGCGCTATAAATAAAATGTACGAGCTTCTGTTGCATTTCAATGTACAGCACTGAACTATTTGAGGTTTAAAAGTTCTAGAAGACCAACCAATTTTTAGGATTTTAATAGTTTTATTAAAATCCTAAAAAAAAAAAACTGAGAGAAAGGACATATTGTTTCATATATTCTACAACGACTACCTCAGAAAATTTACATTTTACAGTAAATGTATTTTTTCCTAGGATTACACACAGTACAGATCTTCAGGATCTTCAGCCATCTTCTACAGGACACGCAGCCTAATTTGGATGGAGTGTAACATTTAAATCCCCCCAGTTTCCTCCCCTCTACAGTAAAACCCCTGTTTACCGCCACATCCCCAGTACATAGACAAGCCACAAAAATGCTACAATATAGATTTATTAGAAGGCAGGGAATTTATGTATTGTCTCTAATTCTATGGATTTTTTTTTTTTTTTGCGGATAGAGGCAGTAAAGACTATACGGATGAATCAAAGCATAAACGAAGTGAGGGGGAGTGGGAAGTTAGACTTTACTTAACAACAGCTTGTTTTAGCCCACAAATTGAGTCTTTATGAAGTTGTCTGATCTTATTTGCACGTCTCTCTTTTGAATTAGATTTCCAAAGTTTCAGATGGCCATAAGAACAGCTTTGAATTCATTGTAATTTAAAGAATTTATTTTGTCTTGGATTTCTCAGAGATCCTTTGCAACCTGATGATCCATATGGGCACCCCATCATGACATTGACGCGTCTGTCACAATAATCTTCCAGACTTTTAATCTGAATGAGAGACCTTGGAAGAGAGTTGTGATCCACCATCTGAAATTCTTAACCTTTGATTTCCAGAAGGGTATGATGTTGTTGTGATTCCACTCTACCAGTATATTGGCATGCAAGGGTCTCCTTGTGACCTTTGCTATTTGACAGCTGGAATCACTGATGTCATTAAACCAAGGGACCAAAGCGTAAGTCTCAGAATTGGAAGTGTAGCAACTTCTTCCTCACATTTATATGCTTGCCAAAAAAACAGGTATATTGAGGTAAGAATGTTTTAAATCTAGTGATCCCAACCAATCTCAGCACCGTTGAGCTCTAGCCACAGAAACAACACTGATCAAGTGTTTGCTTTGTGCCACTCCTGCAGAAAAACACTCTGCAAATGATAGGCAGAGAACTGGGGAAGTAGATTTGTTGTACAAAACTCCATTCACTATGTCTGTTTCACCTTCCTATGCTTCTACCAAACAAATCTATAGAGCAGCAACGTGGTCCTCAATTCCCAGTTTCACAAAACATTAAAAACTGGACGTACTGGGCAGCAATTAAAACCATATACAAAGATCCAATGGTTAGGGTGATGGGAGTGGATTTGTGTTCAGACTGGTTTCCCTTGGGTAATGGCATCCATCAGGGTTGCCCTCTCTCACCAATACGATTTAAACCATCTATGGAGCCTTTGCAATAGGAATATGGTCGAACCCAACCATTAGGGGGATTCCAGTAGCCTCAAAAGTTCTGAAGATGTGTGATATTATAGTGACCCTGACTGATCCTATTGTTTCCGTTGCTCATCTAATGAATGAGATATCCCAGCACAGTGAGTTATCTAATTACACGATAAATATAGATAAATCAGTGGTTATGTCCAAAAACTGTGATTCTGATATTAAAAAACATATTGGGTATGTATGGCTTAGAGAGGCTAACGGGAGTTTTTAAATACTTCGGTGTTGTGATTTTGAACAAAAGACAGAATTGTAGAAGATAATGTTTTGAAACCGATTAGATCAACAAACCTAACTTTAATTAAAAAAAAAAAAAAAAAATGGAATATGTTGTTATTGAGTTGGTTAGGTTGAATTATTATTATTAATGCCTACATACTCCCCAACTGGACTTATTTTACAAAAATGTTCCACTAAAGATACCAGACAGCTGGTTAGAGATTATTCAGAGAAGTTTTAGAAACTTTGTGTGGAGAGGGAAGTTATTGACAAATAACCTGGGCCAAGGTGGCATGAATTTCTCCAATGTCAAAAAACACTACGATGCCAATGTAGTCCACCATATTCAAATTTTAACTAAAAAAAGAAGTGAGAGACACAGGATGGATTATATTGGAAACTCAGCCATTGAATAAGAGTGATATAAATAAACTCATTTGGCAGGATAAAGGATATCTGGTACTAAAAGAAGAAAAAAAAATAAGATCTCATCTTTCCAATATGGTTCAAGTTAAGAAAAAAAATATAAAAAAATAATGGAAAAATATATGTCTTCATGGAGTTGGAGATATTGGAATCTCTTATAGATGATCTAAAGTTAGATCTCTGGAGGGAAAATAATATTAAAGATGTAAATAATATAATGAAGGAAGGAAGAATGAAAACTTTTGCATCATTAGTGCTAGAATATAATTTACAAAAATTTAAAATATTTATTCACCCAAGACCAAGTTAAATCACTGAAAATCTAAAAACTATGGGATCAGGTCTATAAAACTTTATGTAATATTGATAAGATTAACAATGTTAAGACTCCGATGACAGCATTATTACATTTGGGCTGGCCGGATATAACAGCATCTCAATACTATTTGGTTACACATGGCTTTCTGGCCGTGAAGATTCTTATAGCAAGAAACTGGAAACAACCTATAGAAATCAGCTACACAATGGATAAAACAACCAACGCTCTAATTAAACATGGAACGGAGTATAAGTTGGAGAAACAATTCTTCAGTCAGGAGTAAAATGATTAAAAAAAAAAAAAAAAATTTAATCTTGAAACAGTATTGAAAGTTATGTAAAGTCCGAGTAAAATATGCACTTTGAAAATTTGTAATATACGGTATTAATGGAATAGATAAATATCTCTTTCTCCTAGTTCAGTCGTCTCCACGCTCAGGTAGAATGTATTATGTATGAGAGTATGTCAAGTATTCTATTTGTCTAATTGTCTTGTGTTTTTAATGTATTTTGTATGATGAGGAAAATTTAAATAAAGAATATTTAAATAAAAACTGGAAGTACTTGCCTCTAAAAGACTCAAATTGGGATAAAGATGTTACAAGCTGTTAAGTAAATTCTACCCCACCCCTCTTCGTTTATATCCCTAGTGTCTGTACTACCTCTATTTGCAGGAAAAAATAAAATATTACTTCCCATAATTTTTCTTCCCCTAGAATAAGAGGCGGTACATATATTCCCTCCCTTCTAATAAATATATTTCTGCAGCATTTTATGTAGCTTGTGTACGTACTCGGGAAGTAGAGGTAAACATGGGTTTTGTTGTAGATGGGAGGAGACTAGGGAGGAATTTTAAATTCTGTCCAAAATAGGCTACCTGTCCTGCAGGAGACGGCTGAAGATCCCCAAGATCTGTACTGCCTCTATCCGTAGGAAAAAAAATAAAAATATAATAAAAAGCAGTAAAGTAAAATAGATATATTGATAAGCTTAGCATGCTTTTACTACACTAGTTTATGTGCAGATCTACCTGTTGTAAGGCAAATATAGACATTTGGTATCCAAATCAATTCATGTCAAAGCCATGTCATTACAAGTGTGTAACCAGTAGTTAGCCAGGCTTTTTATACAGCATAATTCTAGTATTACATACAGGGTTATTTACTAAAGAGAGAATTCAAAGTGACTTTCAAATGTAAGGCCAGAGTAGTCAGTTGGCATAGCTGACTTAGAGAAGGTTTCCGGTTTGGTTATTTTAATCTTCAAATTCAAATTCAAATTTAATTCTCACTTTAGTGAATAATCTGATATAATTTATAGGGCGTTAAAAAAAAAAATATAGAAGGGATCATAACTAAATTGTTGGTGATTTTGAGAAGTTATTTTTTAGGAGATATTTAAGATTTAGGATTAATCTAAACACTAAACTACACTAAAGAAAATAATGGTTAAATGGAATGAACTTTTCTTCAAACTAGATTCAGAGGAGATCTCACAGGGGGATCAGACTTTAGCAAATTACCACCATTTACAAATAACTTAATCAAGGTGGGGACAGATAAATAATTGCCCAACGAGGAGACCAGACTCCAAAAAAAAATAAAAAATAAAAAAATAAAAAAATTACCACTATTATCTCTTATTTGAGGGAAAAACTGGATAAAAATCAATTCTCTTCAAATTATCAGGGGCTATGTTGAAGAACAAACACCACAGGAAATAAACTAATGTTTATAAGTCAGTATTACATAAACAACAGTGAAAGTATTTGCACTGAACAAAAATATTAAAAATAAACAATTACCTCAGTGTTCAGGTGATATGTTCCCATATACAAAACACTAACCTGCAAGTGCAATGCTAACGGTAAGTTTAGTTCAACAAATGGGGAGTTGGTTCATAAACAAAATATGAAAAAAAAAACACAAAAAGTGTTTTGTACAAGTATATGTATTAAGATAAAGTGTAAATATGTGCTAATATTTTAATACGTCTAATACGATCTGACTCTTTATACATACAAATAAAAAGGGTGTGACCCCCTAAGGGGTCTAGAGCGTGTAAATGGAACTTAATAGGGGACCCTAGAAATAGAATATATTATCCAGAAAGAAATGACCAATGGGCATAAAGTCAAGAGGACACAGTAAAGTCCCTATATGAATATAATGCAATTAAAACTCAATTTATTTATATATGTTTTATTCTGGTTGAAGATCACCCCTTGACATAGGCGGATATTTGCATAAATTATGCGTGAATGATGTGGGAGTGGCATGTGATGTAATTATGCTTAGCCTGCAAACGGACAGGATTAATGGCAGGAATGCTCATGCACACCCCCAGCCATCATTGGCTAATACGGATACAAACCTCACTCAATCTCATTTAAAAAGCACCACAGCAGGTTGAACATCTCAATGCCTCAGACGAAGGCGCTTTAGCAGCGCTGAAACGCGCGTCAGGCTTACTCTATTTTTATTTTAAACTCATAGCACGATTTCTGTTACCACTATGGTTAGTTGGTGAAGGTTATTGTAGAAATCTTAAGAGGTGAAACTCTGCTTAATGGGGTTTATCATTAGGGCAATTTTTTTAGATAGCATGGAAGGTTTGCAGTTGTCTAAAGCATATTTTTGCTTCCTTTTACGTTTAACCTTCTTTGCATAATTTTTTCAGACAGCGATCTTGAAGTCAACTAAACATTTAGCAAGTTTAATAAAGGCTCAACTACAAACTCTCTTCAGAGACAGTATCCTTTTGCAATTTTTTGGTTATATAGTTTGTGTGACATTGTATACATTTCCTTGAGGCATTATTTTATAGGTATTATACTGCTTAGCAACTAAACTATTGGGTTCAACCTTTCTGTGAGTATATGTTTTCTACTCACCACAACTACCTGATAAACAGACAGATTTACTCTATACTTGTCTCTGTTCTACAACCAACCTAGCCTTTTGCCCTCATTACAATATTTTTTCAGACAGCGACCTTGAAGTCGATTCAGAGTTTAGCAAGATCAATGAAGGCTTAGCTACATAATGTTTTTCTGAGACATTATCCCTCTGTAATCCTTTGGTTATAGGATTTAATTGCTACATTGTATATATTTCTGTGTTGTACTATCCTATAGGTACCACATTGTTCAAAGTATATTTTTTACTCACCATGCCTACCTTGTAACGATATACGATTAGGATTCATAATGGTCTCAATCTTATAATTCCTTTTACAAGCAGCCTCCATTGCTCTAAAGCCCTTCTATCCCATTTCTTACTTAGAGCTTATCAGCTCCCCTTTATTTTGTGTTTATAAGTTTTCCTTTTTTGTTTGTATTTTTTTTGTTCAATTACTGTTCCTTTTTAAACATATTTAAATAAATTGAGTTTTAATTACATTATATTCATATAAGGACTTTACTGTGTCCTCTGGACTTTATGCCCATTGGTCATTTCTTTGTGCAAAATATACATACAAGAGTCACTATTTGTGTTTTTTTTCTTCTTCATCTTTTTTTTTATATGAACCAACTACCCCATAAGTTGAACTAAGGGTGTACGCTATTTATTTATTTTACCACAAAACTGCACTTTTAATGTTTGGAATATGGGAACATATCACCTAAGCACTGAAGTAATTGTTTATTTCCTATAACCAATATTGTGTGATGAGTAGTTGTCCACAGAGTACTATAGCTGCTGAACCTATTTTTAAATATATCCCAATCATAAAAAAAAAAAGCATCACTTTATTCACACAAACTTTTTGTTTCTGTACATTGAAAAATATATTAAAAACACCTACTGCTTCTAATTCTTTTTGGGTTTCATCTTCCATTCGCCTAATGTCTTCCATCGTTAAACCAATCCATTTGTCAATCCAACAAAACAACTGGCGGTGGAAGTTGGTGAATATTCGTTTTTCTTGCTTTAAAGGAAAACACAAGATAAAATAGTGAAATAGTTAAAGTATATTAAAGTCCTTTATTAATAATAACTATGGAATATTTGAAGGGACACTAAAGTCACCCAGACCACTTCTTCTCAATTAAGTGGTTTAGATAAAGTGGCCCTGTCCTTTTAAGCCTGCAATTTAAAACACTGCAGAGTTCTATCTACATCTAGTAGCTATCATAATGACAGCCGCTAGAGGTGCTTCTGCTGCACTGACCAAATAAAACTAGGTCACGTGACAGGGAAGCTCATAGTAAAAAAATGTAATATAATATTTCCTATGAGGAAGCTTGAGTGCACATGCGGCACTCTCCTTGCATGCACATTAAATCACCAATCAGGAGCATTAGATTTAAACATTGCCAGAGGAGGCAATGCCTTTTAAATTATGTTGTAGAAGTTGGAGATGTGAGCAGCGTCAAGGGAGTCGCAGCACTAGAAAATGGCAAGTAAAGCGTCTATTTTATTAGTTTAGTGTGAAGGGGAGGTGGGGAACGTATACTACTGCAACAAACTTAGTCACCATAGACAACGATCGGTACTTACCTTCTGGATAAAATGTTCTACTTTGTTCTGAAGTCCCCACCATCTAAACTTAATTGTTACTAGTTTGTAAGCACACATACGTGGACAATTTTCTGTGTTGGCCAATTCTTTCTATAGGAAAATATTAACATAGTAAGTGTCAATATGAAAACAGATTACAAAACATACAACACATATACTGGGAATGTCAGCATATTTACTAAGGTTTTACCTAGTTTAGCCAGACAGTTACATACAGAGTCTCAATATGTACTTTTATGACATAGAACTAAATCACATTTACATTTAGTGAATGCTTTCTTTAACTAAACAACCCATTAACAACAAAAATTAAGTTTATATAAATAACCACGTTGGAATATAACTTGCTTGTAGCAAATATGCAACGTCTGTGGAGACTGGGAAGATGTGTATCCTTTGTTTATTGTTTCAAATAGGAGTGTGCACTTATATGTACGTGTTAAGTAAAACAAAAATAAATACATGGAAAATTGGCTGCATGGCTTATATTCAGATGTTTGCAGCTTTACTTCTGTTTTTTTGTTTTGTTTGTTTTTTTTAGGGAGGGTTCAATAAAACTGCAGCAGTGTCTGTCAAAAGTTAGCAGAAAGAAAACCTGCACAAATAATTTTTTCCATTAATATTTATAAATTCTTTTCTTTCAGGTATTGTACCAGAGGATTGGAGAAAAGCAGATGTGGTTCCTATATTTAAAAAGGGTTCAAAACCCGTGAACATCTGTGGTTGGGAAATTATTTGAAGGGCTGTTAAGGGATAATATTCAAGAATTAACGATGAACAAAAATATCATTAGCAGGAATCAACAATCAAAGACAGGTCATGCCAGACTAACTTAATTGCATTTTATGAAGAAGTTAGTAGACATATAGATCAGGATGATCAAGTGGATATGATCTACTTAGATTTTGCCAAGGCATTTGATACAGTACCACACAAAAGTTTACTAGTAAACCAGATATGGTTTAGACATAAAAGTGAGTTCTTAGATAGAACACTGGCTTAATCACTTAACGCAGTTAGTTCTATGCCGCCCCATAATAGAACACCCTAACAACTTTCAACTCAGGAGCTAGGCGGTACTCACCTCCGCCGCGATCCGCTTCTGGGGATATATATTATATAGATTTATCCTTATTTTTTAATTTAACAAATATAAATAAATTAAAGGGACACACTATAGGTCACCAAAACAACTTTAGTTTAACCAAACAGTTTTGGTGTATAGATCAATTCTCTGCCATTTAGGAGTTAAATCACTTTGTTTAAGCAGCCCTAGTCACACCTCCCTGCATGTGACTTACACAGCCTTCCTAAACACTTCCTATAAAATGTCATCTCATTTTTACACTCAAAAGAGAGAGATTTATTGTATTATTTAGAATCATGTCTCCAAAGTACAGATTGTTCACTAGGTGGCAGCATAGTCAATAATTCAAAGGTCACATGCCCTGAATTATTAAAAGAAAAAGCAAAAATTGTACTTTACATTGTTCAGAAAAATAAAGGCATTTAACATACATTTTACACATATTAAAATATTTCTGGGGCTTCCAGATAGGAAGAAACAAGTGAATAGTCCACACAATCACACAATTTAAAGTCAGGGGTGTCATCTTGTGGGAATTCAGTATATGCACTCACATTCAATTTATACAGATTGAAGAATAAATTAAACATGAAAATATTATATATTACCTTCCAGTTGGGCCCCAGTGGGCCTCGTTTTGTTTTAACAGACTGAAATATTGCTGGATCCTCTTCTGCTTTGTAATCCTATACAATATAAGAAATGGAAGATTGTTATACTATGTGCATCTCAATTTTTCTCAGTGCTAACATAGCCAAACAATGAGGAAACATTTTTTTTTATAGATTATATCAGGCCATACATCCATGTCAGGTACCAGCATGTCCAGTGAAATCATTTTGCTGAGCTTGAGTTTTTCCAGCTAATAAAAACAAAAAACACGGGCAGCCGCCCACTATTTCTGCACTATCAGCTGTAAAATATATGCAGGTTAAGCCCTAGAACCTCTTCTACTCCTTATTCTATTATATGACAGAGTGCTTGCAGCAGAAGACAATCCCACAATGAAGTGCGACCACCTGACACAGTAAGTTCAGACAGGAAGAGGCATGCAAAAGGAAACTTACCGCCGTCCTCAGAGTTCACAGTGTCAGTGTAGCCAGTATGTAGGCCACAAATGACCAGCATGCCATAAATAATAGTGAGCTTGTATGTGTACTCCAATAAGTTTGCCTGTAGTGAGCTCGTGTATGTGTGTTTGCAAGTGAGTTTTTCTATAGTAAGTTTGTACATGAGCGTGTGTGCCAGGAAGCTTGTCTGCATCGAGTTTGTAGTAAGTGCATTACGTTTGTCACGCCCAGGGCAGCAGAAATCGTAAATACATCTCTGCTCAAGGCTATTCACTAAAGTTCAAAATGTAGCAAATTAAAAAATACACATGACATTATAAAGGTTATGTTTGCTTGAATATTTTGCCATTTTTTATTTGAAAACCAACCCCCCCCCAGACAAAAAGTGTGTGTGTGTGTGTGTGTGTATATATATATATATATATATATATATCCAAGAGAACCTGCCAAGAATGAGGTACACTAGACAAAAATATTGGGATAGATGGCCATTACACCAACAAGGACTTTCATGACATTGCATTCTAAATACATAGACATTAAATATGTAGTTGGTCACCCCTTTGCAGCTGTAACTGCTTCCACTCCTCTGGGAAGGCTCTCCTCAAGATTTTGGAGTGTTACTGTGGGATTTGCTCATTCATTCACTAGAGCATTTGTGAGGTCAGGCACTGATGTTGGACCAAAAAGGCCTAGCTCATTATCTCCATTCTGGTTCATCCCAAATGTGTCAATGGGCCATGTTGTCCTAACAGCGTTTAAGCACATATTGTACAGGGTGGTATGGTACGCCCTAATGGTTCAAGTAGTGAAAATATTAATTTAATTTTATAACAAAATGGCTGGAACTGTGTATCAAGTACTGATCCAGAAACCAATATTGGAAAAGACACTGGACTAACAGAATTTTGGAATGGCAAGCTTTCTGGAATTCAAAGTGGAGTTGTGTGTGTGATTCAGCAGTTCAAGTGTTATGAAAGTGCAGATAATACACAGGTCTGATTAGGGTAAGGAAATGGACACCATTCTTCCTGAGGGTCCTAAATATTCTTTGTAAGGATCCACGAGAAGGCAGAAAAATAAAATGACAGATTAAGAATGTATGTACTCACAAGAATTCAGAGTGAATATGAATGGAAATTATTTCCTCTCTGTGGGGTGTGATGGGTGAGTCTGGCTTTGGCGGATACTAGGAGAATATTACCTGCCTGATTGCATTGTGCCAACTGTACAGATTGGTGGAGGAGGGATAATGATATGTGGCTGTTTTTCAAGGATTTTGAGATTATATATATATATATATATATATATATATATATATATATATATATATATATATAAAAATATATATATATATAGTGTAGGAAAAGCACTCCAAGGACTTCATTTAAAGGATGAAAAAATAACTTTATTCAGCAACTGCTACGAGTGATCAACGTTTCAGTCCTAGATCAGGACTTTCATATATAAACACGTGTAATTTAAGAAAGTATATTTAATCTGTTTCAAAGGCATAATTAATCAGTTTCATATAAACTACAATTGAAATTACATATTTAACCAACGTCCAAAATACAATTGCTTCAGATCATGAATTTCAGAAATTCCATGTTAATAACTGTGTCGCTGCTCCTTTACGGAGTTCTCATCAAAACATACATTTTAAAATTATATGACAGACTCAGCATAGAACACACAATTTACAGTTCCCAATTACAGCTGCAAATGAGCAACAGTGTGGAAGAAGACAGCCCCCTGGCTTTCTTAGTATTAAATCTCCTTTAGGATCCCACAGGGAAAGTGGAGCTACTGAAGGCCAGCCTTTGGCTTGTGGTTTATTTTGTTTGCCACCAGCTGTAGACTTCTCATCTCATTAGTTCTGTTAACATACTCTAGGGGAAGACAGCTGTAACCTACTTGAATCTTCTGCTCTAAGGATTTCTGTAGGCTAATTCTGATGTGCAGTTTCTGCAACCCTTGGAAATAAAACAAAAAACAGTATCCATTGTACATCAATGCACAGTAAAAATAGTCTAAACTTGTGAAGTAGTTTAAATATGCAACAGTGCTATTGATTCATTCGAGAATGGTAGTTCTTTGAAATATACATTTTAAGCAATGAGCGACTAAATAGTGTCTTTGCATGCAGACAAGCAAGTAAATCTAAAAAAAATAATATTATATATATATATATATATATATATATATATAATCCCTGCTCACTAACAAGTATCCCAGTAAAATGGTCTCTGTTTGCCAATAGGTTCAAAGGCACCCCAGGAATGGGGTCCTTGGTTGTCAATATTCACCTAGGATCCTTAAAGGGACACTACAGGTACCCAGACCTCTTCAGCTCATTGAAGTAGTTGGTGCAATGTCCCTGTTCCACTTAATCCTACAATGAAACACACTACATTGCAGTGCTAAGACAACAACGAAAGGTGCTTCCGGGAGTTTACCAGACTCTGGGTCTGAACATCCAGCGGCTTTGATTCAATGCTTTTCAGTGGGAAGGGTATAATGTGATGCGCATGCCCCAGGCCCAGCACTGATGGAGACTGGCACTGAAATTGGGTAAGCAAATAATCCTTCAATGCCCATGGAGGGGGTGGGGGGGGGGAAAGGAGGCGGGGGGTTTAGAGAAGCTGCAATTTTTTAAATTGCAGTGTTAAAACTGGCTCTAATGGCTATCTACCAGACTCTGCAGAAGTCCATCAGTGCTGGAATCAGGTAAGTGATTTAAAGCGGTTTTTAATCTTTTTATGGTCAGAGGAGGACAGTTTCTCTAACCTCTATATCACAATATGTCCTTTTCTTCAGAAATGCTTTGGATTGGATATAAAGGATTTCAAGAAAGCTTTTAATTTCAAACTTCTTAGTCCAATAAAAAAGGTATTCTAAGATACACAGTCAAGAGGTTCAGTTGGTCATCAAAGCAAACATTAAAATAAGAAAATGTGGCGGAGTCTAGCCATCAAGAGGAGCAGACGTGTGTGTCCCGAGCTCCTGCAGAATAAGCAAACTAAGGGATTTCCACCCCGATTATTCAGCGATCTAACCCACTGTAGGCCATACTGAACTCAGAAGGGAAACCGCGACACAATTTGAGACTTTACCAAGCCGGCTACTCACTGGAGACTGGAGAAACACCGCTGCTGCCTGTTTTGCCGGAGATGGGAGGAAGCGGCCGATCTTCCCGCTTACCGGTAAATCACCAGTCTACACACTCTCCTACCCCCCCTCCCCTGGTCCGGCGTGGGTCACCCCGGTCCCCACTCGACTGCCTAAACCAATCGGCACGGCAATTACCTCCAAACCTGAAGCGGGGCCTAGCCAGGCTCAGAGAGTCGACCTCAGATGGCGATGCTGTCCTGGCCTAGAGGGAAAGCACATGAGCAACATGTACCAGCCCTCAGCTCTGTGGACCAAATACTACAGAAGCTAGACGAGCACTTCCAAAGATTCTGGGAGGCTCTGGAGCACCGCCAATTATTATACCCCAACAATGGGTGGAAAATCGGAGCGTCGAGAACCGGAGAGCTCGGAGGACCCCCTCGGGCCTAGCTATACCTCGCAAACCTGCACCTCCTATTATTGGCCTACCAAGGGCTTGACCCGGAGACACTGCCCACATGGAGGGTCTACCGCCGCAGACAGCAGCAGACCATCGGGACCCCCCCACCACTCGGACCACAGAGGAGAACGGGTCCGTAGACCAAAGATGTCGGCTTTCTTTCCAGCCTGGGGCTGAAGGGTGGACTTGCCTCGCTCCCAACGTGCCGCCACCTCTGTACTCTGCTCCAAGCGCAACTGGCCACATACGGGGCCTAGATCGTGGACACACTTCACACGAGTATCGCACCCGGGCCACCTTTGCTAAACTCCAAGCAGTGCCCAGTCAAGGAATCGAGTGACAACCTTGCAGGGGGACTGACGGATCACCTGATGCCAAACACACGATTCCTCCAGCAGCCGACCGGATGGTCGATCTCAAAAAAAAAAAATCACCTGATAGGCTTATTTATATGTTTCATTTTAGGCCCATTGCCAATTAGCAGTGAGATTTTCCGTTTAAGCCCGTACTAGCTATGGCTCTCGCAATAGTAAGCGTGCCTGACCTAAGCCTTGACATAGCATGCATTTAACCCAACATGTCTCTTCTATCACTACTTTTGTTCTCAGCGAACATTTAGTTACTACACATAAACATGAATAAGCAACCTAGATACTCACCATGGCAAATCATACTCATGTTGTAACAGACGTCATAGCTACCTAGTGTACAGCAAACTACACATACAGACCTGAATGTCCAGATCCAAGGTGTAACGTCTAATCTAGTCTAACATGAAAAAGCAATGTTTTACCTAACCCACTACACAAATGCAGCATATATATGAGTACTTAAAGCAACCAACAGTTATACTATTCAAGGAGACACATTAGAAATGTTAAGCATTTCCATAAAACAAAAATGTGCAATTCTAATATGCCACTGTTTAGATTGATTATATGGGATGATATGTGACAACACTGTTATGGTGATAGAAAACGCTATGTAACCACCTGCAGAACAAAAATAAAAATTATAAAAAATAAAATAAAATAAGAAAATGTGATTTAAGTGACTGACAATGTAATGACTGCTTGTGCCAGACATAGTGAACAAAAATGACCACACGTTACAACACTTCTATGCATAGAGCATCTAAGACCATGCACATCCTTTTATTGTTAATTTACTCATATTCTTTAGCTACTTATTACAGGATAATGCTAAAGCACACATAACCGGCCTCCACCGTAGCCATATCTCAACCCAACTCATCCACCTTTGGGATGTGGTGGAACATGAGATACATAGAATGAAAGCAGAGGACAAATCTGCAGGAACTGACCAAGAATAGGCTACTAGTCATGACTAAAAAGTACTTGCTACCACAAAAGCATGTGCACAGTACTTTACTGTACAGTAGATCTTGTAGATGCTGTTGCAGCATGTGCAACCACACAAACGCACCCTAAACTTCACATCCCTGAATGATGCTTGGTTTCTTCCAGACATGGTACTTTGAATTGAAGCCTGGTAGTTTAATCTTCGATTCATCTGAGTAGAGAATCTTGTTTCTCACAGGAAAATCCTTTAGGTGCTTTTTTTGCAAATTCCAAGAGGGCTTTCATGTATCTTGCAGTGAGGAAAGGAATCCGTCTGGCCAGTTCCATGGAGCACTAGAGAGAGAGAGAGGACTGTCCTTCCTCAAGTTTCTCCCATCATCACACAAACTCTGGAGTTCACTTGTGAATTTCAGGTTCTTCCTCACCTGTATAACCAAGGCCCTTCTCCCCTGATTGTTCAGTTAGCCAGACAGCCAGAGTCCTGGTTGTTCCAAACTTCTTCCATTTAAGAATTACAGAGGTCATTGTGCCCTTTAGAATCTTCAATGCAGTCTAGATTGTTTGTAGCCTTCCCGCACAATCCTATCTCTAGTCTCTGAGTTCTGCAGGCAGTTCCTTTGATCTCATGGCTTGCTTTTTGCTCTAATATGAATTAACCACCACGAGACCTTATATATAGACAAGTGTGTGCCTTTCCAAATCATGTCCAAGCAATTGCATTTGAAACTGGTAAACTCAAACCAACATGCAGAAACATCTCAAAGATGATCCCAAAAAATGGAATGCATCTCAGCTAAAATACAAGTTTTGTAGCAAACGGAGACTTCAGTTTTTTGTTCTTAATACATTGCAATTTTTTTACAAAAATAATACATTTGTTGGTCATTATGGGTTATTACAGGGCTAAGAAGGTATTAACAAGTGAAAATGGCCAAAATGGAAACAGTCATCATAAAATTACTTATACAATTGTAGCATTAAGTCTGCAATGCAAGAAACAAAAATGAATGGGTCTTAATACTTTGTGAATGCACTGGGTGCACAGGTTGTGTTATATCAACCAGTTATAGTACAACACTGCTGTTTTGCAGAAAGGTTTATCTTGAAGGGTGAAACACAGCTGCAGTGGCTGTTACACTAATGGTCACTGGAGGCACTTGGGCTACAGAACCCAATAAAACGGTCACGTGTGTTTGCAGCCCCCATAGGAAAGCATTGATTCAAACCATTAATGTGGGAAACTTGGATGCATGTGTGGCGCTAGCCTCACTTGGGCATCAGGTCCCCAATGCTCCTCAATGCAAAGCATTGGATTGGAATGTCGCCGGAGGAGACTGTGTCTGTTCCACAACGTCATAGGAGGGAGAGAGGTTAGCTGCGCCAAGTGAGCGCTGAAAAAGAGGAGTAAAATCCTTTATTTTATTATTTATATGGCAAACATGGGTGGGAGGGGACCTCTATATCTAGATACAGGCACACTAAAGCATCAGGAATACAGGTCTGTATTTCAAGCCCTTTAGTGTTCCCTTTAAACATTTATATTTAAATAAACGCATATAAAAAAAAAAAAAAATACAAATCTTTTTACTTTTCCATATGTGTGCGTGTTGGTTGCAGGCCGAGTGTACTGTGTGCGTGTTGGTTGCAGGCCGAGTGTACTGTGTGCGTGTTGGTTGCAGGCCGAGTGTACTGTGTGCGTGTTGGTTGCAGGCCGAGTGTACTGTGTGCGTGTTGGTTGCAGGCCGAGTGTACTGTGTGCGTGCTGGTTGCAGGCAGAGTGTACTGTGTGCGTGTTGGTTGCAGGCAGAGTGTACTGTGTGCGTGCTGGTTGCAGGCAGAGTGTACTGTGTGCGTGTTGGTTGCAGGCAGAGTGTACTGTGTGCGTGTTGGTTGCAGGCAGAGTGTACTGTGTGCGTGTTGGTTGCAGGCCGTGTGTATTGTGTGCGTGTTGGTTGCAGGCCGTGTGTATTGTGTGCGTGTTGGTTGCAGGCCGTGTGTATTGTGTGCGTGTTGGTTGCAGGCCATGTGTATTGTGTGCGTGTTTGTTGCAGGCCGTGTGTATTGTATGTGTGATAGTTGCAGGATGTGTGTATTGTGTGAGTGTTGGTTGCAGGCTATGTGTAAGTGTGGTATGTCTGTATGTGAAAGATATTTGCTGGCTGTGTGTAATGTATGTGTGTAGTTTGTGGGTACTTAGTTTTGCACCCCCTCATTGACCGGTCTGTGTGACAGAGCATTAGTTCCTCGTGTGTTAAACTTCCAGCTAGTCAACTGGTGAAGAGCTGTACCTCCGGTGGGTGTACACTACAGAACTCACTCCTTCACAGTCCCAGAGCTCACTAAGTCAAAGTGCAGGCTAGGAGTATCAGGGCCATGTTTTTAAACCAAACCATGGGCTATGATTCAAAATACCACTGCAAATCACATAATTTGTACCACACTGTTCACAGTAAATTTTCCATGTACCAGAATACTGCGCTTTGTCTATAATATACGTTAACCGTGTTTATATATATTAAGCTGATGTTTTCTTCTAAATAAAAAAAAAAAAAGTATTAACTTGCTTCTTTGGTTATGTCAAAAGCACTTCAGTGCAAAAACAAAAAAAAATAACAAGGAAAAAAAAACGTTTCTCTCGGTTCTGCACAGTGAAGAGATGTGAGCAAGTCACAGATACTGTTGCTGCGTTAGACTAAGTGATGGACAGCCTATGGTATGGATGGCACTTCTGGCACAGAGTACTTAAAACGCAATCAGTCCTTTAGGCTCAATTAAATGCTCCATGAACAGGTACTTAATGCCCAAAAGGCGTCATTCTCAGATAATCGGTATATAGTGCATGTAAAGTACTTTAACACTTTGCAGTCGTTTACAAAGGAGAACCCCACAAGGGAATAGGATGTTTACTGTGACAGAAGGGTAAAGACAATAAGTTGGAAGCCAATATTGATAAGGGGCAAGGAACATAGGGACATGAAGCAATGGGGTGTGTAGGAGTTTTAACAATTTAGAGGGAAAATAGAAACCGATCGAGTGAGGAAGAAGAGGAGTGATATGTAGTGAAAGACAGGAGGAGTCTAACTAAGGGTGGGAAAAAGCAATTATATAAAATAAAAAAAAATAAAAAAAATTGACAGGGTGAAAAATTAATAATGAAATAAAACTGGAAATAAATGTGAGAAAGAAGGTGGCTAACGTCCAATCTGGTACGGAAGTGAGAACATAAAACGTAAAGGGGAACAAAAATGAAAACAGAGTGAGCATAAAAAGACACTACCTAGAAAGGGTGTTATGATATGGAGGGATGAACATGCAAAAGGGGTGACGGTAAGGAAAAGGTAAACATTTATAAATCTGTGTGTTTTCAGCTTGGCTAACTGATTTCTGCACAGGATTTTGCACTTGAGCACAAAAATATGTCATCACTGTCTTTAATTATCTGGTCACAGAGAGTTTGAAAATTGTGATACAATTCCAATATAACTACCTTGGCACAAAAAAAAATAAAAAAATAAAAACATTAAAAGACCAACAAGCCATGTACACCAATTTGTTTGCTACGCCACCTATTTCACAGTGCTGTGAAAATTGTTCTCTATAAATGATAATTGATATTCTGTTAACTTAAAATATTTTCATACCACTGTATGTGTAAATGACTTAAGTGACAAAGTACTTCGTAGTCTGCATGTGTAGAAGCCTGGACATAGTGAAGGTCCTCTATTAAACGCAGCACCTTTAAGGAGAAGCCTGTAGGACTGTTTTTATAATGGCCTCAATCGAATATTTTCCCCTCCCTCCTTCATGCCAGACCTCCTAGTCTTTCTATATTATAATTTATAGCTTTAAGCCTTTGATGAAAAGAAATCTAGATTTGCTAAATTATATCTGAAATTAGCCAACCTGACAAAATATCTAGTTTTGGATAATATTTCCATATATTCAATTAAACAAATTCTAGAACAAATTTTAGAACAAGATGCTGGATTACTTACTGCTGGTTCTACTTGAGTTCGATCAGCAATATCAATTTGGACCACTTCCACTGTTTTCCATATATTCGGGTCTAGGCTGTGTACCTGGAAATAATATTTGATATTTCAATTAAAAAAAAATATTATAAAAATGTATATGTATGTAAAAAGGAAAGCTTACAAAATGAGCCTGCACTGCAAATTGCATTTTTTTAAATAAACATGAGAAAAAAAAAAACATACAGTGGGACCTTGGTTTACGAATTTATTGCCTTCTCCGGGACATTTCTTATTGCGAAAAATTTGTAAACCGAAACGCGGTGTCCCATAGGAATGCATTGAAAACCAATTAATCCGTTCTGGAGGTCAGAAAGAAGTCAAAATGAGCTGGCATGGAAACCAACCCACAATGCAGAAAACACAATAAAAGGCATGCAAACGACGAAGCTCAGCTCACTACCTTTCCACAGCTTCAGAAATGCACCAAAAAGTCCCAAAACAACTGCAAACAATTTTCCAGAATGGCTCCAAAACTCAATGCAAAAGCCACTCCAACACCTCCACACTCGATTTCAATAGATTTTCATTTGTAAACCAAAAATTATGTTAACCGAGGCGTTTGTAAACAGAGGTCCCACTGTATATATTTTTTTAAGGATTCAAATTTCAAGGCCTATACTACAATCCAGTTAAGAGTTACTTGCCACTGGCAGCCTACAGGGTCCATGGCATATTCACCAGAACACTCACCAATGTCATTTCTGTTAAGAGGAATTAAGCAGAAATAAACCTATTTTATACAGGATTGGAAATGCACACAACTAACAAATAATTAGATATTGGAATAGACCACAGATTATGGTGCTCGGATAGAAACATTGTAACAAAGTTAGGTATATAAAGGTGCAATTAACTCACATTTTCTTGAGTTCCCAAATCTGGTTTGTGCCAGGTTTCAATTTTAATGAAGAAGTCTTCTTTCATATATTCATTCTAAAAATGCAATGATTTTTAAGAGAATTAAACATTTACAGTAATCCTCTTTGAATTCTATGGTTTAACATATCAGGCCATGATAACATTAGTTGCTTAGCAGGTCATAAAATTAGGTAAATACAAGCTCAGGTGAACAGCACATGACATATTACACGGTGTCATGATTTATTTAACAAAAATAAAGCCATAATGTAGAAGCCATTTTTGAAAAAAACTAAGTACACCTTATGATTCAATAGCTTGAAGAATGACACTTAGCAACAATAACTTTAATTGTTTTCTGTATGACTTTAGATGGATTGATAGACAGAAATCCAGCAGTTTCTATTTTCAATTCCATTCGATGACAAAAACTATGATCACCAAACTAACCATAAAATGAAGATTTGCAATTCTTACAATTTAAAATGATTTTTTTTTATATATATGGGGGGAGGGAACAGTGGAAAGCAGGGATCTTTGCCTTCAAATCACTTCACTACATGGGTACTCCAACCAATAAAAGTGTTTTGGTAAAACACTGTTTTGGGTGAACTAAGCTTTGTGGCTCCCTTTACCTCTTCCATTAAAGAGAAAAAAAACCCATCAATAATAAAAAAAGAATAACAACTTACCGTATCTGTGATCCCACAGGGAGGACAGGTTTTCCCTGAAGCTAGACACTTCACCTTAAAGGGACACTATAGTCACCTGAACAACTTTAGTTTAATGAAGCAGTTTTGGTGTATAGAACATGCCCCTGCAGCCTCGCTGCTCAATCCTCTGCCATTTAAGAGATAAATCCCTTTGTTTATGAACTCTAGTCACACCTCCCTGCATGTGACTTGCACAGCCTTCCATAAACACTTCCTGTAAAGAGAGCCTATTTAGGCTTTCTTAATTGCAAGTTCTGTTTAATTAAGATTTTCTTATCCCCTGCTATGTTAATAGCTTGCTAGATCCTGCAAGAGCCTCCTGTATGTGATTAAAGTTCAATTTAGAGATTGAGATACAATTATTTAAGGTAAATTACATCTGTTTGAAAGTAAAACCAGGTTTTTTTTCATGCAGGCTCTGTCAAGCATAGCCAGGGGAGGTGTGGCTAGGGCTGCATAAACAGAAACAAAGTGATTTAACTCCTAAATGACAGTGAATTGAGCAGTGAAATTGCAGGGAAATGATCTATACACTAAAACTGCTTTATTTAGCTAAAGTAATTTAGGCGACTATAGTGTTCCTTTAACACTACACCCCCTCACTGAAAAGGGACATCCCAGAGGAGAGGCTGAGGGGGTGCAGTAGGGTATCAATAAAAACTAATTCACTTTACTGAAGTCTCTGTATACAATAAGAGCCAAACCTGGATTATCCACTGACTGACTTCACCATTTTGGAATGTTTATTGATACAGACTGAAGGGAAAGGGAAAGGGAAAAGAAAATGTAAGGAGAGAGTAACACTTGTTACAGATTATAACAAGATAACAAGGTTGCTAGATGCAAATTAAAGATGTATACAAGCTTTTTTTTTTTTTGGGGGTAAAAAAAAGGTAATGTAACATACAGCACAAATGGGGTTAAATTAATTTGTATAACACATGCAGAACTGCCAGGCATATAATGGCAATTAAAAAATAAAAACAGTTGAGTATTTCGGGACAAAAAAAAATAAGTATATAGGTAACTTTTACTCAGACAACCAGTTGAGCCAAAATTTCAAAGTATGTGACCGTTCCAATTTAAAGAAGAGATACTTTGTAATTAAGGAGACACTATGCACCATAACCACTGCAGCTTACTGAAGTGTCAGAATCAATTTCTGCAGCCTTACATTGCATAGAATTCTAACACACATATCAAACTAACAAAATATGGTTTTAAAATTGTAGCTCCATTTTAAGGCAGTCACACCACTGGGCTCTCGGCACACATACCGTGCTGATGTGCATGGGGATTTGCATGCATTGATCCATAGGATGGAGAACTTGCAAATACAACATTGCTCCTGCTATATGACAACTGGAGCTGGGTGAGCAGCATAACAATTTTAACTAGAAAAGCTACAATTTCTGGGGAAATTGTGTGAAGTGTTCTTGCCTCCACCAGTAGTCTACAATTTGAGTGGGTGGAGTAACTGGGTGGAGTGACTTGAGTAACTGTTGTGTGGTTGGAGTGGCTGGAGTAACTGTGGAAAGGTTGGAGTGTGGTTCACTCACTCTACAGCAAGGGCAGAGAAGAGCTTTCAAATCCCTCGAACATTCCACCAACGTGTGAGTTGCAAACAAATGGTCATATTGTGAAAACTATCAGGACTATGGCTTAGCCGTGGACATGTTTAGTGGCAGCAGGGATAGCTAAACGTTTTGATATAAGATTTTGTGTAGGTGGGCTTGAAAATGAGGGAGTGGTGGCATTTTAGAAATCATGTCCTGATTTTTCAGCTTTTGTCCGCTCCCACTCTAGTTTTGAACATTTCGACATTCATTCCTATGGGACCAATTTCGCCATAAAAACGACGATTTCTTGAACCTTTCAGCGAAACATTCCACAAAGTAATAGCACACCAATCAGGAACAATCTGCACATTTTGGTATATTACTGTCTATGTGGTGTAAAAACTGTGGGAGGAGTTAGGGTGGTAAATTTGGCTATAATAATAAGAATATATATGTGTGATAACATTAAGTAGTCTTGCTATGCAAGAACACTTAATAAGCTGAAGTGTTAATGATGTCTATTGTGTCCCTTTAATAACCAGGGCACATGACACAGTAAAAACATTTACGAGCAAATATACGCATCTAAAGAGCACACAAAACATATCACTTATCTCCCATAAACTCTGAAAACCAGGACTCTCTCTTTAGATTAAAATATTACTAATATTACTAATATTACTCTTTCCTTTGGACCATGCTGCAAAATATAAACGATATAAAGGACAATAGAAAATTAAATATGGTAGAGCCTCACCTTTCCTTAAATCTAAAATATTACTATAATAACTATGACCTTCATCCTTGGGCACTTTCCAGTTTCATAATGTGATTTGTGATCTAGTTCCCTAAAATATATTCAGTAACCAAAGCAAGGTCTAATAAGGTGTGGCACGCTTCCATAGCTACGCTCCCCAGGCACACTCTGTTTCAGTGCATGCAGAGTTACAACATAATTCAAGAAATACATAATACTAAAAACTCAGTGAAACCACGAGACTAGCTCTAACGAAGATAGTACCTGGCGTAAACATAGTAGTTCACTCCCTGGACCAGATTTAGAGTTTAAACTAACAAAGTAATGCATAAAGATGAGAATAATAACAATTAACACCTAAAATGTGTGCCAGACACAATTGTAAATAAACAAAGTTTTCATTACTTTAAGGAAGCATCAGTTTTGAAAAATAGAATAATACACTTAGCTAGTCTCCATATGCCCCTCCCCAACTGAGAAATATGAAAAAGGAGTGGGTGACCAAAAACACCGCCTACCTATAATCTAACCTTTTTCCCCTACCCCACATCAAACCCACAATCTTTCCTATATTCCCACCCCCTCATTATACCTCTCAAGGGATTCCCTCTGCTGATGTCACTACTAACATGAACAGAGGGATTTCCAAGCTCACATAGTACAGAAGGCCCTCTGCAGGACACAGAGATGAGTGCTGGGCTCTCCTGTCAGTCTGGAGACACTAACTGGCCGAGGGGACACCAAGGTATCAGAAGAAACCTGGGAGGTGGGGGGCTTTTTTGATGCAGGAGGCAGCAGTGATTTAACCCCTACTGGTACTTTTACTGCATTAAAGCCCTGCACTGCATGACAGCATAGGCAGTCATGTGGTCATTAAAGGAACACTCCAAGCACCATAACAACTTAATCTAAAACTGGCTTGCAAAAGGTACATGTCTTTCCAAGACAGTTTTGTGAATAGGGAGTCACTGATTGGCTGAGAGCGTCAGTTGACCGCCACTCCATGCTTAGTAAAACTGAAATTTCAGAAGCCGGATGCTGTCTGGTGATGGTGAGTAAGGGTTACTCAGTTTAGAGCTTTTTAACCCCTTGAGGTAAGATTGCACCCAGGGTCCTCCTGGCCCAATAACAACTTAAATTAGATGAAGTTGTTGTGGTACCTTACAGAGCCTAAATTGTTTAAGTGGTTAACGGGTAAGCTCAGCAGCTCAACTTAAGTAAACAAGACTGGCTGACTGATATCCTGGTTTGGTGAAAGTTCAATGTAGAAGCTGCAAATGCAGGAACTTAACATGTGAATATCTTTTTTTTTTTTCTTTTTCAACACATATATACACACATACATATACATACATATACATACATATATACACACACATACATATACACATACACATACATATACACACATACACATACATATATATATATTGCATATTTTTCCTAAGGTTATAAATAATGCAAAACAGACAAGGCATCAACTACAACCTGGAGTGTCCCTCTAATTTAGACAAACTTGTAAGGGATGACATCGTGTACAACTTGACAACGTCCTTCGCTTACCATAACTGTGCAATGACTAAAAGACATGTAAAAAGTGTGGCATCTGAAAGTGGTGTGACAGAAGAAAATGTGGTTCAAAAGGTGACTCCTACATAATACTAGCACACTAAACAGATGCGCCTGAGGCAGACATAGAATAGCACAAAAAAGTGAAATAAAAAAAATATATAACTTACCGTTACAACTGGAGCACAATGAACAGGAACAAACATAGAAGGAAAAGCAAAATGGAATTATTATTAACTTAAATTGATATTTTTTTATTAACATAAAATAAATATAAATCTCAACACACACACCAGCCACTAAAAATATATTGACCTGAGAATGGTTATGCAGCACATAAAATGCAAATGCCCTTTTGCCATGTATTTATCCTAAGCTTCACTGTCTTGACAAAGGGTGAAATTTAAATTGACACTCCACTACCCAAATACTACAAATAAAAAGCACTGTTTAGAAGATATACCCCCAATAAAAATATTCATGCATTTAATTATGTATTATTTCATTGGGCATATCTAAAAACCATTTGTAAAAGATGGAGTGCTCTTGTCTTTAGCCTTTCTAACCCCACCTAGATTTTTTTTTTTGCTGTCCAATCACAGACTTCCCAATGCCGCACAATGAGAAGTCATAGCAAGACAGGTCCTCTGGACAATTGGTGCCTCTTGAGTTTAGCTCCACTGAGATAAACTATCAGGAATTAACATAACCAGTTGACTGCTTGTAAGCCAGAGGGTGGAACCAGGTTAATTTATTGAAATCTGCACTTTTTGCAAAATGAATAAAAATAGTACACACTCTTCACATATGAAGCTTTTCAGCAAGCTAAAGTGATTTAGCCTTGTTTGCTTGACAAACTTGACAAAAAAGCCTTAAAGGACCACTATAGTGCCAGGAAAACATACTCGTTTTCCTGGCACTCTAGTGCCCTGAGGGTGCCCCCACCCTCAGGGACCCCCTCCCGCCCGGCTCTGGAAGGGGGAAAGGGTTAAAAACTTATCTTTTTCCAGCGCTGGGCGGAGAGCTCTCCTTCTCTCCTCCTCCGTTCCTCCTCCTGGGCTGAATGCGCACGCGCGGCAAGAGCTGCGCGCGCATTCAGCCCGTCGCATAGGAAAGCATTTACAATGCTTTCCTATGGACGCTTGCGTGCTCTCACTGTGAAAATCACAGTGAGAAGCACGCAAGCGCCTCTAGTGGCTGCCAATGAGACAGCCACTAGAGGCTTTGGGGGAAGGCTTAACCCATTAATAAACATAGCAGTTTCTCTGAAACTGCTATGTTTATAAAAAAAAATGGGTTAACCCTAGAAGGACCTGGCACCCAGACCACTTCATTAAGCTGAAGTGGTCTGGGTGCCTAGAGTGGTCCTTTAAGCATCACCCTTTGTCAAAATTGTCAAGTGTATGAAAAATTCATGAGAAAGTTTTAAAGAGAAATTGATCAGAAATGAAAAAAAGAAGACCGATTATGAAAGAGGAAGAGAAGAAGAAACAATAGGAGAAAGGTAAGACTGAGGTGACAGAGCTACTTTATGCTAAGGTTGTTTTGGTGCTTAGAGTATCCTTTTAAAGCAGCATTGTCATGCCGAAACTTGCCTTTCTCCTATTGTTCCCTTTTCTCTTCCTCTCTCAGAATCTGTTCACCTTTCCTTATTTCTAGTCTAGTTTTCATTAAAACATAAGACAAAGTAGGGACTACATTGTCTTATGTATTTTTCCTACACTTGACTTTCTTTGACCACAGGAGGAGCTCAAGTCAGCTCCAGTTCCTGTGTCAAGGAGAATGATGAGGAGTACTTTTTTTTTTTTTTTTTTTTCACACAGGAAATGGAGCGGACTTAAGCTCCCCTTTTGGTCAAAAAAAGGCAAGCGTAGGAAAAAATACATGAGACAAAGTAGTCCCTACTTTGTCTTATGTTTTAAAGAAAACTAGATCACAAAGAAAAGAACATATTCTGAGAGAGGAAGAAAAGAGGAAACAATAGGAAAAAAATAAGTCCGGCATGACAGTGCCACTTTAAGTTGTTTAACTGAAGATGAAGAGTTACTTACTACACTTTAAAAATGAACAAAATATGTGATTTTATCAGCAGTGCACAAAGGTTTGTATACAGGTGTGTAGCCAATACTAATCTAGGGCAGACATGTGCATGCACAAAAGGTAATCCATATGGGAAATAATTTCATGTATGCAGTCCTCCATGCAGTATCTGCCCCATTTTAGAACACAACGTTTACACAGAGTTAAAATGGAGTTGTCCTGCTATCCAGCTAAATCCTGGCAGAGCCATGATAAACATTGCAACTGAAGGAGGAATACACATTTTTGGGGGGGGAGTAACCATTCCCTAAAATGCAAGATAAAGGAGTACATCTGTTACACCATTTGTTCTCCATGCCACACTTATTCCACTGATATTTTTATATCTTAAAACATGACAATTGATATACTGTATTCATCCCTCACAAAGAGAAAGGTGGAGCGATAACTCACAAACCACAGTATTGCCACCAAAAGAATTCTCTGCACAATTTATCAGTTAAAAGGAGGAGAAGACTTGCAGAGGACTGACTGACTGACAACTTAATAACTTGCTTCGAGAGATAAATTGATCAACCACAACATTAAAACCCCATGACAGGTAACGTAATAACATAGATTATATTGTTACAATGGCAACGGTCATTGGGTTGGATATATTAGGCAGCAAGTGAACAGTCAGTTCTTTACTTAATTTCATGTGTTGGAAGCAGGAAAAATGGACAAGCGAAAAGATCAGAGTGACTTTGAAAAGGGATAAATAGTTATGGCTAGACAACTGGGTCAGAGCATTTATACAGCAGGATAAGGCATGCTGCCACACTGCAAAAATTGTTCAGGAATGGACTGAGGAACATGACAGAGTTCAAAGTGTAGTCCACAAATCCGATCCATGGAGGCCCCACCTCACAACTTGTAGGACTCAAAGGAACTGCTGCTAATGTCCTGGTGCAGCATACCACAGGACACGTTCAGAAGTCTTCTGGAGTTCATGCTTCGATGCATCAGAGCTGTTTTGGCAGCAAGAGGGGGACCTACATTACATTAGTCAGGTGGTTTTAATGTTGTGGCTGATCAGTGTATATGCTTATTAAAAATAAAGAGTGAATTTATGAACATACGTACTTTGTTATATGAATTTGAAAAACAAGATGAAAGTAAGTAGAGACAGAATTAAATCTAAACATAGGTGTATATCAAGGGTAGGCAACCTATGGGCCATGTTAAAATAAACATCCAATAGATGTTGGATTTCTAAAAGATATAAACACAACCTGTAAGCTTCAATGCATGACTAATCTGGTGAATCAAATGCTTTAACCCCTTAAGGGCCAAACTTCTGGAATAAAAGGAAATCATGACATGTCACACGTCATGAGTCCTTAAGGGGTTAAAGGACTACTAGTCACCTAGACTACTTTTTCTCAATGAAGAGCTCTGGATGCAGTGGTCCTGTCCTTTTAACCATACAGTGTAAAACATTGCATTTATTTTTTTAATTGTAAAGCTCCCAGCGTAGATCTCCCTCCTTTGTCTGATGTCACAGCACAAAGGGACTTCATGCAGTCCAATCACAGGCTTCTCATAGAGGAGACTGTGATTTAATAGTTTTGCAGGCTCTGAGTACAAACAGAAGGATTTCTAAAATGAAAAAAAAAGATAAATATCTATATCTTTATATCCATGGAGGGAGTCACGAAGGTCCGCACAGTGGGAGGGAGGAGAGAGCGGTCATTCCCCATGCAGCACAGAGCAGAGTTCCAAGGTTGTCTAACACACATGTGCCGGTGTTGTAACTAGACACGTAAGTGCAAATAATTCTGAATGTGCAATGTTTCAAACAAAAACACTACACATCCAGGCTTCTACCTCCATGACCACTTGACATTACTAAAGTGGTCATGGTGGTTGAAGTAATACTTTAAATCCATCTCTAGTGGCTGTCACACTGACAGTCACGAGAGAGAGGCTTCTGCTGACCAAGTAAAACTCCATCACATAACCTGGAAGCTCATAGGAAAGCATCAAATTCAATACTTTACTATGGGGAAGAAGCATTAGATATCACCAACAATTATTATGGTTATATTTATATAGTGCCAACAAATTCCGTAGCGCTTTACAATGGGTGGACTAACAAACATAATTGTAACCAGACCTGTTTGAAGCACAGGGTTGAGGGCCCTGCTCAATGAGCTTACATGCTAGAGGGAGTGGGGTATAGTGACACAAAAGATAAGGGAAGTATTAGGGAACTAGATTGGCACAATAGAATTCACTGAATATTTAGTGTGATATTTTTTTAATTTTTTTTAAATGACAGTTGCAGGAGATGAATCATTTGGGAGCCATTAACAGTTTAATTGATATGCTTTTGTGAAAAGATGAGTTTTTTGAAGAAATGGACACTGGATGAGTGTCTAACGGAAAAGGGATGTGAGTTCCACAGGAACGGTGCAGCTCTAGAGAAGTCTTGAATGCAAGCATCAGAGGTGAGTACGAACAGAGGATAGACGTAAGTCTTCAGCAGAGCATTGGGGCCTAGACAGGACATACTTACATATTAAGGAGGATAGATAGGAGGGAGTAGCATTATGTAGAGATTGAAAGCAAGAAGCAGAATTTTATATTGATCCCTATATCTTACGGAAGCCAATGCAGAGACTGACAGAGGAGTGAGGTGTGGGCGGAAGGGAAGATGACTGCAGTAGTCAAGGCAACAGAGGAACGTGGCATGGACCAGCACCTTAGCCACATCTGGCGTTAAGTAGGGGCAGAGGTGCACAATGTTTTTAGATGGCAGCGGTAGGATTTGGCGATCAACTGGACATGAGAGGTGAAGGAGAGTTCGGAGTCAAAGAGAAGAAACAGGCAGTGAGCCTGTGTAGTGGAGCACCATTAACGTTGAGGAAAACAGAAACAAGAGTAGCAACACTTGAGGGAAGAAAGACCAGAAGTTCTGTTTTGGACAAGCTGAGGTCAGGGAGTGGGCAGCCATCCAGTTAGAAATAGCAGAGAGGCAGTTGAAGACACTAGTCAAGAGGGGCGGGGAGAGATCAGCGGATGAAAGATAGATTTGCATGTCATCCGCATAGAAGTTATATTGGAAGCCAAAGGAGCTGATGAGTTTACCAAGAGAGGCAATATAGATGGAGAACAGTAGGGGACCAATGACTGAACGTTAGGGGACACCAACAGAGAGGGGTTGTGGGGGGGTGGGGGGGAGAGAAAGGCAGAGCCAGAAAAAAGAAACACTATAAGAGCGCTGGTAGGAGGAGCACCAGGAGCGAGCAATATCTTGAAGACCGAGATTACAGAGTATGAGAAGAAGCTGTTCATGATCAAGTGTCAAAAGCAGCGGAAAGGTTTTTCACACAGTGCTGAGTGCGGAAACCAGACTGAAGTGGGTCAAGCAGAGAGTTGGACTCGAGGAAGTCTGTCAATCTCACATACACAAGTCTTTCAAGGATCTTGGATGCAAAAGGCAGTAGCGAGATAGGGCGGTAGTAGGACGGGGAGTTAGGGTCAAAGTTGGGCTTCTTTAGAATTGGGGTTATAGTTGCATGTTTGAAGGGTAATGGAAATATGCCAGAGGAGAGGGAGAGATTGAGAATGTTAGTGAGAGGCAGAGCAAGAGAAGGAGACAGAGTACAGATGAGATGCGAGGGAATGGGATCAAGGGAGCAGGTGGTGGGGCGGGAGGACCAGAGCAGAGCAGAAACCTTTTCTGCTGTAGCAGGTGCAAATTAACATAGAACAGCAGGGGGAATGGGGATGGGCGTATTTTAAGGGGAGAGAGAGAGAGAGATGAGAGATCTCTTTCCTGACTGTAGAGATCTGGAGTTAAGAGTGTGAAATAGTTGTTTGGGTTCACGGGAGAGTGTGGTTATGAGAGTATTCAAGTAATTTACTTTTGCAGAGGAAAGAGCCAAGCTGTAAAAGCGCAACATAAATTTATAGTGGAGAAAGTCAGATGCGGAGTGAGACTTTCTCCAGCAGCTTTCAGCAGTTCTGGAGCATTTTTGGAGGTATCGAGCCAGCTTGGTGTGCCAAGGTTGTGGTTGGAGGCACCTGCTGCATTTAAGTGTAGGAGGTGCCATGATGTCTAGAGAGGGTGGAATTGTAGAAGGAGGTTGCAGAGCTAGGGCAGGTGAGGTTTGTGATAGGTAAAAGGAGAGTTTGGAGGTTAGTGGAGAGTTGCTCTAGGTCAAGACATTGGAGGTTTCTGTGAGATTGATGTGCTGAGGGTGATGTGAGTTGTGTCCTGGTTGTGCTCATGTCAAAAGTCAGCAGATGGTGGTCAGATAGAGGAAAAGGAATATTGGAGAGATTACAGAGGCGGTACAGAGGTTGGTGAAGGCGAGACCAAGAGTGTTTCCCGCTGTATGGGTTGCTGAATTAGACCTTTGCTTGACGACAAAGGAGGAGGAGGTTACAGAGAGCAATCGAGAGGCATTAGTGCGGTTTCAGTTGTTGATTGGGATATTGAAATCCCCAAGTAGAAGGGAAGGAGTGCTAGAGGATAGGGAGTGAGTAGATAGGCAGACAGTGTGAACTTCAAAGGAAGTAAAGGGTAGGGCAGGGGAGACTGGTTAAAAGGTACATTGAAGGGTGAGAAGGATGCCTAACACCACCTCCTTTACAGTTGAGTCTGGGGGTGTGGGAGAATTGTAGGCCACCGAAACATAAAGATGCAGGAGTAGCACTATCAGAGGGGGAAAGCCAGGTCTCTGTGAGTGCTAGTAGTGTGAGTGAGCTAGAGATGAAAAGGTTGTGTATGGCTGTTGGATTCAGATTGCTGCAGATGGAGCGGCATTCAAGAGTGCACACTGAATGTTGGCAAATGAGTCTAAACGGCAGGGTATAACCATATAGGTCATGCCTCCTTGATGATGTTGCTGGAAGTGAACAGCACTGAGTGTCTTGACACTGGAAAAACAGGAGTAAAAATATAATTGTAATAAATTTTATGGCAAAAGGAGGGGATCCATATATAATTAGGGACCTGAGCACTATAGTATTAGGAATACAGATCTGTATTCCTTTACCTAACCAAACCTATCCGTTCTCTCCATGCTTCCAAAATCAAGAAGGCCCTGTTATAGGAATACTCATAGCACAATAACCACTACAGCACATGCCAGGAATGCCCTGATGCCCACCATCTTTGTTCCCATTATAGGTAGACAAACTATTTTTGAATGGCGACACACCTGTGGGCCAATGGACTTCTCATACTATGTTTTCTAACCAGAGGCGATCAACTGACAATCTCTGCTAATTAACTATGCCTGGGGGGGTGCCAGAGCACTCATAGGACCATAACCACTACAATATGCTGTAGTGGTTTATGTTGTTTGGAGTGTTCCTTCAATGAGTAGTGCAGCGGAATGGATATTCACTCTGTCTCCAAATTATTTGCACCAATGACATTTGTAGTCTTTATTAAACGTTAATTTATTCTACAAATAAGACAGAAATCACTTCTTTTTTTTTTTAATTCTTTACTTTTGACAGAATAACATTGATACATGTTGGTGTCACATCAAGCACCATGCTGGGTAACCTTCGCAGAGGTTATCACTGGTTCTCATACAGACAAACTAAAGTATGAAAGTGGATAATTGCATTGTGTCGGTTAGATAAAGAAAACATGAAAATACATCAGTCAACCTAATTCTTTAATTCTAAAGTAGCAATGAATGGTAGTCTCAGACATGTGGCTTATGTTATAGAATCAGCTAACCTAAATCGCCAAAGAAGAGTAGAGGCCAAATAAATAGTGCTCCGTCAGCTCTGTGTATTACAACAGATAAGAAACCAAGATCATATGGAATAAACATTATCAGATTGTAGTGAAAATACTGCCCCTTTTGTTTGTTTTTTAAAAAAAGTAGGAGATGGGTATGCTAAAATCTCAAGATGGTAAGGAATGAAAGCGCAAATTCAGAGCCGGCTGAGAACATCAATATAAAATTAAAGTAGGAAATAGTCTATACTGCCTGGGCGGAATAATTCTTTATCCAACATTAGTAGAATTAAGTGTGCAGTTGTAAGACCTCTGAAGCAATTAACTAAACCACTGAACTCCAGAGACACGGAGTGTAGGTAGGAAAGGAGCAGTGTCCTGCATCTTCACCTATCTGCTCAAGGACCAGGAGTCAGGCTTCATCACGGTGCGGACGCTGCCAGGGTCTCTACATACTGTCGCTTCAGAATCGGACCTTGTGGTTCAATTAAAGCGTGGACATCTCGAAGCACTCCCGGGGGGGTTGTCACCTACATTGGCAGTAGGCTGTAAAATCAACCAGCTGAAAAATTCCTCAGGCGAGGAAAAGTAGCATTGGCTGCCAGCATGAGTGGCTTAAGGCCTCTGCGGGGCCCCCATTTGTAGGTCACTCCCCTGTCTCTGAGTACTGCGGTAACACTTGCGCCATTGCAGTGTTTTGAAAGTGTGTATGTCCCTGTGGTTACCGCTCGTGGGAGCCAAATTAGATCGTTTGGGGTGCAAAAGGAGGCAAAAAGATTAAAATAGTCGGCTGTCAGGAGCTCCCCCCAGAAATCACCTTTTTGCTATAAATTTGTAAAGAATTTGACTAAAATATGTTTTTGTTAAAATTGTAATAATGCATTTAAAGGCAATAACAATGATGCTAGGAGACCAGTAGTTTATTAATGGAAAGGGACATTCCAAATCCACAATAACCTCATCTCATGAAGCCAGACAATTAAACACATAGCCAACAAATCTCTGAATCTTGCTAAAAGACCAAAAAGTGCATCAGAGTTGCTTACTTGTTCGACAGTAAGGATATGCATTCCATGCTTTTTCGTGAAATACTAGGGATCCTTCAGGAGCAAACATCTTTACAAAGCCAGGAACTTTACTGGGAACAGAAGATGGAAAATTTGTTTAAAAAAAAAAAAAAAAATTATTCAGCAAACTTTGCACAAGAATTGTGTACATTTTCACCTGCAAGTTTGACATGTATATCTACATTATTTCTGTTTACTAAATTCAGTTTTATTAAAAAAAAAAAAAAACACTGGAAAGAGCAAGGCTGCATGTTGAAGAGCAGTGTGCTGGAGAGCTAGGTGGGCGGTAAAAACCAGCAACAATGATCAATTCACTGTACAGGATCTTGATTGTACAGAAAGGAAATCAAAGGTGGCAGGGTAACTATAGTTTTGTAAAAGGGGGAATGTAACAGACTTGTCAACATACATAACAATGCCTCCTCCCCCTATTTGGTCTATCCCCCTATTTCTACAGCATGAACACCCATGTATTGCAATGGCAGAGTCAGGTATATTTGCTGTAACACAATGATTTGGGGTTTGTGATAGAAACACCAAGCTTGTAACATACTCTTGGTAGTTCTTTAACTTTACTAAGGTACTCTAACTGCAGCTATGTTACAAACATTACTATTATGTAACTTGTAATGTAAAGAATGCATCATCCTATAAAACTATGCATAGAATGCAGCAAACTTAATTGTTGGAGTGCAATCTATTCACCATAGCCACTACAGTTATAGTTGAACAGAATTGACACTGATGATGGTAGAATGATTATTGAGCGTCAGGGAGAAACAGTTATTTTTGTTTGTTTTTTAAATAAAACTTCTGCCAAAAAGGTTGAATAAAATTAGGGATGGCACACACAGTCTCTTTTTATCATAACTACAACAATTAACTGTAGTTGTTATGGTGCATAAAGTGCATTTTGAATCATATGCATTTAAAATACAATACAACCATAGTTTTTTTTAAACACACTCATACATCGTCATGTAACTCACCTTTTTAAATGGTATATTTTATGTGTATATTGACCCTTTTCCCCATCTTTTTCATAGGGTTCATTCTTTAAGACTTCAATCCCCTCGCCACCACCAGTTTCATTCTTGCTAGCTTCAGCCACAGAATAAAGTTGGCCAACTTGGTACTATAATCAAGTATAGTATTAATTGAATATTATATAAACTTTTATTAAAAAAGAGACACTACTTTAGATTTCGATAATGTTATTAAAGAAACACTATAGGATCAGGAACACAAAAACATGTATTCCTGACCCTATAGTGTTAAACCCACCATTTTAGGAGGCTTGTCCCCCCACAGCCCCTTTAGAAAGAATTAAGACGCACGTTATTTCCGTCCCCGCCCTGAACCGCCTCCTTGATGACATCCGAATTGCCAATTTTTAGCCAGTCCAATGCTTTCCCATAGGGAAAAATCAGCAAGGAGGCAGGATGGGGTCGGGGCCAAACGCCATTTTGGCCAATCATCAATGCATCTCTATGAGGAAAATTCAGTGTCCCCATGCAGAGCGTGGAGATGCTGAATGGCACTGCTGCCTACTGTGCACCACTGACCCAGGAAGCCCCTCCAGTGGCCATCTGAGGAGTGGCCACTTGGAGGTGTCCCTAGGGGCAATGTAAACATTGCTCACCATAACAACTACTTAAAAAGGACCACTATAGTGCCAGGAAAACATACTCGTTTTCCTGGCACTATAGTGCCCTGAGGGTGCCCCCACCCTCAGGTTCCCCCTCCCGCCCGGCTCTGGGGAGAGGAAAGGGTTAAAACTTAGCTTTTTTTCCAGCACCGGGCGGGGTGCTCTCCTCCTCCTCTCCTCCCTTTCGGCTGAATGCGCACACGCAGCAAGAGCTGCGCGCGCATTCAGCCGGTCTCATAGGAAAGCATTTACAATGCTTTCCTATGGACGCTTGTGTGTTCTCACTGTGATTTTCACAGTGGGAATCACGCAAGTGCCTCTAGCGGCTGTCAATGAGACAGCCACTAGAGGATTTGGAGGCTGGATTAACCCTATTATAAACATAGCAGTTTCTCTTTTAAATTCATTTTAATTAGCACACAGTTAACAGTTTCCCCGCATGCTACTGTGTAGTCAGGTGGCTACCATGAGTGTAGACTGGATTAGCCGTATTCCCAGTATACAAGATGCCAAAATAACTAGAGTATTTGCAGCATGCTATGATATGTTTTTTATTAGACTAACACTATTTAAAAGACAAGTTTTCAAGAGGTTTATTCCCTTTCACAGTTCTGAAGCAGTAATGATTAATCCCCACAGTCTCCATCCACTGTCCAGAGGTAGGATCCCTAATTATAATATTAAAAGGTGAAGACCTAGTGTATTCCCCTGGCAACATCCATTCGCAGGGGTGGGTTGCCATAGTGTGATTGATTACAAGTCAAATCACTCAGAGCACTTTAACATACAAGATTCAAGTGGGGAATCAAGTCAAAGTCCATCGCTCTGCCCCCACCTGTGGTTTATTTAGGAAAGTGGCTAAGAATTTGTGTTCTAAATAGAGCAAAGATATCGGATATCAATGTCCACTGAGGACCAATTAAACACCATAGTACACTATCAGAATACGTGCCATCAGAGTATGTACACTACCGCTGATGAAAACCCGTTCAATGTACTGATATGTGCATAATAGATAAAACATAACATAGCCAGTTCTGGTAACCAGTATTGCATGCCTTAAGAGATGCATTAAGCATCATAATCACTACATCCTTATTTAGTGGTTTTGGGGCATATATACTTTCCCTTTTCTCTGACAAATGTAAATAATGCTGTTTTGAGAAACAGCAATATTTACATTAGTCAGAAGTAGGGATCGACCGATATTGATTTTTTTTAGAGCCGATACCGACAATCTGTGAACTTTCAGGCCGATGGCCAGTAGCTTACCGATATTCTGAACATTTACAGTATTTTATAAAAACTTTTTGCAAATCTTTTTAAAAAACATTTTATGAAATGGTAAATGCACAATATGTACATGCCAGTCAGATTTGTGGGTGTGTGTGTGTAGTGGATGCAGTGAGAGTATTTGATTAGTAAATGCAGTGTGTGTGTAGTGGATGCAGTGTGTCTGTGGGTAGTGGATGCAGTGTGGGTAGTGGATGCAGTGTGTGTGTTTGTGTAGTGGATGCGGTGTGTTTGTGTGTAAATAATAATGCGGTAAGACTCCCTCCTCCCTACCCAGATGTTCCTTTTCCCTTCCTTCCTATATTTTAGTGTCCTCCTTAATGTTCCTCGTGCCCCTCCCTATGGTGTTCGCGCCACCACCCCATGGCGATCCCTCAACCTCCCCCTCCCCATGAGATCCTCAACCTCCCCCCTCCCCATGATCCTCAGCCTCCCCCTCCCCCTATGGCGGTCTCAGCCTCCCCCTTCTCCCCCATAGCGATCCTCAACCTCCCCCCCCTCCCCATGGCGCGATCCTCAACCTCCCCTTCTCCCCCCATAGCGATCCTCAGCCTCCCCTTCTCCCCCATAGTGATCCCTCAACCTCCCTTCTCCCCATGGTCTCAGCCTCCCTTCTCCCCCATAGCGATCCTCAACCTCCCCCCCTCCCCCATGGCTGATCCTCAACCTCCCACCCCCCCCCTCCCCCCATGGCGATCCTCAGCCTCCCCCCCTCCCCATGGCTGATCCTCAGCCTCCCCCCTCCCCATGAGTCCTCAACCTCCCCCCTCCCCATGGTGATCCTCAACCTCCCCCTCCCCTGGCCAAGATCCTCAGCCTCCCCCCTCCCCATGGTGATCCTCAGCCTCCCCCCTCCCCGCGTGATCCTCAACCTCCCCATGGCAGTCCTCAGCCTCCCCATTATGGCGTCCTCGGCCTCCCCCATGGCGATCACCAACCTCTCCCCCATGGCGTCTCAGCCTCCCCATGGCGATCCTCAGCCTCTCCCCCCCCATGGCGATCCTCCACGACCTCTCCCCCATGGCGTCCTCAGCCTCTCCCCCATGGCGATCCTCAACCTCCCCCCTCCCCCATGGCGTCCATCAACCTCCCCCCTCCCCATGGCGATCCTCCGGCACCACCTCCCCCATGGCCGATCCTCAGCCTCCCCCCTCCCCATGGCGATCCTCAGCCTCCCCCTCCCCCACTTAGCGATCCTCAACCTCCCCCCCTCCCCCATAGCGATCCTCAACCTCCCCCCCTCCCCATCCCTTAGTGTCCCCGCTCCTCGGTGTGTCTCCTGGTAGCTTACCGCGGTACAGGAGATTCAGTCTCCTGTACCCGACCGGACTGACAGGAAGTGCTCTCTCAGTGAGCACTTCCTTTCAGTCTGACCAGGTACAGGAAACATAAGTTCCTGAACCGCGGTGCGCACTGCTCTGCTCGATCACGCTACACAGAATGCCTGTCAGGAGGGAGCGCTGTGCGCCCATCTCCTGCTGGTCACTCCAATCTAGTGCCCCCCGGGCCAGTGCGCCCTAAGGCGGCCGCGTGCCGTCTTATGGACACACTGGACCACTTATTTATTATTGGTATTGCCAGTGATTATCGGCTGATACCGATACTTACAAAAAAAAAAATATATGAATATCAGCCGATAATATCAGCAAAACCGATAACCGGTTAATCCCTAGTCAGAAAACACCCATAGCAGCTGTCAGTCTGACAACTAATAAAGGTTTTTCTTACTTAAAACTTTCGAAAATCTAAAGTATTTACATTTTGCATTATCACGACACAGAACATGTTCAATACTTCTTATGGAGACGCACTAGATTCAATTTTTCTCTATGAGATGCATCAGATTAGCGGAACACAGAGTATGCTCCCTACGAGGAGTTCTGGACTTTACAAGGAAAATAAATTCAGCTGCCTTTATGGAAGGCAGATCCGCTTCAACACGGAGATTGTTCCAGAATTGGATTACAGTTTATTTATTTTTTTTAGACCAAGGGGAGTTGAATGTCAAAAATGTGTTTTTTAATCTAGTGTTCCTTTAAACAAGGACACACATTATTCAAGGGACACTAGTGCTCTTGGTGCAATGTCCCTGTCCCCTTAACATTACAATGTCAATTATTGCAGTTTCTGAGAAACTGCAATAATTACATTGCATGGTTCAGTCTGGCACTACTTCTTGCTTCACATGCATGAGGACATCCAGTGTCAGTAAAATCCACATTGGAAAGCACTGAAGTCATGCTTTCCTATATGGAGGATCTAATCCACTTGCCCCGTTGGGTGAAGAGGCAGAGCTCCAACATAGAGAGAAATCAAAGCAGAAATTCAGAGAGTACAGTAAAGTTTTTTTGTTTTGTTTTTAACTTACAGTGTGTGTGTGTGTCGACAAAAAGGAGCTTTGGTGCTAAGAATACAATTTTGTATGCCAAGGACTACAGTATCCCTTTAATTACTCCAACAAATCATAATCTTTGTCCATTATATTATGTGGGATAAACAAAGAGTATAACAATGTAGTCATTTAGTCAGACAGGAAAAGGAGGAGTAAAAACAGATAAGAACATAAGCTTATATATTAAACATCAAGTCAGGTACTTACAAAGAGAATGCTTGTAAATATTGTATATATTAATTGATGCTGTGTACTTTATTTTTGGAGAGCTTGTAATAATTGCATGTTAATAACATGACATAAAAATTAGTTTTCACGACAGGTGATTAAAATATCCACATACCTCCTCTACCGAACATGGCAAAACTACTCGGCTGTATAGGAGAGATAGAGAGGGGAGAAAGCACAATTAAGATTTTGTTTACAAAACAGGCTTTTTCGGATGCATTAATATAAATGTTATTTAATTTAAAGAGCCTCTGCCACCTCAAACTCACCTTTCTCCTATTGTTCTTCTTCTTTTCCTTTTTCAGAATCTTTTATTTCTAATCTATATCTTTTCAAAACAAAAGACAAAGCTTTGTCTACGCTTGACAATTTTGAGCTTGGAGCTTCAGGCAAACTCTACTTCCTTTGTCAAGCTAACAAAGGAAGTGAAGTTTGCCTTAAATGGTTACTCAAACCAACATGACCACTATAGTAGTTTGAAGTGGTCATGGTGGTAGGAGAATGTAAGAACAGTGTTTCTGCTTGAAACACTGCAAACCATTATAAATCTGGACATGCTACCTTGGCAGCCCGGAACGAATGTTAACTCTGTGTATAAAAAAAGTCAGTCCATTACAGGCAGCTTTTATTTATTTATTTTTAAATCCGCCCTCTGACTCCCCATTCTTGCTGATCCTGAGCACGCACATGGGAACAGGTCACAGGCTATACTGCAATCTGAGTGGTGGAATCTTGTGCATTGTGCCCAAAAGGGCTCCAAAGGGTTGAAGTAATCTCTTACTATCCATCCTTTGTCAGGATTGGCAAGTGTAGGAATAATTCAAAAGACAAAGTGGTCTATTTGGTCCTATGTTTTAAAGAGAAAATGATCACAAATGAAGAAAACAAGAACATATGAAAGAAAAAAAAAAAAAAATCAGAGAAAAGAGGTACCGTAAGTCTGAGGTGACAGAGCTATTTTAATGCAAAAACCATCAACATGTAAAAATTAGAACGGTTAATTAATACATAATAAAACACAATTAGAAGTTAGCTTCAGAGTATCCCCTAAGTGTTATATTTACTGATGAATTAACTGTAAAAGCAACATGCTAACAGGACTTTGGTTTTCTTTGTTAACATTAAGTTATAAACTGTGGAACGGGAGCCAGAATATAAAAGCCCTTGAGCATTTGCAAATTGTTGAGTTAGGTTGGATTGTAGAAAGCATAAAACAAACAGCAATCAAATAGAGGAAAAGGAAGAAGCTTCACATTCAAACATGGATTAAAAAAAAAAAAAAAAAAAACACGCATCAGGGTTGTGATTTCATTATTGCTTTATACCAGGACTTTACAAATTTGCTTTGAATCCAACAGCTACCTAAAAAAAAGTTAGAAGCCAGTTGCTTTTTTTAATTAAGCATGTTTTATTTCAACCAATTCTTAAAAAGATACTGTAGTCACAAGAACCACTACAGCTTAATGTAGTCCATTCACCCACACTGGCTGCCTCGACTGAACGGGTTGACAAAAACCCAGGCACCAGGAAACAATTCCTAGTCACAAAGGCGACCTGGAGCCTCGAATTTGTCCAGGCCCGCTTTACACATTTAAAAAAAAAAAAAAAAAATACCAGATAAAGAGGAGGGCCTAGCCAAAAGGTTAAAAAGGTACACTATAGTCACCAGAACAACTACAGCATAATGTAGTTGTTCTGGACAGTATAGTATGTCCCTGCAGCTATTTTCATGTAAACACTGCCTTTTCATAGAAAAGAGTGTTTATATTGCTCCCTAGGGGCACCTCCAGTGGCAGTCACCCAGACAGCCACTAGAGGTGCTTCCAGGGTCAGTGCTGCACAATGTGCCATTTTATGCCCACTTTTGTATGTACCATTAGCCTGCCGATGATACAGCAAATTCCCATTCAGTGCATGACCCGAATCCCACATTGGAATCTATCCAACTTTACAGGCAGGGATACATGTCTAATTGGCTGCTAGCCTGCAGAACCTACATGCTCCTATACAATTGCACCTCACTAGCAGGGGCACTATAATGCACCTGGATCCCTAAAATGTCACATACCAAACGTCCTACATACAGGAGGGACCCCTTTGAAACTGCCAAGCCACAGACACTGCATCAAAGATGGAAAAAAAAGTCCACTCAGTCTAGTCTAAGAAAGGGAGTAGTTAAGGAGCCCTTCCTTAACACCATGACAGCGAGACCTCCGTAGTAACAGCTATGATGAAAACAACCTGACCATACGCAATCATTGGAGGCACTCTCAACCGCTGACCCACCACAACCACTGGCTGCCCACTACTAACTGCAGTCCAAAGCCTTATTTTACACAAATGCTAAAAAATCACGATTAAGATGTGGATGAAGTGGAAGGTGGCAAAGACGTAAGACCAGCTACAATACTCAACAAGATAATAGACAATTCGTGACTATTATTCCATCTTTACTCCCTACCCAAATCCGAAACATACCAGATCACCTTGGGTAAATTCAGGAATACATAAGGGAACACATACAGAAATGACTACATCCAGAGGTTGCAAAGGAGCTAGACAAACCTATTAGAGACACAGAATTGAAAGCCCCAGATGGCCTGCTCTTACGATACTATAAACAATACGCTGATACACTGTTTCCGCACTGTGGAAATTAGAGAAGATACGCCATCCCACCCCAAACTCAGGCAGCCAACATATCACTCACACCAAAAAAAAGAGGGCAAGGATATGGAGCAATGTGCAAATTACAGGCCTATCTCACTCTTTAATTGTGACCTAAAATAATTCATGAAAATAACCTTCTAAACACAATGAGAGTCTCTGACCACAAAATTCAAACCTGTATCCTTGGTGCACTATTCTTGCTTGTCCTCTCAGGGCCTCCTCCTGTTATTGACAGATGTGGAGGAGGCCTTTGATAGAGTGAGCTGGGACTCTTTATTCCAGACACTGTAGAGAGTAGGAATGGACTCAGGCAGTCTATAGGTCTCCCTCGGCTACAATATGTGTCAACGGGACATATACCACCTCTTTACCAATCCTCAACGGTCCACGTCAGAGTTGCCCGCTCTCGCCCTTGCCCTCAAACCTTTCTTTATTGCAATTAGGAATAACCCTAAATAAAAGGAATATCAATTGGTTTAAGCACTAAAGGGACAGGCTATACTAAGCTTTAGTTGTTCTGATGATTAAAGTGTTCGTTTAAGAATTATATTTTAGTCATTAGTTTAAAGGATCAGATTCCTCTATAGACATATCAGTATTGTACCCTTGCGCATGTGTGAGTGTACAGCAGTGAAGTCGGCTCCTAGCAGATGAAGCGCCAGGAGCTGAAGAGGGCCATGCCAAAAAAGATGGGGGGAGGACAAGAGGTAAATAAAAACTCTTCCCCTGCACCACCACACTGCAAGCACAGCTTTCTCTTTCTTGTGCCTTTGCAAAATATTCAAAGACCTCAGAAGATAGCAGAGATACTTTAAAGGAGAATTATCACTTCCCATAACTTTTGTAGTTAAACCTTTTTAATAGACCCCCCTATGCTTAACAGACATGTTTCTGTGATCTCAAGAATCAAAATAAAAGTTAGAAATTCACACTACTGTTTTTACCTCTATCCTTGAGTTGCTTCATCTTAGCTCCCTGTCATTCATTGTTTTAAGTTCTGCTCTTTGCACCTGTCAGCATAGAGAGGAGAGGATAAATAGAAACAATGGGGGAGATTAATCAATGTGTTCTGTTCTAAATAGTGGTGCATAAATTGTGAAAGGGGAGAAGTCACCAAAAGGAGTGTGCCTGCGGTTTACATGGTGATTGCCAAACTCTAAACTTTAAAAGGAACACTATAGTCATCTAAATTACTTTAGCTAAATAAAGCAGTTTTAGTGTATAGATCATTTAGAGCAATTTCACTGCTCTATTCACTGTCATTTAGGAGTTAAATCACTTTGTTTCTGTCTATGCAGCCCTAGCCACACCTCCCCTGGCTATGATTGACAGAGCCTGCATGAAAAAAAAACTGGTTTCACTTTCAAACAGATGTAATTTACCTTAAATAATTGTATCTCAATCTCTAAATTGAACTTTAATCACATACAGGAGGCTCTTGCAGGATCTAGCAAGCTATTAACATAGCAGGGGATAAGAAAATCTTAATTAAACAGAGCTTGCAATAAAGAAGGCCTAAATAGGGCTCTCTTTACAGGAAGTGTTTATGGAAGGCTGTGCAAGTCACATGCAGGGAGGTGTGACTAGGGTTCATAAACAAAAGGATTTAACTTCTAAATGGCATAGGACTGAGCAGTGAGGCTGCAGGGGCATGTTCTATACACCAAAACTGCTTCATTAAGCTAAAGTTGTTCAGGTGACTGTAGTGTCCCTTTAATGGTGAGTTTAAAAAAAAAAAAAAAAAAAAAAATTTGTTATAAATCTGTAACAAATGTAAATATGCCTTAAATCCAGCACTGAGGTCACATTCTCCACATTGCATTACATCACTTCCCATTACTGCATGAGGAAGGAAATCTAGGAAGCAGGGCTTAGGTCAACACAGAGGTGGGGACTGTGCCACCACTGGACATATGTTGCCAGTATGGTCATAAAAACTGACTTTTTATGACCAGATTTAACATTAGCCGTTCCAGGCAGACTAATAATTCTACCGTTGGTGAATTTACACCTACAGTAGCAACCTCAAATATTGCTGTAGATACAGTGTTTCATACAGGCTTCTTGCACCATGACCACTTCAAAATACGTTTAGTGATCATGATGCTTGAAATAACCCTGTAAGTGCTTTCGTCTAGTTTAAAGAACAGAACACTCCTATAAATCTCCCTCAATGTTTCTGTTACTCCTCCATCCATTAAGTTTCTGTTACTCCTCCATCCATATCAACTGCTATATTTTTAATAATGAATTAAAAGAAACCAAAAAGTGCTCCAAGCACTATAACCACCATAGCGTGCTGTAATGGTTAAGATGAAAGGAGTGCCCTGGTGCTACCCTCTCAATGTAAGTAGTCAAATCATTATAGAAATATGTGACTTCTTACCTGGGGCCTGACAGGTGCCATTCCCTGCATCCACTACATCTGCTAAAGAACTAGAAGCTCCTAAGCAAGAGCTATCCGTTAACTCCTGTGGCATAAAAGTCCTGCATTATTGGCATTTTCTCAGACTGAAAGCATCCAACTCTAGTGCATGCATGACAAACTCAAAGACTAACATGGGCCAAATAAACAAGGTTTAAATTCATGTGGGCTGCAAAAAAAAACAAAAACTTCAGTTTTCATAGAAACATAGGTTTATTTATGAAATTACAGTATTAAAAAAGTTTCCTAACTGACACTGGGTGTCCTCACGCTCGTAGGGATTCAAAGTAAACAAAAGAGCAAATTTATTTTAAGGAAACGTGCATTTGCATATAACCAATGTTTCTGTCCAACTACCTTGACATATTAAGAAAAGTTTGGTAATGGGACTGAAAAGGTGAACGTATGCTGTTGCACAACTGTAAAAAAACAAATTACGTTACCTTGCTGATTTTGAAGTCCTATGAGTGTGTTCTTCACTTTGGCCGAGATCATCAAACTTGATGATCTCAACCATTCCAATGCTTTCCCAAAGGAAAGCATTGGGAGGATAGTGTGCATGTGTGCCAAAATGCTCCGTGGCTAATAAGCATCTTCACATGGAGCATTCAGCACCTCCATGGAGACCCAATCTAATACACTGCCCACAAATCCAATCCAATCCAATGCTCCCTCCACTCTAATACACTGCCGCCCCCCTCCCCACTCTAAAATGAATACACTGCCCTCCCTCCCCTTAAATTTAACACACTGCCTCCTCCCTCCCCCAATTTAACACACTGCCTCCTCCCTCCCCCAATTTAACACACTGCCTCCTCCCTCCCCCAAATAATACACTGCCCAACTCCCTCCCCCAAATGAATACACTGCCCCCCTCTCCAATTTAACAAATTACACAGGAAGGTCCTCCAAGCCTCTCTTTCCCCTACCTTAAGATGAGCCACCCGTCCTCCAGTTCCAGCTATGCTCTTCTCAAGCAGGCCAGGCGCTCCTCTGGCACTGTGAGCAAGAGGGAAGGGGGAGTGGCTGGCCTGCTCTGCAGACAGACACTCTGCGCTCTTGCGGTCGCAGGAGCACGCGATCGGCTGTGGAAGGGAAGACAAGAACCAGACAGGAAATATATTTCCTGTCTTGCAGCTGGTTGCAACCACAGCACAAAACGGCCCCAAGGCAGGTGGGCCGCAAGTTTGACGTTGCTTGCGCTAGAGTAAATTGTGCAGGGAGCAGCACCCAGCGCAGCCCAGGTAACATGTCAAATGTAGGCACCAGGGCACAATAACAACTGCACATCATGGTTTTGGTGCTTGAAGTTTTATCCAATGGTGTTATTTCCAGAGAAGGAACATTTTCCCTTTAAGCTCCATAATCCTGTACTACAGTAGACATAAAGGGACAGTATAGGCACCAAAAGACCTTTAGCTTAATGAAGCAGTTATGGTGTATAGATCTTGCCCATTTAGTATCACTTTCAATTCTCTGCCATTTCGGAATTAAATCACTTTGTTTAGCCTTCCTAAACACTTACTGTAAAGCGTCATCAAATGTTTACATTTCCTTTATTGCAAATTCAGTTTAATTTAGCATTTATCTGCTGCTCTGTTAATACCTTGCAATATCCTGCAACTTGTTTTTCTGGCACTGGAGTTTCCCCCATTGTCAAGGTCACCCCTGTGGTGCAGAACAGGTTAATAACCCCTTCTTTCACTTACCTGGGTCCAGCGCCGCTGACTCAGCTCCACCCGCGCTCCTCCCCTGCCGACGTCCGCCGGTGGGGAAGACCTAATGTGCATGCGTGGCAATGGCTGCTCTCACATTAGGATTTCCCAATAGAAAAGCATTACTCAATGCTTTCCTATGAGGATTTCTACGATGCTGAAAGTCCTCATGCATAGCGCGAGAACATCAAGCGTCGTTTAGGCAACCAAAAGTCGCCTTTAAGCCTGCAAGTCCCTTTAGTGGCTGTCTGGTAGACAGCCACTAGAAGAGGAGTTAACCCTAGCAGGTAATTATTGCAGTTTATGAAAAACTGTAATAATTACCACTCTAGGGTTAAGGGTGATAGGAGATTGCACCCAGACCACTTCAATGAACTGATGTGGTCTGGGTGCCTAGAGTGTCCCTTTAAAGTTCAATTTACAGAGCAGGCGATAAAAATTAAAATGTTACATCTGATTGAAAATGAAACCATTTTGTTCTCATGCATGTTAACCCCTTAAGGACTGAGCCAAATGTACACATGGTGAACGAAACAAAATGTAAACAAAACCTGGCATTTGCGCTACATGTCTGTCCAACCGTAATTCACCTCTTTCATAGTAAATGCACCCACCCTTATTATATATCATTTTATTCGGGGGAAACAGGGCTTTCATTTAATATCAAATATGTAGCTGAGAAACATAATTTAATATGAAAAAAATGGGAGAAAATAAGAATTTTTTAAAAAATTTTTAGTTCTACATGACATAACTGTCAATGTCATAATACGGTTTGCTTTTACTGCAATAAAATACACATATTTGTATTCAGCAAAGTCTCACGTGTAAAACAGTACCCCCTATGTACAGGTTTTATGGAGTTTTGGGAAGTTACAGGGTCAAATATAGCACTTTACATTTGAAATTGAAATTCGCCGGATTAGTTACGTTGCCTTTAGGACTTTATAGTAGCCAGGAATGAAATTTACACCCATAATGGCATACCATTTGCAATAGTAGACAACCCAAGGTATTGCAAATGGTGTATGTCCAGTCTTTTATAGTAGCCATTTGGTCACAAACACTGGCCAAAGTTAGCTTTAGTATTTGTTTGTGTGAAAAATGCAAAAAAACGCCAATTTTGGCCAGTGTTTGTGACTAAGTGGCTACTAAAAAAGACTGGACATACCCCGTTTGCAATACCTTGGGTTGTCTACTATTGCAAATGGTATGCCATCATAGGGGTAATTTTCATTCTCGGGCTACCATAGGGTCTCAAAGGCACCGTAACCAATCTGCAGGAGGCAGCCTACCCGGCCATGTGATTGTGGGGTCCTCGCAAGGACCCCACTCTCACATGGCCAGGGGGCACCGGAGGAGAAGGATCTATCGCCGGGGGCTCCATGGGAGTCCCCCCCACCGCGATCGCCGACGTGGGACCGCCGGCGACGGGGTAAGTAAGGAAAGATCGGAGGGCATACAATTACGCCCGGCGGCATTTAGAGCCGCCTAAAATAGGGCGTAATTGTACGTCCTCCGGTCTAAAGGGGTTAAGTCAGTCACAGCCAGGGGAGGTGTGGCTAGGGCTGCATAAACAGAAACAAAAGGTGATTTTACTTCTAAATGGCAGAGAATTGAGCAATGAGACTGCAGGGACATTATTTATACACCAAAACAGCTTGATTAAGCTAAAGTTGTTTTGGTGACTATACTGTCCCTTTAAATTAGATTATTATTTTTTACCTATTTAGCACTGACAAGACTTGCTGTTAGCACAGGTCAGTTTAGTACATAAAAGTGTTGCCCAAATAACCAAACTGATTCAGATGTAGCCCCTAAGGAATTTTATTTTATAAAAAATTTAAAATAAATAAAAATTAAACAAAAAAAAACACACCTCTACACATGTGCTGTATGTTAGTTACTAAATCAATAAAGTTGCCTCCATAGGTTCCGCATACAGTATTACATTTCCCACACATGATAAACTGGACCACACTAGTGTAAAGAAGACAAAAAGTATAAAACCAACATACAATGAATGAACAGTCAATGACAAGTAATTGTTCGAAGTTTAGGTTCTGTGAGAGGAGAGCCTGCAGCAACAACACAGAGCACCAACACAGACAGCACCGCCACAGACAGCACAGAGCACCAACACAGACAGCACCACCAGACAGCACAGAGCACCAACACAGACAGCACAGAGCACCGCCACAGACAGCACCGCCATAGACAGCACAGAGCACCAACACAGACAGCACAGAGCACCACCACAGACAGCACCAACACAGACAGCACAGAGCACCACCACAGACAGCACCACCACAGACAGCACACAGCACCACCACAGACAGCACACAGCACCAACACAGACAGCACCGCCACAGACAGCACCACCACAACAAGCAGAGTGCAGGTAACTTTTCCATCTAGCAGGTGTCCCTTTGCTGCCCTGTGTCAGTGCAGACCAATCATTAAAGCAGAGTGCACTGACCCCCTGCCTGCACAGCACATTCTCCCCGGCCCCCTGGCAGCGCCATGGGATGGTGCCGGCCGGGAAGGTGATGCTAGGTAACACACACAGGCCGTGACAGCGCGGCCGCAGTAATTGTCCATATTAGCGCAATGACGGTTTGCCATAGGGCAGTCAGTGACCGGCCTGCACTGAGCGGGGCCAGCTAGCCCGCGCTCCCCCCGCCCAGGGCACAAACCAAACTCACAATTCCTTGATGAGCACCATCCTCCGCTCCAAGCGCCGCAGCTTCTGTGCGGCACTGACGTCATACGGCGCGTTCCGGGACAGCGGGCGACGTGCAGAGCCACGCCCTCCCAGACCACATAGCCACGCCCAACCTCGCTCTCATTGGTCCGCCGTTAAAACCAGCACGTATAGTGACACGACACCCCCGGGCGTTGATTGGCTGCGCCAGTGACATCTGTCAGAGGTTTCCCGCCTCTTGGTCTCACTGCAGTATGAGTCGGCCGCTGGGTGAGCGCTCCTGTAATCCGCACAGGGGATTTAGTAAATAGCGCGGGACCGGATGATGGGAATGCTGCGCTGGTATAATCCCGTACTGACAGCTAGTTCGCGGGCGGTATTTCAGTCAGGGCGTGAGGCTTCCTCTCACGGTGCTTCCCGCGTGTCCGCTGGCCGCGAAGCTTAGTACATACCTGTAATGACCGCTCATATTTCACCGGGGCTTATTCACCGAGCGAGTTATTTACTAAACGAGGAAGCGTTGGAGATTCCGGTATTAGAAGACACTGGCTAATTAGAAGAGTCAGTGACAATTGTTTGGAAATCAAAGTGAATTTAAACTTTTGCTTGAAACAGGAGGTCTGTATAAGGCCAGCATTGGTAGTATGGCTGGCACTAACCGTGCTTTCAGTTGAAGGTCTGTACTTTACAATCGATTACATTACTCCTCTACAAATATTTTATTTATTTTTGTATTGGTGTAAGGTGTCTAGCTTAGTACTTGAGTTTTCAGTCTTGCTTTATTAAGTGTTCTTGCACAGCAAGACCACTTAATGTTATATCACATATATATTATTCTTATAGCCAAATTTACCACCCTAACTCCTCCCACAGTTTTTACACTACATAGACCAAAATTTACCAAAACGTGCAGATTGTTCCCGATCGGATTGCAATTACTTTTGTGGAATGTTTTGCAGAATGGTTCACGGAATATCGTCGTTTTTGTGGCGCAATTGGTCCCATAGGAATGAATGGCAAAATGTTCAAACTAGAGTGGGAGCTGGCAAAAGCTGAAAAATCAGGACATGATTTCTAAAATGCCCCCACTCCCTCATTTCAAGTCCTACCTACGCAAATCTTATATCAAAACGTTCAGCTATCCCTGCTGCCACTAAACATGTCCACGGCTAAGCCATAGTCCTGATAGTTTTCACACTATGGCCATTTGTTTGCAACTCACGCCGTCCATTGACATTCATTGAAACTCCACTCTAGCCAGCTCAGATTTGAAGGGCAATATCTAAACTGCGACTGTGCCTTCATTTCTAATATTTCAGAGACCTACTGTGCATCAAAATGTAGGTCTGGGTCTTGTGATTCACACAACAGTTACTCAAGCCACTCTGCCCACTTGAGTTGTAGACTACTGGTGGAGGCAAGAACACTTCACATAATTTCCCTAGAAATTGTAGCTTTTCTAGGTTTAAATGACTTAATCTTTTTTTGGGAGGACCGTGGGATGCCCCCCACACCAGCCACCAATGGGTGAGGGTAGGGCTTGTGCAAGGATTTTTGGGTACACAGGCAAAGATGATTTTGGTTCCTCCCCCTACCTCTCTTTTAGTGGTTGCCCCACCCCTGTCCCTTAGTGTTCCCCCCATCCTTTAGTGCCCCTCTCTCCCCCGCTGGCCTGTAGCGTGGCAGAGCGGAACTGAAACTGAAGCTCCTGTACCGCAGTCCGCTCCACCTGTCTACACTACAGTGAGTGACCCGGTAGGTCACTCCAATTTTGCCCCCTGCCTGGTGCGCACTAAGGCAGCCACCTGTGACACCTTATGGGGATTTCAGCAATGCCGGAGGTCCTCACTTTTCGTGTTTTATGAACACGGGAGTCTCCTCTAGTGGCTCTCATGTGATTCCTACTGAACCAGACTGAGAGACCATTTAAAGGCTTAGAAACACTTTTGCAGGTGTTATGCCACAAGAGCAATACTTTTCTACATTTTGGTTACTGTTGCCCCTACTATGGATAATATTTTGTTATCACTGTTTAGATACATCCCTATTCTCCAATTTACGAATGTGCTACCCATTTGTACATACGAACAGAAGACCACCCAGCCCTTGTCGTGTGTCTCCATTTAACCTCTGTCACCTTTCAAACCACCAAAAGACCGATCGACCACCATAACGGCAGAGTGTGCCAACACTTAACCGGCCAGGAGCTGCGGTTTGTGGTTAACCGCAGCCTAATTAATCGGAATCCAGGTGGCCTCGTTCGTATATTCAATTAGATGAACGAGGACCTTACTAAATATACAAAAGAACTGTCGAACGACGACCACCCGTACCCGGGGTGTGTTCTCAATTAAGTGGTGGTTTCTGTGGTTAACCGCAAGCTAAGTACCTAACCCGCGGTGATCGCCATTCACATAGCGAACACGAGGTGGTGGCCATCTTGTTGCCAGCAAGGGTTCAGCGGTACTGGGTAGTAAAATCTCAGGAACAGTAATCAGCAATGGAACTGCACGAAACCCGCTAAGATGACGGTTGTCCCATCCGTTCGGCCCAAGATTGTACGTACAGACATATATCAGAACTCTGGCACATCGTTTGTGAGATCTGAGCGCGATTCATACATCTTGTGCGCTCAGATCTGAGCTATCCGGCGAATGGTTGCATAAACTATTTCCATGTGCTTGGAGATAATTAGGTCATTGTAACTGATAAGGCCAATTATCTCCAAGCTAGGCGGAGACATTTTCAAATGTTGCACTGTGTTTCCATTGGGTAAACTATGTCATTGTCTTGTGTACCATCAGGTCCAGAAGGGGGCTGTCCCTTGGTCTGAAAGTTGCATAAATTGTCCCGCTTGAGTGCCATTAAATTCAGTTCGTGTTAACCTCAAATCGCAACCTCGACTCGATTTGTAGGGAACAGTGTATCCTAGCTGTGCCATAGCTAGTGGGATTATTCTACACTTTCAGGAGAATCTTGTGGATGTTGATAGGAGTGACGTTCTACCTCTCCAACATCGGGAACCAGGATATCCAAGCGGTCCAACCTCCAGCTAGCCTGGAGGTAACCGTAACATGGCTTACTTAGCTGATTAGAGTGGGAGACTGAGAGCCTAGAATATTGCACCTTTTCACAATATTCTAATTTGCTGAGATTGTGGATTTGAGGTTTTCATGAGCTGTAAGCCATAATCATTGCACTTATGACAAATCACAGCTTGAACTATCTTGCTTTGCATTTAATATGTCTATCTTGTATATTAGTTTCCCCTTTTACGTTGCATTACTTAAATAAATGAACTTTTGCACGATATTCAAATTTTTCGTGTATCACCTGTATATAGCTGGGTGAAGGGGTGACAGTGTGTGGGGGCTGAAAGTGATAAGGGATGGTGATATTGTATGGAGGGGTTGTCAGTATGTGTGTATGGGGATGGATGATGGAGTGTGTGACAGGGTGCGTGTATGGGGGGAGTAACAGGGTGTATGAGAGGGTTTGTAGGGAGGGCTGTGAGTAGGTAGGGGTTCTGTAAGGTGGGCTGGGGGGCTCACTGACAGCCAGACACATGCACATCACACATACATTTCCCCCCAACACTCACAAATTATTTTATATTTTAATTTAAATCCACCTTTGGGAGAGCTGGGTGGATTTTTTAACTGGGGCTGCTGGCCGGGCTGTGCTGGTAGGAAGGCAGGCGCGCCACAGAGTGATGCCAGGAGCCGGAATGAGAGCTCACAAATCAGCACTCCCTCGCTGCCCACCTGGAGTTCAACTGGTCACCTGCCCTGAGGCTAACAAGGCAAATGCGTGGAAAAAGTTCCCACGCGTTCCTGCAGGACTCGCGCCCTGACTTAAAGGTTCATATGGCTGTAGAAAGAAGTCCACATATTAAGTGACATTACAGGTTAATCAATGTCACTGTTAACTCGGCGTCCCGGTGGATTTTGTTAGATTTTTATGATTTTTTGGCAGAAATAGAAGGCTGCTACTTTGCAGGAAGTAGTAAAAATAGAAGTAAACTCATCTTTATTAACTCCATCATGCAATCATATTTGTAGCAAGATTTCCAGTTCGTGCCAATAGTCTGAAGTTGGATTTTTATCTAAGATTTTTATATATATATTTGAGTCACCTAAAACTTATTAAAGCATTTCTTTCCTTTTTGTCAAATTTGGTTTAAACTTCATATTTGTAATTTTCTCAAAATCTTCTTGAACAAGCTCATTAAAAACATATCTAAATATCCGCTTTTTTCTGCCCATGGGAAAAATTTGATTTTTGTTTGAAACCAGTATGTGCCCTTCCCCCTTACATCAGTCGAGACTTAATGTAGGGGGTAAAAAAAACACCTTTATTAGACACACAACATCTCTATTTATAAGGATAAAATATGGATTCCCTCTCCTTGCAACAATCATCCCCCTGGTGCCTCTGTCTGCTGTCCTCCTTTCCATGGATAGCAATCCTACACATTATATGTCCCTGGATTGCTTGTCCTCTCTGTCCTCCACTGCCCAAATAGCATTGGATCAGTGAATCTATTCCCAAGTGACAGTGGGTTATCGTTACTATGGGTCACAGCCACTCATTGATCTGGCAAGGAGTTCCAAGTATTCAGCTGGTTGGTGCCGGCCTGGTTAAAGGTGTTTCTGGGGCCCTATAGAGGATAGTGCCCCACACGTCCTGGGTACCCTGGGATGCCTCTCGACCTTGCTGGTCCTCCAATCAAGGGACTCTGAGACCTCCAGTTAGTCTGACTGGGGTGCACTAAGACTCCGACTGATTTTGTCAGACACATTATGCCAGAAAATATGAACACACTGCAGGTCACATGTAAGAAATATGATAACAGCCATTTTGATATTAAAAGCTGAAATAGCAAGTAATTTATTGAATTGCAACATAACTCCGCAGAAAAATGAAATGGCGGATTTAATATTGAATGGTCTAACTGGAATTAAATTAGAATATACATTTTAAAGTATGTCTTAAATGCAAAGTATTATTATTATATTAATTTTGATATCTTCCTAGCATAGCTGATTTAGTTGTTAGTTTTTTACATATCTATATAGGCTGTAGCCTGGAATTGTGGGAGAGGTAACCTGGCTATTTAAACCCAGTCAACCCCTTTACCTGGGCTGCTGTCGCTCTCGATTTCACTTTGCTACCTGGGCGACCTGGACATTTCCGGGCACTGAGTGTAGGACAATTAATGCTTGTATTGATTTCCAGGTACTGTCCGACACTTACAGGGAAAACGAGATTCATTAGCCCTTTTTTTTCATTAGCCACAATCAATGTCAGCAGGGCTCTGGCAGCACAGTACCTCTGCTCCCTCGGATCACATGGCGTTTTGGAGGCCCATCAGGAAACTATATATCCCTTTTTCTTTTCATTCAGCCCTCGTTCTGCCTTTAACTGTGCCATGTGACTGCATATATGTGCACTGCCACATGCGACCCTGTTGACATTTGTGGCCATTTCATGTCACGTTTGGCTTTTTGTCAGAGACGGGCCACTTCTGTTGTGCCATTCATCTCTCGTTTGGCAAGTTTACTTCCTTTGAAGTTCACACTGTCTGCCTTTTTAATTCCACTCCTTTAAGAATTCCAATCATCTACCGCCCCCTCGGTCATCCCAGGCTATTTATTGAACACTCTTCCTGGCTACCCCACTTTCTCTCCTTTAGCACTCCCTCCCTCATAATTGGGGACTTTAACATCCCAATCAACAACCTCAACTGCCCTGATTCCTCTCGTGTGCTCTCTGTAACCTCCTCCTTTGGCCTCACGCAGTTGTCTACTTCAGCAACCCATACAGCAGGAAACACTCTTGACCTCATCTACACCAATCTCTGCACCACCTTTAATCTCTCCACTGTTCCATTTCCTTTATCTGACCACCATCTGCTAACATTAGACATCAGCATACCCCGTTTCCAAATCTCACCACCATCAATTCTTTAATCTCGCATAAACCTCAACTGTCTTGATCTCCAGCATTTCTCCTCCAAACTCTCCTTTTACCCATCTTAAATCTAACTTGCCCTAACTCTGCAACCTCACTCTACAACTCAATTCTCTGTCCGAAATGTCTACACAATATAATGACTCTTGTTAGACAGCATAATTCTAAATATCTATTATGCACTCAGCCACCTAGTGGTCAGGATATATAATTACTAGCAACACTTCATGCATATCCAATCTCACACAGCCACATCATAAAAATACATTATTCAACTTGTTCTGCCATTTGGCTATATTAATGTATTATAGTCTTCACTTTCAACCATCACACAACTATATAATTGTGTGTGTGTACAGTTGTGCTCAAAAATGAGCATGCTCTGGCAGAAATTGTGAAACTTTGGCACTGATTTTGAAAATATACCTGATCATGCAAAAAAAAAATTTATATTGAAGAATATTGATCATATGAAGCCATGTATTATCACAGTTGTTTAGCTCCTTTTTAATCATCGTGATAACAGAAATTACTCAAATGCCCCTGATCAAAAGTTTACATACCCTTAAATTTTTGGCCTTGTTACAGACATACAAGGTGACACACACAGGTTAAAATGGCAATTAAAGGTTAATCTCCCATACCTACGGCTTTTTTAATTGCAATCAGTGTCTTCGTATCAATAGTCAATGAGTTTGTTCGCTCTCATGGGGATGCACTGAGCAGGCTAGATACTGAGCCATGGGCAGCAGAAATGAACTGCCGAAAGACTTGCATAACATGGTAATTGAACTTTTATAAATATGGAAAAGGATATAAAAAGATATGAAAAACCTTGGAAATGCAAGTACTGTTCAATTCCTTAAGAGGTGAAAAATTAGGGGATCTCTTCATACCAAACCAAGGTCAGGTAGACCAAGAAAGATTTCAGCCACAACTGCCAGAAGAATTGTTCAGAATACAAAGAAAAAACTACAGGGATCCTCAGGAGAAATACGGACTGCTCTGGAAAAAGACTGTGTGGTTGTTTCAAGGAGCACAATACAATGATACTTGAACAAAAATGAGCTGCATGGTTGAATTGCCTCAAAGAAGCCTTTACTGTGCCAATGCCACAAAAAAGCCAGGTTACAATATGCCCGACAACAACTTTATATGCCTCTGGCACACAGTAATTTGGAGTGACAAGACCAAAATAAAAAAAGGCCATCACAAGACAAATAGGCAGCTATACCACCTGCAAGAATTAGGGGCCTCATAGACCACTATTACAAAGGACTGCACCCCTGCTAAAGTAAATGCATATTTTGTTATGGTGAGTAGTGTAAACGCTGGCTTCAAATGGGAGGGTATAAGTCTCGAGAGAGAGCACTTATGTAAGAACACTTTGGTGCAATAGGTGAAAATGCATACAACAAAAGACAAAAGAAATCAACAAACAAAATCAGTGTATTTTGTGTTATATACAGCCAAAAGTCAATTATCTCCATGGGATGATAAGCAAAACAGTGTTAACTGGTATTGTAAGAAAAGTATATGTGCTATGCTTAGGGATGTTGCCCAGCTGCCAGCTAGGTTCGGCTCCACTGCTGCCGATCTGGGTTTCTGGTAAAAAGGTTGGATGCTGCTCACATACCACATTTGGGCCGAAGGTTGGGGATTTGTACCTGGAGTAGATTTCAGAAAAATATCTAGTAGAGGCAGTCCCAGTGCCCTGAAGAACCTCCCCACATTTGACTGGTGCAGTAATTGGATTCGCTTCCCATTGTGGAGCACTGATAGTTTGTGGCCAGGTCCCCCAATGGTATGCCACTTTAGGTTCCCTTAAGTGCTGTGCAACCGGGAAGAGAGATTGTCACCAGACCATGGTGGATCTAGCCAGGTCATTGTAGAATGAGAGATCAGCTCCTTCAAAATGGTACGTGGGTGAGTCATGGACAGCTGCCTGCACAAGTTGTTTACGCCTTACCGACTGGAAAGAGAGCAGTCTCTAGTGACCCTGGCCGGGGCTCTGGCTGTTTTGGGAATCCAAAAATACTTCTCCAGTGAGATAGCTGTAGCCTTGGATGGCGATAGCATGGAGCTTAGTAGGTGTCGGGTGTAATGAGGGACTTCGATGTCTGTGATACGTTGTGGTTACGTTGTCGCTTGGAGTCTTCAGGCGCTGCAATTCTACCTTCCATGAGGAGGTTTGCTTGCATCAGCTTGTCTCGTTCAACAGGTTTTGAATATCGGCCTTGCTTGCAGGTGTTTGCTCTAGACTGAGGCTGGTTCTTGCCCAGCGACCCATGGGTA